CTTGCCTTTTGTCTTCCCCAAATGATGGAGCTGAGCCCAAGGGAACAAATGCCATTTTAATGGGCATCGTTGTGTAACTCATTACATAAGTCACCGCTGCCTTCAAAGGACTCGTGGCAAAAGTGGCAGGAGCGGTTGATTAAAAATGTGCACAATAGCTTCATTATGGCATGGGGAGAGATGTCTGCTGTTATTTTTAATCTGATAGCTTTTAAATATGTGCATCCAGCAGAGACCCAAATGGCCTTTGAAAAAGGAACCGTTCGTGGAGTAAGAGTTTTAGACTCCACTTCGTTCTTTCTAACGAGCTGCAAGAGTCAGGACAAGCTGGAAAATGAACCTTTTTTAAGGTTCTGTCTCCTCTAAAGCTGCAGGTTCTGGTGTGTGAACACACAGAGAGTGAGAGAAGATGGAGGGTTTAGTTTTTCAGGTGAAGGAAAGGAAAGTTACTGTATTCTAAAGTTGGTGGGTTTTTTAACTGAAAGTAAGTCTATTTTCAATGAGTTATATATGATCCAAGGACTAGACAAGTTGAGCAGTTAAACTCTCCATCCCAGCTGCTGGAGCCTTCCACTGAGCTATGTTGTAGTGACAAAAACATAACCAGGAGGTGCAGAAGCAAGACAGGGGTTTATTTCCCATCTCTGAGGCCTCCCATGTGCTGGTTACACGTGGCTGGTGAGCGGGACCCGGCAGCTGGAAATTCTGCTGTGACTGAGCTCTGTAAAAGGCTGAACTTTCAGTTTGACTTTAAATAATTTGCTGCTGGGTTAGGTTGATGGAATCCACCAGCTTGCACGTGTTTTGACTCATTTTCTGGCGTTCATTTGAACCCAAGTGGGAAGTGACCATTGGACCATGGCAGGGGTGGACCTTGTTGGGCTTCGTCTTGCTGGCTTTCTCCTAAGCAGCCTGGTTTCTTCGCCCACAAACACATAAGCTGATTTATCTGCCTTCCCTTGTGCCTCTTAATCTACTGTTGTTTCAAATCTGCAGTTCTTCCTTCCCCAGATTTAGCTTTCTGTTGGCAGACCGGCAGGCAACACCTGTTGCTGGAGCTGGGGGGATGAGGCAGCTCCCATCTGACCGTGGTCTCCCTGGCCTGGGGCGCTTGAGGGATGCTGAAAAAAACCCCTGTGGCCCCCACACCTGAGAGCAGGGCTGGTTGGAGCAGGCGTGCAGCGTGAGCTCTGTGGTGGGGTGTGTGTGTGGTCAGACCCCAGGCACGTGCTGGCCAGGGGGGAATGAGCCTGAGAGCCGATCAGGGCCGTGACTCAACAGCTGGAGCGAGTTCAAGCACAGCGGAGCGGGAGCCTCGCTAACGGGGGATGGAATTAGCTGTGAAACGGGTGACGTAGCAAAGCTCCCGGTCAGAAATCGAGAAACCTGAATCTGCAATAAAGTAATTTGGAAGGGATTTTTGATTTTTTTTTTCCCCCCAGTTCTGTGCTGCAGCCCCGGAGCATCCAGACAGATGAAATACGGAGAGATGGAAAGTCAGTGATTCCTTTGAGACAGAAACACTTTGATACAGGGCTTTTTTTTTCCCTTCCAGTTGAAATCACTCCATCGAGTTTATTACCCTGACTTTTACCATCTATCTTAAAAATATTTGAGCACTTCACAGAAGTAGGTACAGAATATCTTCCTCCTGTGCATCAGAGAAGTTGAGAAAGCTGGTGCTGAGACTCCAGCTAAACACTACTGACTATTCATCAATAAGAGGGGAGGGTAATACGATAGAATAATTTCCAGCGGGCAGACTCCCAAGCTCAGAACAACCTCAATGCTGCATTAAGGGGTTTGGTTACTGTAGATAGGCAGTAAGGAGCAGAGGGACAGGAGAAGTGGTTTGAGCACTGCCAAGGCTCTGTTTTCTGCCTCTTTCTGTATGTTATCAAATTATTTGATCTGTAAAGGCATGCTGTGCTGTTTGAGCTTTTTAACTGGATAGACACAGGACATTAGATTTGTAAATTGGGATACACTGTAAAGAAAATTACTTTTTCAAAGCAGACCAGCACTATGGTAACCAGTCTAGGAAGTCTCGCTCAGCTGTGCTGTTTGCAGGAGGGTTTCAGGCTTCACCTACAAAAACTGTAGGGACCTTAGACCATTGAGCTGGAATTCTTTCCTACTTCACTGTCACTTCTCTTTTATACCACTTCATCCAGACTCATCACAAAGCAAATTCTGTTTATAATGCTTGACTGATGTATCAGCCTGCAAACCATAAAGCCCAGATAATGTCTGTTGGCATTCACTGAGTGTAACCCCAGGAGCTCCACAGCTTGATCCATGCACAGGGGGAGAGGGGCTGCAGTGTGATGGAGATGCTGTGCTGGAGTCACTGACTCACCCTCTGCTCTGTTTAGACAAGTTGCTTCACCTCTGTGTCTGCTTCCCATCTGCAGGGTAAGGTTAAGACCTGACTGTTTAAGGATGAGAACGATATGTTTGTAATGTGCTTGGAACAAGAAAAGCGCTATTTTAAGTGCTAAGTGTAATTGAGTGTGAGAGAATATTGGTTTGTGACTCATTTGTTTAACTGCAAATGCATCAGAAACTTGTGAGCAGATGAGAGCTGGAAAGTGCTTGGTGTAGATGGAAACCCATGGCAGTAAAAAGCTGCATTAATTTGTGATCTTCAAAGCAGGACTTAGCAGGGTTGTTCAAACAATAACGTTTATTACTTTTGCAAATGTCAGCTGGTTTACTTCATTAGTACTATTTTCAGGAGTTCCTATTCTGCTTCTGTCCTTGCTCTGTGGGTCTGTCTTCCATCAGAGTGTGGTGCACAAATGATTTGGTGTTTGGTGTGACCAAAGGGTGAGGAGAGTAAAGGGCAGCGGTTGGGCTGGTGATGGTGAAGGGGGTCTGCTGTCAGCAGAAAAGAAACTTTCTCTGCTGACAAGACATCTTTTGGAAGTTCCTGACCATGCACACACGTTGGTTCAGCCATAAGAGTGCTTGCTCCATAGAGGTGGGTAGAGATGTCTGGTGACCAGGAAAAAAGGAAATGGTAGTCTTCTGAAATCTTTCTCCCTTCCAAATATTGTCCCTACAAGGCAAAGTTATCACCATGGGCAACCACGGGTTTTGTAGGCATTGAGTGTTTTCTTAATGAGACCAGCAGTTTGGATCTCACTGCAGCCCGTGGAGGAGCCAGACACAATTTGTTACTGCTACCATTATTTCCCTGTAGATTAATTATTGTAATTGTTTGCCAGTTCTCAAAAAAATTAATTCAGAGCCATGACTCCTCTTGGCAAGCGTGCGTATGCGTGCACGTGTGGAAATTCTCATATGGTGTACGCAATAAATACAAATGATTTTTTGGGGAGGAGTGCAAGAGCGTTATCACAGCAGCCAGGAACTGTTTTCAGTGGTGACCTTCAGCACCCTGTGGAGCCAGAGAAGTTTTAAAGGTTTGGAGATCCCCTCGTGGATGCAAAGCACTGACGTAAATTGTTGCTAAGTTGGGGTGCCAGCTGCTGTAAGTGATTCTTCAGAGGCCAACTGATATGCCTGGATTTATCTGCAGTGACCAAGGTTTTTAGTGCCTCCCTCCTCAGTGAACTAAACAGGACTTGATGATACGAAGAAAACTTTGAAAAACATTTATTTCTGTAAGTGGAGAACAGCTCTGCAGCCAGACTAGATTAGGATCGGTGCTCATGCAGCTTCTATTCATAGGATCCTACCAGATTTTGGTCTAGAGGACATACTAACCAGAGTGTTGGCCCTGGTGAATGTGCTCATAGCAGGGTCTTAACACACTACGAGGAAACCAAATTTAAAGGGAGACAACCCTCACGGGGAGGGAGGCAAGTGCAGGTTCCTTCCCTTGGCTGTGGTTAGGTGGTTTCTGAGTACAGGAGCAGTGTTTGCACTGCCGTGTGGTATTGGGCTCCTGGGTGCTAGATTTGACTCAGCAGCCCTTGCTGTTTGCAGTCTGCATGCTAACGAGGTGGTGCAGTGCTGTATGCACAGGGCTGTCCTTTTAACTCACTGCAGCCAGTGCAGTGAATTCCCAGATAATCTAAAAGGAAAATGAAACATGCAGCAAAACTGCTCACTTTTCTTGATAATGTAGTTAAAGACAAGTTGGGTAACTTCTGTTGAATTATCTGGGTCACTAGAGAGCAATTCAGACCTTCATTTATTAAAGTGCTCTTTGCTCAAAATACATTCTAAATTGCTCTCTACAAGGCAGCTTGGTTTTATTTTAGCTTCGTGGCTACAGATAAAAATATATTTCAGCGCTAAGTCTGCATATGGCATGATTGCAAACCTTTGAGACTTCTGCTTTGAGAGATCCAAAAAACCATGAAAACACAATTTTTAAAAGGGCTGAGCAGTTCTGCTGTTAAGCCTCTGGAAGGATGCCCTAGTACTGAAGTGGTTCCTCTGTTGTCCAGTTTGGGATATTAGAAGTGAAATCCATTGCAAGGGACATTTTTGTTCAGGTTACCCACGGAGCCACATTCAAAATTGATGCTACCAAGCAGGTAGAGATCAGCATCCTGGGAAGGGCATTACCTTGGGTTGTGTTCTCCTTTCCAGCCACAAGTCCTGGGTAGCAGGCAGAGCCCTGCCTGCACATCCACGTGCCAGAGGTCTGTGAACAAATCACTTCATCCCCTTGACTCAGTTGCTCATCTGCAAAAGAGGGATGATGATTACCTCCTTTGTAAAGTGCTTTGGAATCTGCTGGAGATAAGTACTTTGAAGAGAGGTGTGTTTCCTCTTCTCTCAAGGCACAGAGCAGCAGCAATTCCTGCCTTTGCTCTGCAGCATTTCTTCCTCCAAGGTGAATCAGGAAATGGTGGGGATATTGTGGTTGGAAACATAATAGAGATTTTTTTATTATTTTTTTATCGTGATCCACTCAATAAATTTACGTGGTGCAAGTATCTTCCAGATAATGCCGTAACAAAATGTTTCTGATTTCAACAAATTTACCCCAAATCCTGTAATGTATTTCTGTGTCTTTCCAGATTCTGAGCGTTCTCATCTCTCCTCGTTCACCATGAAGTTGAAGGGCAAGTTTCATTCACCAAAAATAAAGAGAACACCTTCAAAGAAAGGAAAACCAGCTGACCTGACAGTGAAAACACCAGAGAAGTCAGTGAACAAAGTAAGTCAAGGCCATGTTCTGTCAGTCCTGATGGTTTCTTGCTCTCTGGCACTCGTTTTATCATATTCCTGTGCATGACATTGCCCTCTGCAGAATTCTGCAGCTCAGGGATCCTCAGGGTTACTTTATGGTTATTTATAAACTGCACTGTGTAGTATTAAATCAAGGCATGTCCTTCCCTTGGGAGGGTATGATGAGACCTCCTTCCATAAGCATTTAAATATCTCGCTGTGGAACGTGGTGTATGGCCTGACACATCCTCCCCACATGCACACCCTGTGGGTTAAGCTTGCAGCTTCCAAATAACTGCCTGGTTTTGGGGTGTGATGCATTTGAAAACCCCAAACCCAGGCAAACAAGTCCTTGAAGATGATCCAAAGATGTGCTCAGTCTCTGGTGACATCAGCAGGGAGAGTCAAGCAGATGTGTCCCAGCAGCTGCTGATCCCAGCACAATGTTCCTCAGACCCAGCTTACTTCAGGTCCTCCAAGAGCTGAGGTCACAAACCTGTCAGTGTAATCTCCTCTCCTGTTGTGACCTGGTTGTGTGGGCTGGAGACTCTCTCTGTAGCAATGCTGTTGCAGTCAGTTTTCATGTACAAGTCGAAGCCAAAAGTTAAGAACAATCGAGGTTATTTATGATAATTCATAACATCTCCCAGTTGTTAAAGGTCTCATCCAATGTGCAGTGCCAGACATGCAAACTTTTTTAGATTATCTCTGCTGAGGGTTGTTGTGGTGTTACTGAGAGCAGCCAGCAAGATACAGTTATCTTATGCTGTCTGATTTGCTTAACACCCAGAGGAGTTGCTGCAGGGCTTCCTCACCCTGTTCTGCACCATCAAGTGGAAGATGATGAGGGTTTTTTTCCCCCAGACTGTATTTCCCCCCCCTCCCCAGGAGGCTGTGAATATGCTTCCTAAGGAGCTGAGCACCTTGCATTGCTCGCTGCTATTTAAAAAATAAAATAAAAAATAAATCTGAGAGTACTCCCTGAAGGCTTTTAATTCCAATGATGTTTCAGGATGGTATCTTGAGATACCTTCCTTTAAACTGATGTGTGACCACATTAAATACATTAGAAAATGAAGAGCCCTTTTTCAAAATGCTCTTCTATATCAAATAGATATTAGTATATTAATAATTGATGAAGTTGTTGCTTTTCTTTCCTTCTCCTAAAAATGATGCAAGAGGATTTACTAATAAGCCATGCTGGTCAGCAAACCCTTTTTTTATGCACAGATCAGGACTTTTTTATTGGAAAACAAAACACTTGCAATAATTTTTATTACTGTACATGATTATTTAAGCTGTATTCATTTTTATACCGTGAAATATTGTTGACTTCTGGCTCATTCCTTATCTATTTTAATAGCTACTGGCCAACTAATCAATTAGTTGGATGTAGGCAGCTCATTAGCTTTGTGTGGAGGGAGTGGGGAAGAGGATATGCCTGGATTGCCACCAGGTTTTCTCACTGGAATATAGACATCAGTTGACAAACAGGAGATTTTCTGTCAGAAGGCACACTTGACAAACCAAATATCATCCTTTTCTCCCTCTTGAGTACTTAAGATGCTATTTTCGTGCTCTTGAAGTAGATAATCACTGTAGAGCAGAAATAGCAATACTAAAAATTAATGTAAAATCACCGTGTGTGAGCTGAAGGTTATGCTCAGCCCATGCAAACATCTTCTTCTCCTCTTCCCCTTTATACCTTGATGAGGGCAACACTGGAGGAGTTTTTTTCAGAGCCTCCTTTTGTCCCCTGGACACTGTCTTTGATTCTTATCATAAGGCATAGTTATAGGTACCACAGTGTCCTTTAACATTTATGTTAACATGCAGATTTATGATATGTTTTTCACTGCCAAAATGCAGGGGAAAAAGGGATGGTTCCAGCTGTTGTAATTGGGTGTATTCTGTACAGCTCACTGTGACCCTTGCTGGTCATCTGTGTCTCATACATGATGCATTTCCAGTGATTATTTAAGGGAAAACTTCAAAAATCATCCAAAAATATCTCCATGTGTCAGGCAGGGGAGTGGAGATGATGTTTTGCCTGAATTTTAAGTTTTTCTCATGTAATGCCCAAAAGGGGAAGGGGTGGATGCCCCATCCCTGGAAATGTTGAAAGCCAGGTTGGATGGGGCTTGGAGCAGCCTGATCTCGTGGAAGGTGTCCCTGCCCATGGCAGGGGATGGAACGAGATGAGCTTTAAGGTCCCTCCAACCCAAACCATCCTGGGATTTCATGGTTTTACGCACACATACACACACCTACGTATGAAACCTTTGGACCTTGGAAGAGGATTCATTAAAAAGTGTTCTTAGGGAATATCACCCACAAAGCTAGCAGGGAAGCTGATTTAAAAAAAAAAGGGGCTGTGTCCCAGGTGGTGTCCAGTGGCTGGACTCACATGCCTTGGTGTGCTCGATGGAAGGGTTTGTGTTTCCACTTGCTATTCTGAGCTCTCAGTCAGGCCCATCCCTCCCATGCACCAGGGCAGTGTTTAAGCTATTAAGTCTCAAGCCTTTCTACGGGAAACAGTTGTTGAATGAAATCCATAAACAGCCACCGGAGCAGGAACTGCAGCCCACATTTTTTCACTTCTGTTTGAGAGCTCTGAGTGCTGGGCCATGGTCGTACTCGCTCAGGGAGCACACGGACTCTCTGAGCCCTGAAATGTGTGATCATTTCCTGTGAAGCGCAAAACCTTCAGGGAGAGTCTGAACCTCTCCACAGATGAACAGTTGGACTCAGTGATCTCAGAGGTTTGCTTCCAACCTAAATGTTTTCATGATTCTCTATCCCAGATTAAGCTGTGCAGTGGTGAGGGCACAAGCCTGCAAAATGGGAGATGTCCTTTTTCGTGTCAGTGAGTTGCCAGGATGCTCCTCAGCAAGGGAGTTCAGGGCGCTGTGGGCTGCAGATCAGAACTTGAGGTGCCTGGCAAGCAGTATTGTCAAAAAGTGGAAGCAGCAGCAGATTTTGGGCCCTTCCCAGATGAGATAGAAAATGACAGGGTGGTTTGCAGATCTTGGATTGGAACTTAGACTTCTGAAGTTGGAGCTAGATGGAACTTGGGATTCTAATCCTTTTATGCAACTGGCCCCAAGTTACTAACCAGCACTGCCTATAAATTGTTCCTCCTGAAACCTTTTGGGCTGCTGGCCTGATTTTGCAGAAAAGCAGCAGTTTAACAGCTGACAAGAGTATGGGGAGCACACAATGCCCATAGGTCATTAATTCTTGAAGGTGAATTTACTGAGGAGATAATGGATGAAATCTGACTCTGTTAAGCTCTCTGCTCCTTTTCTAGCAGTGTTCAGGAGTTAATTTAAATCTCACTTAGGAACTACTTGTGGCATTAAAAGTCCTCCAGGCATACTCTGGTAAACTTTCCCTTGTCCAGAGTGCCTTTAAGGTATCGTGTATCACTTCTGAATTTCCTCCTCTAGTGTTGGTGGTGGCACGGAAGTTGGTGACCACAACTCAGCCTCGTTCCAATGAATTGTTCCCTTCTGCAACATCCATTCACCAGTGTCAAAATTTAGCTTTCACACTTCATCACGGTGGAAAGCGTGCGAGTTCCCTTGTTCCAGCAGTGTCACAAAATTACTTAGGTTGGAGGTTCATCAGAGTGGAGTTTTTGTTCAGAGGATTTCTTATACTTTACAAGGGCATGTAGTGATAGGACAAGGGTGATGTCTTTACACTGACAGAGAGCAGGTTTAGATTAGATATTAGGAAGAAATCCTTCCCTGTGAGGGTGGGGAGGCCCTGGCACAGGTTGCCCAGAGAAGCTGTGGCTGCCCCATCCCTGGAAGTGTCCAAGGCCAGGTTGGACAGGGCTTGGAGCAACCTGGGCTGGTGGAAGGTGTCCCTGCCCATGGCAGGGGGTGGAACTAGCTGGTCTTTAAGGTCCCTCCAACCCAAACCATTCTGGGATTCTGTGATATGTTTTTTTCTTTCACCCTCCCCAGTTTGGTGTGGGGATTTCAAAGCAGTGCCCTTGATGTCATCAGTAGCGTTAATCTTGGCCTAAAACTGATCAAGATTAGCCTTCAGTTTGGAATGCAGGTAATGCAGAAAGTTAAAGCATGGGTGTAGTTTTGCACTGACTGTTCTTTTGAAAGAGAAGTAACTCAATTTAAAAGTGTTTGTGGTAGAAGGGGTTTTCTCCACTCCTCATGGAATGTACCTCAGTGTCACCATCACCATACTTCAGGTGTGTTAAAGGAACCTTGCCCTTAAAACCCCTGAAGTTTTAACACACCTCTCCTTTTTTCCCCTCCTCTTTAGAATGTATCATGGCTGGAGGAGAAGGAGAAGGAGGTCGTCAGTGCTTTGCGCTACTTTAAGACTATTGTGGATAAAATGGCAATTGATAACAAAGTGTTAGAGATGCTGCCAGGCTCAGCCAGCAAAGTGCTGGAAGCCATCCTGCCCTTGGTGCAAACTGATCCTCGCATCCAGCAAAGGTAAGTTTCCTCCTTGGATTTTGGGACCCTGGCAAACCAACCCAGCTTCTCTCCTTTCTGCCTGAAGACCCACATGGTGCAGGAGACAGGGAATGCTGTGGTGGCTAATGAAGTGACTGCTATTTTTTACTAATTATGTGGTGGTTTTCAAACATAATTCAAAAGCAGATTCCCTGCTGCGAAGGAGCTCATGCTGTGGCAAGATAAAGCAAATCAGACTGGCTTCAGAGAGGAGGAAGGGATGATTCTTAGCATAAACTTGGAAATTCATCATTTGCTAGTGGGAGATTCTCCTCAGATGGTATTGCTGTTACTGCAGTCCATGATGGTACCCTAAAAGCTAACAAATCCAATAGCTTTACCTGAAAAAGGAGTTTATCTTCAGAGTAATCCTTTTTTGTGTTCAGTTTATCCACTCTGATGTTACAGATGTCTGAGCCTTCACTCTTCACTGCTTTTTTGGATTTGAGTGGATCAGATGCAGAAGTAAATAGATGTACTTCAGCAGATTAGCCAAGTTCATTCCTGTGCTCACTCAACAGATTATTGTTTTATGTTTTAACAGATTATGTGTATTATGTTTTTAGCAGTTAGGCAGTGGGTTTGAAGCCATGAAAGAAGTAGAAATTTGCCAAAGCCAAGCTCATCATGGATTATAAGAATTTGTGGACTTGCCAAGCCATAGAGCTACAGCTGCTGTTCATCCCATGGATGCTGGAGCTGTGGATTTACAGAAAGCAAACATTGTTGAATAATATGGAAAGAGCAAAGTTAGCACAGACAGAGAAAAGCACAGAAATAAGCAGAGAAATGCAGGTGTTTGGTTCCTGAAATCCTACCAGGTTTTGCATTGTTCCTATTTGTTTTCCCATTAAATATCTCCAGATTTTTTTTGGTTTAAGATCCTTATTTCAGCTGTGGTGCAAGAAGGCGTTATAGCATGGTTGAGACAGCACTGGGGTGACAAATGCTTTGTAAACAGAATACTCAGCTGTGTTTGGCCCCAGTGCACAGGCCAAATAGTTCAAAATGAAGGAGGAAGTGGGATTGTGTCAGTCCTGGGGCTGAGACAGGTAAGATCCAGTTTAGGTTGGATCTGTCAAACCACAGAGTCCAATAGCTCTTGGGATGGGAATGTTCATCTGGATGCAGACCCAAAAGTTTCCTCAGTTGTTACCAGGTTTCCCCTTGCCATTAAATTCCTGAAAAGCACCTGCTTTCACTTAATAGAAGATATAACAAACTTTCCTCTTACACCAGGAGAACATGTGAAATGTCAGCAAATATGTTTAGAGTAGAACATGTCATTTTTATCATCACTTGATTTGATTTATGTATTCAGGGGGTGTTTGCTGGGTGATTTTTCCTTCCAAGAATATATTTGGAAATAAATATCAAATAAGTGGTGTTCAGCAGATGAAGTATTTCAGGCATTTCTATTCTTCACAATTTTTATCTGTTCTCTCTTAGTAGTGAACTCATGCTAAACTTGACTGTTGGATACCCATATTTGTCCATATAAGCAGAATTTTCAGTCAGTACTCAGTGGAGTCCTCTACACAGTGATAAGTCTCTCTTTCTGGAAACAGCATGGATGAAGGCACAGATCCCATGTGTATGCTGTGCCTGTCTCAGCCTCCCAAAAAAACCGAAAAGGAAATCTGGCTTTCTCAAAAAACCATGTCCTTTCCTGCCTACCTATTGTATGTTAGTGGCAGGACACAAAGTGGTCATCTTGATGGCAAATCCCCCTCAAGAAAAGTGAGCAAGGCTTGTGTCAGTGTAGAAGAAAGCCCTACAATTATTGTTGGACTTCTTTTTGCTTTAGGGGAAGCATTTGCATCAAGGAAAAAAGTAATTAAATCTAGCACAAAATGGGCTTTCAATTACCGCCTCCTTAGGAGGAAGCAGGCTGAAGATTAATGGCAAAGAAATCAAAGCCATAGAAAGAGAAGGGGGAGGGCCCTGTTGAGGAAATATCTCCTAGCAAGCTAATTTCATTTGAAATGAGAACAAATGGCAAGCAGCATCCTTTAAAAAAAAAAAAAAAAAAACAAACCCAAACAACAACCACAATCAAGTCCTTGCCATTGTTTGTATCCCCTGGTTCTAAGGTGACAACAGTTCTCTCCCCAGTCCTGCAAACCTCATTCACCCAAATAAACTCATTGAAGCTTGTGGGCTTGGTTCTTTTCTCTCAGGTAATGAAATTACTGGAGTTAAGCCAATGTAAAATGGATACCAAAGAGAAACAGGAAGAGCTGGAACACTTGTATCAGTAATGATTGCAAGATTACACCTTCTCTTATCTGTTTATGGTTTTGATGCAGCTTGAAATTGATTTAACTTGACAAAGAATTGCTGAAACGCTGCCATCAGCAGTACTGTTAACACACCTTGTTTAGTAATGAAGTCAGTGTTTTCAGAATGGCCAGGAAAATGCCTGGGAGCACTGTTGTTACAGTTAACTTTTACTTAGAGTTGTCATCCTTCCAAAATTCTTTTTTTTTTTCCCCTTTTTTTTTTTCCCTTCAGAACAATAGCTTCAATTCTGTTTCTCATTAAAAACAAAACAAAGCAACACCCTTCCTCTTTCAAACCTGAAATTCATTCAGTTCAATTTCTCTAAAGAAGTAATTTTAATTACATGTTTTCAGGCATTATAAACAGTGAGGCAATCATTTGTAAAGGAATGAATAGAGTCAGCTCTCAATGATCCAAGGCATTTTTGGGGAGAGTTAATAAGGAAGAAGGAAACCATAAATAATACTGAAATAATACAGATTAAACTTAAATGTAGTACTTAAGTACTTATGTTTAAAATTAAGGCATAAGATGGAGCTGTAAAATAAAATGGAAAGAATGTTATTTTTAGCATTGCTGTGTTAACCTGCCCACATAATTCCTTCTGATAACTGGGAATGAACTGTTGATGGTTTGTACTTTCCTATTGTCATCCCATTGGGTGCAAGAGAGCGGGAGAGCAACTGCAGCTGAGCAACTGAAGAGAAGCCTGAGCTTTGTCACCTGCTCAACACAAATTCCGAATGTCAGAGGGAAAAGGAGAGCAATCCCACTTTTAACAGTGTGAAATGCACTCTCATGACGTTTGGTGGTGTCTCCATAATTTCATTTTTGTTCTTTTTTCCTCCCCTGCTGCCCAGCTCTGCCATCTCGTCCTGCTACAGCCGCGTGTACCAGAGCCTGGCCAACCTCATCCGCTGGTCTGACCAGGTGATGCTGGAGGGGGTGAACTCAGAAGACAAGGAGATGGTGACAACAGTGAAGGATGTCATAAAAGCTGTTCTGGATGGAGTCAAGGTACGTGAGAGAGATGTTGTAAATCACGTTATATAAAGCACGTGATGATGTGCTTTAGAAAAGATCTGTGTAAGAGAGGTTTTTAAGTGAGGGTTAAATATGAAGGTCCCATTGTTGCCTTCAGTTAACTATCCCTTAAATCAACTGCTCCATAAGTGAAATGATCCAGCTTGGAGTGCTGGTTAAAGACTAGCACAAACAGTTTGGCTCTTAATGTGAACTTCTGAAATGCTTACCCTGGCATTTGGGTGAATTGGAAGAAGCAATAAATCTTTATTTGGCGTTGTATTAATTTTTCAGCAACTCATTCCCGGTCTCCTATGCAGAGTTTGCATATTTTCTGTCTAGGCAAAATAAAACAAAAATGTTTCCTGTCAGTGCCCACAGAGAATCAAAGGCTTCAGCTCCATCTTCTAAGATAAAATTCAAGGGGTTTGTCAGTGATACATCACCAGTCTCAGCAGTTGGATTAGGGTGTGGAACAGGTGATGAGCTAAACTCAGTTTTCTAGAGATTAACTTTGCATAACGAATGGAAATGTTTAACAGAAAACTTTGTATCCATTATGAGACGTGCTTGTAGCATTCCCTCACTGTTCCACCCTGGGACAGCTGTTGGATTTCCTTCTACCTCCCTGGGAGTTTTTGGTACCCATTATTTCCATGTTCCAGGCTTGTCATTCACCTGTCTTAACACTGCAGGTAAAAGTTTGCTTGACCTGGGCTTAGGACAGACTGTCATCTCCTGCTGAATGCAAAAATGAAGTGGGTCTCCCAGGCTTTGACTGTCACATTTTCAGACCTCTTGGTTTGCATCCTCTGGATATCTCTTTAGTGTTACTCAAACACAGATACTAAAATCTGCTGTTACTTTATGAGCCTTTAAAATAAATATCTTTGAAACAAAACATTTCCATCACCTAAAGAAGACAGATTTTCCAGGATTATTTAGTGCAATATGCTCTTTAAGCTCCACGTTTTAAAAGTAAAGCTGGTCTTAAATTTGCACAGCAGGAGAGAGAAAAAGAGTTTAACCTAAAGTCTCAGCTGCTGTTAGGGTGGGAATTCAGCAGCAATTTGCAGTATGTGAAAATCTGTAGTATCTGAACTGTAATACCCCAGCAAATGGTGAGTTATCACTGACTGGATCTGCACAGTCCTGTGGAGAGATGTTTTATCCCCAGGGCAGAATTGTGCGGTCTCATGGCAGGAGACTTGGACACGCATTGTCCTTTCACTTCAAGCAGTATTGAAACCCTTGATACCTGTTGCTTCCAGCCAGAGCAGCATCCTCTCTGGATGGGGGAGGAGGTTTGGGGCGGGGGGAAGGTCTGGGATGAGGGGAAAGGTCTTGGATGGGAGAAGATCTCAGTCTTGGATGTCTGCTCTGTGATCCAGCCCGGGCTGGGAGCAGCACGGGCATGTCCATGCAGTGCCAATCCTGAGCTCTGGAGCACCACTGAGCACCATGGTTATATCAGTCTCTACTTTGTTGTTAGACTATAAGTTATTTTGACCTTCCAGTTGGAGCTGACTTACGTCTGGTCAGCCTGGAACATGGTTAGAGCAGATGTGTGGCTGTCTGGGTAGATGTGAACATGTCTGCCCATCAACAGGGCAGCATTTGGAAGTGGCATGCTCTCATCTACTGCATGGCAAAGCACGAGGTTTATTTTAGTAGGGCCAAGCCAATTTTCAGATCTGGAAGCAGAACTGAGAACTTGGGACACTTCTCTCCACAGCAGAACCTACTTTGTTTTTCTGGCAGATCACACAAGATCCACTTCCACATTTCAGTGCTTACTTCCCCCTTTATTTTCAGAACTGAGCATAAAGGAGTTGCTTGTTCACCTCTCTAACTTGATGTTTTGATCTCAGGTTTTAGAGCCTTGCTAGGCATATATAAAAGGGGAAAAAAAATTCCTTGTTTTGATTACATAACTTCTTAAAAATCCATCTCATTTTGGAATTTCCAGCTTGCTGAAGTAGCATAAGTTTGCAGAGAGGCTTTAATTATCCCTAATTACTGCTGCAGGAATCTCTTTCCTTGCTGATAAGGAATAGCATAATGTGCATCTGGCTCAGTTGTGTGCTGATTACCTCTGTGTGTATGCTAAAGATCTTGGCTTGATTTTCAAATGCTAGTTCTCACCTGGGGATAGTAGAGAGGAGAAACAGTCAGGGTCTGGTGATACTTGTCAAAGTCTGAAGGGAAAGTGGTCCTCTCAAGTGTTAACAATTGTACGTTGTCTTGGTGCCTCTGATGGGAGGTGCTTTGGGTTTTTTTTCCCCACAGTCCCAATGGTTTGAATCATTCTGAAGATGTTTTGAGTCAAAATGGATTGTTTTTCTCCCATTTTAACCTACATTCCCATGTGGTGGACAACTGTGTTATGTCCATTATGACTGGCAAACTAGTGGTGAAGAAAGGTGAGGAAAAGCAAACATTACATTTTCCCTTCCATAACCATTTCAAGGGAATGTTTAAGGAGTATGTTGGCTTTTGGTTTGAATGTTTTATTTCCCTTCTTGTGCTCTTGTGCATTTGGAGTTCTTGCTGGCCAGGACCCAACAGCCCCTCAGGGTCTGACTCCCAGTCTGTTAAAGTGCCTGAGGGTCTCCAGAAACTTCTTCAGCAGTGGGATTTTGTCCAGAAGGCAGGAAGGTGGCAATCCATGGTGTCATCACTCAACCCTGACAGTGACTGGGAGCATAGTGCCAGCTGCAGCCATAAGGGTCAAATGGTGTCACTGGGTAATTTCCAAATGGTCCAATTCACAGAAAAAACTTGTTTAGGGTTTGTAGGCTCCCAGGTCCTACGGTTGTGTTTCCTAGTGATGTTCTGTAAACTTTACAGGGGAATTTCTAAAGTCTTAAAGGAATAGCAAGGTTTTAATTAGAGACTATTCATCCTGAAAGAGAAGATAGAAGAGAGGAAAGTACGTTTTGTTAAAATAGTTCCCGTTGAGTAACAAGGGACACTCAGCAGAGAGGTCTGAGGTCAGTTCAGTGTCCGTGTTACCACTGTAGCAGTTGTGCCATTGGAGGGCCTGAATTATTGGACTTTATTGTGTAACTTGCCATTACCACAGTTGTTGCTGATGGATTGTCCAAAGCCCTGTCGGTGTGTTGCTCCTTGTTGCTGAGTATTTCCTTGCTGAGGGATGTGGCTGCCCTGGGAGGTGGGGGCTGGCCAGGCTGTCCTGTGGTCAGTTTGGTGCTGTGCTTGTCCTCCTCAGGGCACTTCTCAGAACAGGCTGTTCCTCGCCAGGGCTCTCGTCTGTCTGTCCCAACAGGAACATCTTCATAGCATTAGTCCCCGTGGACATCTGTGTGTGCTCTGTTTGTGTTCCCTCTTCCTTCCCCCGGCGTGGGATTTTCCAGGACAGCTTGTGGAAAGCTGAGTGTTTGTCCTGGTTTTGGTTAACACGGTGTACGTTCTGTTGGAGCACAAGCTCACACCAAGAATGTTAAGTAAAACATGGAAACCAAAATCAGCTGAGGTGGACACTTGGGCACTGTGTTTGTCATCCTCTGCACATCCAGTGCAGCACCTTAATTCCTCTTGTTGTGCATGTGTTAACTCATGGAAGTTCAGCTTTAAATGGAGCCTCATGCAAAAATACCAGAACTAGAATGTTTTCCTTCCTCAGAAGGATGATGGTGATGACATTCCAGTTGCAGTTACTGCACTGAGAGAGCAATGCCAGTTGTTTCCAAGCTCCGCAGACAAGGACATGAAGATGATACTGGAATGATGACACTCTACTTCAGGCTGCTTTAAAAAAAAACTAATTAAAATTGATCCCATATCATTTCCTTTGCGTAATATGCTGGGAAGCCAATACTGTCAGGAAGCACTGCCAGTTTTCCAGCCTGCCTGTAACAGGGCATGTGTTTGTATCTGTGAGCAGTAGATCTGTTTGTTGGCCTGCCTCCATAAAATGTTCTCTCCATCTTTCTGGAATAAATGATTGTTGCTTTGACTGCTGGCAGACTCAGAGTTCAGGATTATCGTGCCCTTATCTCTTTATCCAGAGCCTTATCTGCCTATAACAGATGCACTACAGTGGCTCCTTGAATGATTAAGACTTGCATTGCTAACGTGTTAAAAAGTGGCTTTAGGGGAAGCAGGCCTTTTAATAAAGGGGTTTACTGTTTAATATGTTGTTGGGCATCTTACAGAAAACTTGCATTTTTAAACAAATACATATTTATTTATAAACTATCAAACAATTATTTAATGGTTTGGGGTTTTTTTGGCTAGGTTAAGTGCTCCACTGGGTAAGACTCGTTCTGCATTTACATTTATATATGTAAAGCCAATTTGCCATTATCTAGGGTGTTGTGGGGACTGGAACACATTTGTGATGATGGAGGAAAGAGGAAGCACAGCAAAAAGCACAGACATGTGTGGGTTTGTGCAGAATCCCCACAGGGCCAGGGTTTATGAACTTAACTCAAATATGGCCAAACTGCTGCTGGGTCCAGGCTGCTCCTTAGCAGCTGTTCTGCATCATTTCTGTGGCTCTGTACCAGACCTACACCCAGCTCAGCTCTCTCCGTGTCTGCTAACAAAGAGTTCACTGCAGTAGCATCCCTTTCTCTTCTATGGTGTTTAAGTTGCTGAATGCTGCACTTAAGTAGTGATTATTCTCTTTTTCTTCTCTCCTCTCTATCCATCAGGAGCTGGTCAGACTCACGATTGAAAAGCAGGAGCATCCCTCTCCCACAAGCCCAGTTAAACCCAGTTTACCAGCATGTAAATCTGACAGGTGGGTCCACTGACAAGGATTTCTTCTGTGTGCAGGACTAATATAGAAGGGATAATTTCTGTCTACTGCTGACTGAGTTGAAGCATTCACTTATTCTTCACAGAGGGTGGTGTAGTGTTCTTTATGGAGTCCCATCCATTTCAGTGGGACCACTAAAAGAGAATATCCTGTGATAGGAAAAAAAACCCAAAATCTGGCATTGAAACATCCCCTGTGACACGTGCACGTTCTTTTCTACATATACATGGAATTCCACCTGCAGATGCAAATTCTGCCTTCTGCTGTAGGTGTCTGTTGTATTGCACATGATTTAAAATAGGAATGAATCTGTCAGCAGGCTGCATTCCAGCTGTGGTTTGTGATCTACAATCTGTGTTTTGCATGTTGCAGCCCATCAGAACTTCCCCTTACAGACCGAGAAATGGAGATCCTCAACAAAACAACCAATATGACCCAATCCAACGAGCTGCTGACTGACTCCATGGATGAAGAAGTTGCACCTCCTAAACCCCCTCTGCCCAGCATTCGTGTGGCAGAGAACAGGTAATACTGACCAGCCAGACTGAAGAACACCAGTGCCTCTTACCAGCTGGTTGCTTTTTGAACAGCCTTGCCAAACATGCACAAGAGAATTCATGAGGAGGGCTAGTGCTGCCTCTGAATTTCCAGTCTTCCAGAGTAATTATTCCCTGCTCCTGGACTGTTTATGAATTTGTGTTCTGTCTGTCTTATTATTTTCTCTCTGTGTTTTCCGTTCCTTCTTTTTATGTGAGGATAGTGCCGTGCCCCGAGGTCCGTGCATGAGAGGCATCACAAAAATCCATAAAAACCTGACATAGAACTGAGGGAATTCCACACTGTACAAGTGTTTGGTGCTGCTGTATCCGATGGGAGATGTTTCTTTAACCTCAGCTGGCAGTTACCAACCTGTCCTGCCCAGCCAGGTTGTTCTGCATTGCTTATCAGCTTGAGAGTGAAAGGAGGCAATAGTGAGTGAAAAAAGTCTTGTGCTTGGTTGTTCTTACCCTGTTCTACGAGTAACCACATGAAAGTTTCTGTGTTCTATTTTGAGAAGGAAGAGAAAACCCCCGATTTGCAGGTTTTTGGTCCCTGTGTGTGATGTTTTCCTTCTCTAGGACTGGTGCAAATGGCTGGTGTGAAAAATATATGTTGTGCTCATTTGAAAATGCAGCATCAAGGGCTATGACTGGAAAAAAAAGTCATATTTCTGCATATTTTGTGAATTCTCATGGGTTATATAAAAAGTTCCTCTTCGAAGAACAGAACATGTGTGCTCTTGGGAACCTCACAGGCTTGATGATTACCAGAATTATGTGTCATTAGAAGCAAAAAGTAAAAATTCTGGGGTTAAATTCTCACTAGTTGCTGTTAATGTGTATGTGTGAAACAGATTCATGCCAAAACATGACCCCTTAAGAGTGTCTGTGGTGAGAGCAGCACTGACCCTCTTGTTCCCTGAAGTTCACCAAGAAAGTAGAAAGGGCAGAAAAAGAATTTTCCTCTCCTGTGAATTTTTGAAACTTTGAACGTTTTTCAAACCTTGAAGGTTTGAGAAGGGAAATGTACAGTGGAAACAATATTTGGGTCAGCCAAAACATTTAATTTGGATTTTCGCTGCTTTTAGTAAGAAATAATTACCATGCTAATTAGCTTCATTAAAAATAATTTTTAAAACAGAATTGTTTTTGTTTGAGGAATACAGCTCTTGTCCAACCTTAAAAAATAAGTCACTGAACAGGATGGTACCTGTGAGAATATTCTTAAATTAACGTTTGTCAGTGGATACAGTTTGCTGAATAGCTCCTGGCTGACAAAGGCTTTCTGGAAAACAACCTGTGAAGACTGTAAAAAGTCTTTTTGCTGGAAGAGTGATGGAAGCATCGATGCCTGTTGTGTCTTGCAGCCCTCCACCAGCACTGCCCCCTAAAAAACGTCAGTCGGCACCTTCCCCGACCAGAGTGGCGGTTGTGGCCCCAATGAGTCGAGCTACCAGTGGGTCCAGTTTACCTGTTGGAATCAACAGACAGGTAATGGCATAACCCCTTGGTGAAAGCCAAGGGGAAACGTACTGTGAACTGCAGCAAAAGCTCAGGGAAGTGCCATGAGCTGCAGCCTCACAGGTCCCTGCAGGCCCCTGCTCATCCTGGACAGCCCCACACGGGAGAGCTCTGGAGTGGGAGCTTCAGTGGCAGGAACATCAGTACAATAAATAATGTGAACAGCTTAATTTTTTTTTTTTCTACAGTGTTGTTGCGGTTAATTAACAAATTGCTACAAACTTTGTTGCCTTGAGCTGTAGCAGAGTGTGAGGAGGGAAGCAGTTGAGTGTTGCTGTGTTGAATGGATCAGGGGACAGGGCAGAGCTGGCTGAGCTCACCCAGATCTCACCGTGGTTTGCTTGCAGCCCAGGGGAGCATGTGGCATGGTGAGATCAGAACTCTGGCTTCATCCAGTCACAATTTAAAACATCTTTTAACTCAAGCAGTAGTTTGAGGGGAATTTGTAAATTTTATGGTAGAAAAATGGAAAAGTTGGTGTGTGTTAATCACATTCCATTTCTTGTGCTAGTCTGGGGTTTATGAGGTTGTAAATGGCTGGGTTTGCTTTACACGTTTAGGAACTTACTAACTCAGCAGTGAGGACCTCAATCATATTAAATTGCACAAAAATCGAATCTTGTCCTCATCCCCAAAGCCTCTGCTCTGGCTTGGGGAGCCTCTGCACTCATTTGGCTGACCCAGATAAAGCCATGGCCTTTCTAGTACAGTCACACTAAGGTTGTTCTGATAGAGTGGGAATAGCTGAGGGGTTCACTCAAAGGTTGATAAGCTTGAGGTAATTTCTGAAATAGAACTGTAGTCGTGGGCACAGAAAGTTGTATCTCACAATAGTTTATTTTCCCTTTTATATACCTAAGCCAGCTGATTATTTGCTAAAGCCCCAGGTATTTTATGACAGCTCTTCAGTCTCATTACCTTGTATCAGTGTCATGACAGTCATCAGACACTTATATCTGTGAGAAACTCGTGTCTACGGAGTCCAGTGTGGGTCACAGCCTGGAAGCAAGAACACCCAGAGCTCCCTGGCATGGGTTATTTACCAAATCAGGGTGTTTCTGTGCTCCCCATGAGCTTGTCTACCTAGAGAGGGCCACCCCCACTGATCCTCTCCCCTCCTGAGAGGGGTGTTTGTTCCTCGAGCTTCATCTTTCTTACAAGCGAGCTTCCAGGAATGATGGTGACTCGATGTTCTTTTCGCTGAAGGATTTTGATGTTGACTGCTATGCCCAGAGAAGATTGTCAGGGGGAAGCCACTCCTATGGGGGGGAATCTCCTCGTCTCTCACCGTGCAGTAGCATCGGCAAGCTCAGCAAGTCTGACGAGCAGCTCTCGTCCCTGGACCGCGACAGCGGCCAGTGCTCCCGCAACACAAGCTGTGAAACCTTGGGTGAGTTCTCCAGGCCTGGTGGGGTCCCCTTCTCTCTGCTTTGGGAGCTGTCACAGCTGGGATGCAGAAATAAATGGGTTGTGCCTGCAACTGTCGTGTTGCAGTTGCTGCAGGCGGTTCTGTGCAGTGTTATTTTGTCAGATAGGAAAAAGCCCAGGGGAATGTGTTTCCCTGGCTGTTGTAGATGATTGTGTTCAAACTCAGTTCGGCTCTCAAGTGGAATGTTTTGCTGCTTTCAGCCTTGTCTGCAGAAATTACAATGCTGGTAGACTCAAGCAATGTTGTTTCTGTATACTAGGAAAGAAAATAAAAATATGAAACGTAAATCATGTCTGCAGTCATCTACCTATTGAATTTTTGTTGTTTGTTTGCTAGTGTAAAGAATTAACTACAAGCTTTGTAAAGTCTAGATGTCACAGAAAGTGTAAAAGATGATGCCAGCTTTAAAGAAGTTCCACTCTAATTAAAATAAACTGAGAAATTACTGATGGAATGGGAGGGACAGAACTGAGAAGGACTAAACAGTAAAAGAGAGAAACTAATGCATCATTCTCCTGTCCTCTCTGTTTTACCAGATCAATCGGATCACTATGATCCAGACTATGAATTCCTGCAGCAGGACCTCTCCAATGCTGATCAGGTACCTCAGCAGGTGCCAGGTATCCTCAGCCCATTGCCAGAGTCCTTGGGTGAGTCTGGCTCCCCTTTCCATGGACACGCTTTCCAGCTCCCGCAGGGCAGCTCTTCTCCCCTGGAATTCTGCAGCCTCACGGGAGCAGCACCACCCACAGAGACTCCTCCAGCTTTGCCAGAAAAGAAGAGGAGAAGTGCAGCCTCCCAGACTTCTGATAACTCAGGCTGCAGGGTGTCCTATGAGAGACACCCTTCCCAGTATGACAACATCTCCGAGGATGACCTGCAGAACGCTGTGGTTGTCCCATCAATACCCTTCACGCCGTTTGCTGCTGTTTTGCCTTTCCAGCAAGGAAACTCTTCAGCACCAGTGGAATTCATTGCTGACTTTGCTGCTCCAGATTCTAACAGTGACCCAGAAAAGCCACCACCTCTGCCAGAGAAGAAAAACAAACACAGTAAGCAAGTTTTGGGGTTTACTTGTACCTTTCCCTTTCTTTGCAGTTGTCGTGCTTCTGTTGACCACTAAGCAATGGTAGTGACATTGCCTGTGTGTGTCTGAATGTCAAAATCAGTCAGTGTTAAAGGCATGGAATGGAAATATCAGTCCTTTGGGCAGGGAGTGACTCTTGGAGCCAAGATCAATCCAGGCCCAGGGGAGCTGGCATCACACACCATCTTCATTACTCTAGTGAGACCATTTTACTTCTCTGTTTATCTGAATGAATCTTTGAGGCACTTTGCCTTGCAGATCTTCCTGGTCTATTCTCCCTTTTTATGTCCATTCCTTCTCCCCTTCCCCCATTTTATGTTTTCCCCCTGCAGAAAAGAATTGGGTCCTCTCCAAGAGCTTGGAGAAAGGACTGCTCTTCTGTCCAAAACCGAGCCTTGCCAGAGCAGTTATTTGGCAACAGGAGCACAGTCACCCACATAGCTGTGCAGGACAGCACTATTAACCCAGTGTCCAGTACTGCTGTTTTGCTGTGGATCTCATTTCCTTCGGATGCCTGAGAATTTCCCACATCATTAAAACGAGCAGCCTCTAAAAGCGAAGGCTCCTGTCCCCAGCCAGACTCCTGGCACACCAGTGCTGACCACAACTCAAGCTCACAACCTTCTTCTGATATCCTTAATGGCTGAAAAATGTGGGACCTCTTGCCAAACAGTTGGCCATACTGCTCTGCCAGTGAGGGCTGTGGGGCTACACAGGGAGATCCAGCAGGTGTTTGCTGGTCCCTGACTGGCTTTGCAGTTGTGTGTTGCATGAGGAGGCAAGGATCTGGATGAAGTGCTGAGTTGGCTTTCTGACTCCTGTCCTGCAGTTTGTAGACTTTTCACTGAGAATAATTTTTGCCCAGAATGGTTGTGGACTCTCCATCCCCTGGAGGGGTCCCTTCCAGGACAGGCTGGATGGGGCTCTGAGCAACCTGGTCTAGTGGAAGGTGCCCCTGCCCATGGCAGAGTGTTGGAGCTATAGGATCTTCAAGGTCCCTTCCAACCCAAACCAGTCTAAGATTCTGTGATTCTATGAATAACATGGGAGTGAGATGGTGTGTTGTGCAGCAGGGTCACCATTCTGTCCATTCCTGTGCAGTGTACTCTGCCAGTCACTTCTTCAAAAATGTACCCTGTCTAAAAGCATTTCCATTATCCATAAGTGGCCAGTCCACATGAGTAACCTCCAGGGATTTTACTCAGAGCACAAGGCTTGACCCACCTGAAAGTGAGGGACATCTTGTAGTTCAGTGTCCCACTATGCAGGAAGTCACTGTTGTCTCTCTCTGGTAATCAAGTGGTTAAAGGTATTAAAAGCAGCTAAAAAGGAGCTGAGATGTTTGTCTGCAGACAACAGACAGGAAATAAATGCTGGCACAGGGCATAGCCAGGGCTGGTTGTTATGGCTTGTGCTGTTCAAAATAGTCATCTGCAGTACCAGCTGCGATACCTTCCTGCAGGGCCAGGTCACTGTGGGGCTGCACGTGAGTAACCAGGGAGGGGTGTTACACCACTCAGACTGGGATGGCTGCAGGGAAATGCACTTCTGTGCACACAGGCAGCTTTAGTGGAGGGGAGATTCCTGGGTGAATCTTGGGGAAGAGGCAGTTTAACAGCTCAGAGAGAGACCTGGGCTGTTTGCTTTTCTCTCTGAGCCCCATTTCTTTGTTTTCTGTTATCATGTGAGATGTCAAGGAGTTACTTTAAAACAAGTTTAAAAGCTACCTTTGGTGTTATTGCCCGAGCACAGTTTTAACCTCAATATCAAGGCCTTGTATGTGAATTTTCTTTGATGTTAGAATAGAGTGAATTGTCATCTGGCACTATCAGAAGTTTTAGGGCTATTGATCAGATTGCATTGTCAGGAGAGGAGGGAGCTGTTACCTAATGTGTTGTCAACTCTGATGGTTTGATAAAGCATCCTTGCTGCAAAGCTTTGGGCTGATACCTGGCTTGCTGTGGATTTTTTAGTTGCATTCATGTGACACTGAGAACTCATTTTAGGTTGTCTTTACTCCACAGTATATCACACCACAGATCTATGGTTGCTAGTTTTACTTTTATTTTCAGCATTAAAAGGCCAGTAAAACATTACCCAGGCTGCATGGTGACAGCCAGGATAGTTTTTGCCATATCGGTGAGGCGGGGCTGCTTCCACAACCCTGACAAACTCCTGGGGTCTGGAGGAGTTGCATGAATTTCTTAAAGAGATCTAGAGCTCACACAGACGGGACTTAGTTGTAGTCCCTTTTTTTGTGGGTCATCTTTTGGTAGCTGGCAGGAAATGTTGCAGCAGAGACTGTGATGGTCTTTTTATTGGTAAATACAGAGCAAATCTGCTGGAGTTAACCTTGTGTATTGCTGTGAGCTGTGCTCAGAGGGACCTCCAAGAGTTGACTTCTGTATAATTTAAACAGAGGAGTGATAGGGCTTTTAGTCTGGTATGAATTATGGTTGTTTTACTGTGCTGTAAGAGTACATGTTACTGTGCTAAGGGCAAATTACTCCAGACTTCTGCTTGAGCACCAGCATCGTGCTCCTGCTGAACAAGACACAGCCACGGAACAGCTTCTGCCATTAAGAGCCCAGAGTCAGAAATAACAAGATCCTTCCCCCAAACAGCTAGGGAAACTACTGGTGAGGCACTTATTCATGTTTCCCTCACTGTCAGTGGGAACAAAATGCAGGCTGGTGCCCTGTGAGCAGCTGGTATTTAAGTGCAGGAACCACGCTGGGGGCAGGCTGGGCTTAGCCAGCGGATAATGCGGGCTCTGTGAGGAACAGCTCTCCTCCCAGGGGTGACAGCAGCGACTGGCTCATTTGACCTTGACTTCTCCCGTGAGTTGATGTGTGGTATAGCTTAAGAATGTCCATCATTTTGGCTCTTGCCCATGCACACAGATCTGCTGGCTCGTGCAGGGCCTGGCTGGGGACACGGCACCAGTGTCGAGCTGGGCCTTCAGTGAGCCTCCCTCGTGGGATCTGTGCCTTACCTTATGGCAGGTGTGCCTTAGTGCTGATAATCTGTTAGCAATTCCTTGCAGACTCCTCACTGCTCCTCTCCTGTTCTGGGATGAGTGGTTGAGCAGTACCTGTGACTTCTACCATACGGGCAGAACTGGTGTGTGCTGGAAATCCCTGAGTAGCTTTAGCTCCTTCAGAAATGACAGCCGAGACACTGCAAGCAGATTGCTGGGAAGGTGTTCCTAGCCTCAGTCTGAGATTTTTTTGGTGTTGTTTGGTTTTTTTTTTAAATTTCACATATTTTCTGTCTGGGTTAAGAACTGACATAAGCTGGGCATGTGGTGGGAGAGGTTTCTCTCTCACGCCTCCCTTCTCTCCCGAGGTGCTGCCTTGAGACTGTCACTCCACCCTAGCTGCTCACTGTGGAGGCTGCAGCCCCCATCCCTCCCTCTGCACAGTCGCTGCAGGGCGTGCAGCCTGAGCTGAGCTGGTGATGTAATTTCCCATCTGCTTTTTGAATTTCTGCCTTGTTAAAAACCATAGTGGAGAGCAGGGAGAGCAGACCCTTAGCAAACAGCAGTCTCGGGGAGTGGCCTTTCTCCTTTACTCTCCTGCTCAAGACTGGCAGGATTTTAATGGTGCCCATTTCAATTTGCACTCTGAAGTCTCTACCCCTGAGCCAGGTTTGTATTTCACCATCCCAACTGTTTTTCACTTCACCTAAAAACAAAGATGACAAAGTAGAAAGCAGAGACATGCCCACCTGCCCTGGACTAGTCGTAACAAGCGAGGCAGGGCAGCTGCCATGACGATGGGACGCATTAGCCTCATAAAGAGCTGAGATAAAAGAGCTCTTCATTATTCCCTTGCAGATTGAGTTAAGGCTCTCGACAGCATTCAGGCTCACTGCCTTGAGTTACAGTAATTTAATTTCGCACAAGTGTCTAATGTGATGCCCTTTTCACCAACACTTCCGAGCTGTGGTGTCATTCCGACGTCTGAGCCCAGGAGCTCACAGCCAGTGATCCCGATCTGCAGATCTGGATGTTTAGTGCAGCACTGGTTTTGTAGGTGACTCCACATGAAGGGTTGATCTGAATTCAGCACTGTCTGCTGCATTATGCCAGCACTGCCAAGCCTGCCTTCTTGGCCTTTGTCCTGCTCAGTTGATGAGCTCTCAAAATGTGGTCTTTTCCCTCGAGCTCTTGTCCTCTACAGATCTCCAAGGAGTCTTGATCCTTAGTTCACTTTTGCTGCTAGAAAATATCTTTCATAAGCTTTCTTTATATTTTATCCTCTAAAGTTGCTGTATGATGCCAAGGCATTTTCCAGGGCACAGGTATTAATAGGAACACGTTAGTCAACTGAATCACTGATATTTGAAAACAGTATTTTAGTAATTCTGTGTTTTCTACTCCAAGACTCCTCCACCATGATTCCAAATAGGAGAATATTGCCAGAACACGTTTCTTTTCATTGGTAGGACTTAGGATGAAATTCATGTTTGTGAGCTAATTTGACCCTGGCTTTAACCTGAGTGCCAACACCAGCAGGTGGGTGGCACAGACACCCCCCACACGTGTGCCTGGTGTTTGAAACCTCTGTCACACCTCTGCAAGAAGGAGAGGTCTGGACCAGCAAGGGTGGTGACACATCTGTGAAGTGGTGGGGGGAAGACAGGAGGGTGGTTGGGGGAGGAAGAGGAGCAAGGCTCAGGTAGCAGGGGGAGTTGGAGGTCAGAATTCCAGCAGCATTGGCAGAGCTGGCTGTACTGCAGGACACGAACAGGTTGTCCACTGGCAGGACTGTGTGGGGTCACAGGATGGGGACAGCAGGTGTTACCGGCCAGGATTGAAATCCATCAGCTCCCATTTCCTGTGCTCCCATTGCCTCAACCCTTTTTTTTTGTTTTGTTTTGTTTCTTTTTTCTTTATTCTGTTTTTTGGAGGAGGGCTATAGCTCTTTGCGAGGGGGCAGCTGTGTTAGCTCCAGTTCTAAATGGAGTTTAAAATATTAGAGGAAATCTGAAAAAAGGTGCAGCAGACAGGTGCAAAGTGACTCCTTCCTGCTGACACATTTGCAGGGCTGCATCCTGTCTGAAAGGCTGGCCCGGGGGTCTGTGTTGGCAGGTGAACAGAGGACTTGGCCTTGCAGCCAGTGTGGGAACCAGGTTCACTCTGTGCAAATACTGCACTGTGTCGTTGTATTTATAGCTTTCACTGAAGTCATCCATTCGTTTCAGCTGTGCTACTGAAATGCCAGCAGAAGCTGAATAATTGCCACCAAAAATGACCAGATCTACAAAAAGTGACAACTGCTTGTTTATCAGGAGGAAGGGAGGAATGATCACAGTGTCTTGAGCATGACAGCATGTTTACAGAAAGGCCTTGGTTAGTCCTTTCCATGACACTTAAATATGTCTGCTTCTCCTGTTCTCAGGTATATGGAAGAGAGTTCTTTCTTTATTTTACATTTACTCAGTACACTTCAGATCCTTAATAACTGGGAGTTGTAGTAGTTTTTATATGACACTGGATATTATGACCCCTCCAACACTAAAATCTTGCAGCAGATATATCCTCTGTCAGAGCTGCACAGGCTGACCTCTGTGGGGCTTTTTCATAGATTTTGGAAGGACATTGTACCAATGGAAAGTTCCTCTAAGTGAGATTTGATCCCAGTTAATATTTCTGTTGAACCACATTCTCACAGAAGCTTTTGAATCGGTTGGATTTGAGAACTGGAGGTGATAAGTTGCTTTAAAAAGGGATGGGAGCAAAGTATGTTGGATTTGAGCTAAGGGGGTAGAAAAGCACAGCCAGTGGCACTTTTGGAAGGTGTCTTGTACCAGCATTGGCAGTGGCATTTAAATAGCTGAAGGAGAGGTACACCCAGTCTCACAGGTAGGTGTTCTCTGGTAACAGTTTTATCAGCTTTCTGGAATGGAGAGACACTGTAGCCTCCTTGTTCTAGAAATCTTGCTGACTACAGATATGAGACTTATTATAGACACAAGAATTATTTTAGATTTATTGTCAAGGTTGCATCTTCGTACAAGATGATTTGTGCTTCCTAAAATGCAGACTGACGTTATCCTGTGGTTTTTTTGGTGACTTTGGACATTAACTCCCCAGGAACATTCTCAAAAATTGCTGTGGGTTACGTGAGGATTTGGGCTGAGCTGCAGTAAATCAGACTTCCCAAGTTGCTGTTTGGAGATGTCTCTTGTTCCTTAAAGTATTATCAGATGTGTTTGTGGCCTGGGATGATGTTTGTTGTGCACTGGCTCGTGGGATGGGAAGGAACGGAATGGGATGAGATGTTTTCCTGCAAGGTGGATGCAGCTGTGTGAGCTCCCAGCCTGCAGCAAAGCCCAGCTGACAGTGGCATGACCCCACTCTTGTTTTATTCTGAGATTGAGCACCCTGCCTGCCTCTTGCAGCTGGAGCTGGCAAGCCAGGAGCAGAGAGTTTGACCTTGCTTTGCAATTGCAGTGATGGCCTACATGCAGTTTGTGGAGGACTACTCAGAGCCACAGCCGTCCATGTTCTACCAGACCCCTCAGAACGAGCACATCTACCAGAAGAAGAACAAGTACCTCAGGGAAGTCTACGGGATCAACGACTCCTTTATCAGCTTAGACCCCGCTCAAGACCTGGCACCTCCTCCTGCTCTCCCACCGAAACAGAGACAGCTGGTGAGTGACACCTGTGGTGCCCCGGGCAGGGACACCAGATTCCCAGGAACAGCTCTGTTCTTCCTGCTCCTGGATCTGGCAGGCTGCTGTGCTGGTGGGAGGATGTCTCACTGGTGTTTTTAGGCATTTTTGCATCGTGTAGTTTTTGCTCCTTTCTAACCCCACGTTCAGACCGTTCCCCATAAGCTCTGAAAGTCCTAAAATGCCCTAAAAATGAAGCATTAGTCTTCCACATGGCAGGGCTGAATCTGTGCCAGACTGCAGGCTTGTGTAACGACAACTGCTTTGAGGATTTTGACACGCTGAGCAGCGTGATTTTTGAGAGATTGCTGCACTGTTGTTCCCAGTGCTGTTTTGAAACTGTTGTCAAAGATGCCACTAATAACAACTATTTAAACATAAGAACTGCTTTTATGGCTCATCTTTGCCAGAGCCACAGAGCTCTGGTGTAGCCATTACTCAACTCGAGCATGTTTTCTTGGCATTAGTCCCGTTGTGTGATTCAGGACTTTACCTGTTTCTCAGTGTTCTGCTGGCCCCCCACACTGCCAGCACAGAAAGGCACATCTGCATGTGTGTGGGTGGTGGGTTTAACAGCACAGAAAGTGCCATTTTCCACATGGGGGATGAAATCCTGGCCTCAGTGATGGCAGCAGCAGTTTTGTTTCCGACCTCAGTGGAGCTGGGATTTTGTCCCATTTCTTTTTAAGGGTTTTCCTTTCTTCTCTCTCTTTTTTTTTTTAACAACTCCAACCTATTTTGTTCATATTAATGATCTGGTTTGCTCTATTTAACAAAAATAAATTCTTTTGTGTTGATGTAGCTCACTTAAATTGGCTGTGGTATTAACAAAATGGGAGGAAAGGTGGGAACAGAGCCATGGTCTTACCATCACGAGGGCGACTGTTGCAATATTTCTTCTTGTTATCTGTGCTAGGGTTTGACTGTCCTGGGGTGTTACTTTTAAATTAAATGGGAAAAGCAACCCGAGAACTCTAATTTTGGGATTTGCATAACTCCATTCCTGTGATACAGGTAGGAGTCCTAAAATGATAAAGTGACGTTTCTGGCTAAGCTGAACTGAATATTGTGTATTATTAATTCTTTGTGGGGATGAGACCTTAAACACTGGTGTCCCAACTGCTTTTCAGGGACACTAAAGAGTCTACAAGACTCATCTCTGGAGGGTCAGGCAGTTCCCTAGAGTCTGTGGTCCCCATCAGTGTGACTCTTGCACTGTCACTCGTACTCTGGTGATCGCTTCCAGTGGTGACTTGGGCTGCACAGTCACGAGCGAGGGTGTGTGAAGCACAGATTGACTGCAGCCATTGTGCAGAAGGGAAGTCCTGCTCACTGTTCTGAATTTGTCAGCTGAAGCAAAGCATTTCTTTGCTGCCCTTTAATCATTATCCGGGCAGCCAAGATGTCACTGCTTTGCCTGCTGGCCATTCTTGTCTTTTTGCAAGCTGATACCATCAAGGTGTTGCTTGCAGTTCCCCTGAAGCAAAGGTTTCTTCAAGTGCAGCCTCCCACCCTTCATCTCTCTGTTGGGAAAGAGGTGCAAGCAGATGATGGCTTTTTCAACAACCACTGTAAAAGCCACCAGACTCTTGTTCCTCTGTTCCTGCTGCCCTGAGCGTTTCTGAAATAGCAAATCAAACGGGCATCAGCTGCTCCAACAGCAGCAGGTTTTGCTGGATGGACTCCTCTATAAAATGGTAATGAGGAAGTCCTTTCTTGTGAGCTTTGGGTCTTATTTGTTAAATATACTTTATATTCAACAAGTCAGAGCTGAGAAAGCCTGGATATATCGTAGCCTCCCTCGGACTCCTTGCTGTAGTGCAATTCAGGAGAAATTCCATAATAGGATTTGTCACTTACAGTGTAATATCTGCCTCTTGAGCAAATGATATATAGTTTTTGATTGAAGTGAGAAATGGCAGGGTGTTGCTGTTACCCAGTATCCCAGCAGTACCAGTGAGGGCCCAGAGCTCACACTGGGGAGGCCAAGTTCCCAGTCTGCAGGTTGCCACAAAAAATAGCAGTCTGCAAGAATCAGCTGCTTAGCAGCCAGAAGCAAGAGCCAGTTCCTCCTTTGGGCATCTGCCCCCCACCCGAGGGGGAGAAAAGGGCAGTGAGGAACAGCCTCTCCCCCCAGCAGATGTCCACGGGTGAGCTGGAAGGGGGAGGCGGGAGTTTATTTTTAAGGGATTCGTGAAACAAAGAAGATTTGAACTGCGATTTTTGCTGTGCCCCTTGAGCTCAAGAAAGGCATATTGGTGTGTCTGGCTCTGATGAACTGTATGAATAGCTGTTTGTTTAGCCAGCCACTATATGCATTGTTTTACCGTTAGCGTTTCTTACCCTTTATTCATCGCCTTTTCTGTGCTCTCTTTCTCTGTGTCTTGTGTCTCTTGCTTTTTTTCTCCCCCAACTCCTCAGCAGGCCTCCTATGCTGCCTCTTCTTTCTCTTCTGTCTCCTACTGTGTCCAGCAAACTAAAGTGCCCTTCACCCCCGAGGACTCCGGTGCCACTCAGGGCCTCACTATGTCAGTCTCTAACTCCTTTCTGAGCCGGCACAGCTCCTTTCCTGTGCACTCGGTGAGTTCCCTCCGCTCTGTGACACGTGTGTGTTTTCTTACTGCTGATAACACTGGTGTGCAAGCTCTGGGCTTACCCTCCCTTCTTCTGGGGGCTTTTGAACTCGTGTAGTCACCAGCCAGGTGGGGAAAGCGGTGTGTGAATCTCACCAGGTGAAGCCCAGGGGAGGTGTGGCTTTCCTTACTTTATAGACGTGGCCGTGTTGACATTTGTGGTGGGGCACTGAGGAAGGAGAGCTGTCCCTGTGCCCAGACACACTCTGGTGACCTACATGCTCCCCAGGCTGCACGTTGGAGCTGCAGAGTCTTTTTGTTCCATTGCATAATTCCAGCCATGTGGATGAGTCGATTAAAGGCTGCCATGTGGGCCTGGCCTTTGGAGAAATAACAAGATACCATCCCCGAAATACAAGGATTTATTTAGTCAAACATATGGAACAGTGGCTGCAGCTCCTTAATTTTTATTTTTTTTTCCCCGAAAATGGCCTCTGCCAGACTTTTCATCTCATATTTGCCTGTTTTTCTTCCCTTCATGTCTCTGTGGTCCCAAACAAGATCAGTTTGCTTGTGTGATTAGGTGATGGATGAGCAGGATTTTCTCTCCTACAGCACTTGTGAGCAGCCTGAAGAAAGATCAGCAAGAAGAACTGGGAATGGTTTAAATAAAAATAAGAATAGTATTAGAGCACTGCTTAACTCTGTGATCAGCTGCTTAAATTAAGTGGTAGTAATAACAAAGTGTTAATATAAGGAAATTAAACCAAACCATGGGATTCCTCTAACTCATCAGTGTGGGGCTCATTTGCATGTAAAACTACGTGGTTATGCTCTGATTGCCATGTGATGACAACTGAGAATAGACTATTTTTTAACAGTGACCTGGATGTTTAGTAAATTAGCCTTCTTCTGGAGAAGAAATTATCAGACAAGACTTGAGAAAATTCAGAGGTGTTCAATTAGTTTAATATTGAATGTTTGAAAACAGTATCCTCCCACTGTGCCACTGTTATCTTCTCATTTCAACACTTACTCATTCTTTAAAAATTAGTGATAATCGCTGGTCCAAAGAAGAAGAAGAAAGTATTCAAGTGCTTTACAAGTAGTGCTACTTCACAAGCCATGAATTAAAGCTTTTGGCTTCCACTTGTAGGGAGAGCAGTGTCATAGCTTTGCTGCACAGATGAAAAGGCTGAGGGGTGGAAAGGTTAGTGCTTGCATACATTTGTGATAAACAGTTTTAAAATTTGAAGTAAAAGTCCTGAATTTTACAGCTCTCCTATTTGATAGTAGTCCTTGCAAGCAGAATATGGAACTGTAAGACTGGGTAAAAGCACTTGACTATTTTTGTTTTAATTGACAGGCTATAAATATGATTCTATAATGTTCTAAAAATATATAGGCTCTTTGATTTTAAAAAAGCTTTCTTTTTGGATTAAATGATTACTACCTACTAAATTGTTCTGACCTGTTTTCACCTTACTTTGGACTGCATTATTGTGAATGTATTATTTTCTGAGATGTTAAAACTTCATTAGAAAATCCTTGCTCATTTTTGCAAGGATTTGGTGAGGGGAAAATGAATGGCTGGAGCATGAGGAACAATGAGAACAATGAGACAGTGCACTGTCAAATGCACAAAGGAAATAAGCTGAATTAAAAATGGTGATTTTTCCATTAGTGCCTTTAAATTAGGATAATCTCATAGTTGCTCATGTCTCTAGCTGGTCTATTTTTTCCACAGGCAAAATGAGATTTTCCCTATGACAGTGTCTCTTTGAGCTGCAAAATACCAATGTCCTTACATGCATCATAGCTGACCCATGTAATACCATAACCATGTCTTATCCCATTTCCCCCATCCCTAATGAGACAAGAGATGTGAAACAGCTGTGAAGGTTTGGATCCTTCCCAGGGTGACACCCTCCTTGAGCACTGAGAAGGACCAGGGCCCCTCTTTCAATCTGCTCCCAGCATTGACTGGAAGGATTGGGTGGTTTCACTCCAGGGATGCCACGAGCTGCACCAGTAACACTTTACACATGTTGTTCTGCTCCTCATATTTTCATGTCTTCATTTTTCCTCTCTCCCTAGAAAAAAGCCATTCAAGTGAGTGCTGTGGTGAACAACAAACCTGGTAAAAATAAGCATTACCTTCCCTCCAGCACCAGCAAGGGAGTCAGTGCTAGGGAGAGCACACCTCCCAGACACAGCCAGCTGAGGAGTTGGCCCCTTGTGCACCCAGATATCAGTGGTGACTATCAGATCTTTAAAAATTATAGATCTCCTACCTATGAATTGTTATCCTTCCTGTACAGGAAGCAAAAACCTCCTTGGATCAATACCAGGAAGTCCAAGCTGATATGGTTGTCCATTGACCCCAGGACAAGCAATGCCCTGCAGCTTTGCCAAGCGTAGCCAATTTTCACAAAGTGCCCTGTGCTTTTTTCCTTCCCTGGAGACTGGCCTGGGATGGACAGCAGGAGTCAATCCTGGAGGGAAGAGCTGGCCCTGTACCCATCTGTTTGTGTGCTGGGTTCAGCATGTTGTCCTGTTAGCTCTGTGCTCAGGTGAAGGATTAATGCCTTACTGCTGATTTACAGGGCTTAAAAAGACTGTTTTCAGACAGTGTTTTGAAGCAAAAAACAAACAAAAAAAAAGGGGTGAAATTGTTCAGAGCATCTTTTAATTTTTAATGCATGAATTTCTTTTCTAGAGCCCCGAGCTCCTTTCCCTCCCCTCAGCTCTTCAGAGGCTGCTGCAGCCCAGCTGCCACCCCTGCCCTGTGAGCCCACTAATCGTGCTTTTCCCTCCTATGCAGGAAATTGTGTCAGAGGTAATAGCTTTTACTGGAGAGAGGCAGATCTTGAGCAACTGGATCAAACCTCATAGGTTTGGCAAGTCGAGCTGTTTTTTAACCGAGTCTGATTCGTGTCTGGCCTCTGTGCCAGCAAGGGCTGTGTTGGTAGTGTGGGCTGATGTCTTAAGGAACTGCAGCATCCTGTTCCCCATCCCATGCACAGCTAAGCTGTTAAATCCCACACTGAGGGACAACTGGATGGTACTGTCAAGGATCGTTCTAGGGGTTCCCATTCCCATCTCTTCTGAAAGCACTAGACAGTGAGAAGGGAGGTCTGCAATAAGCATCCTCCTTGGTGGCTCTTGGCAGTGGTCTTTTTTCTAGCTGATCACCTTCTTCCCTTCTTCTTGAGAACACAGAGCTACTGCCCCTTGGTTTAGTACCTCCTTGTGCTGGTTGACTGGAAATGGGTGGGCAGGTATCCGAGTGGCAGGAATCAGACCTTGGAATCTTGATACTTCCTGGCAGCTGGAGAGCTCTGCACTGATAGAGGAAATCATCCAGCAACAAGCTCTACTGCTGCCTATCCACACGTTTTCCACCAAAGGCTGCAGAAAGTCTTGTGGAAGCTTTTCCTCACTGAAACAAGGAACAGTTGTATCTCAGAGGCATGTACGTGCCATCAGTGGAAATTTGGCTGCATCCTCCACTGGGGAGAAATAACTCTCCTTTCTCAAAATGTTTTTTCTTATGTTTTCTTTTTAAGTAAGAAACATTTCCAGTAATTTTCCAGAAACCAATTGGCTGTCAGATTCCAGCAGAAGGCGCAAGTGATTTCCTTATGAAAGCTCCAGTTCAGCGCTTCTGTTCTCACTTGTTCCCACCATTCTTGAACAAATTGAGCAAGCTCACAGAGAATTCACAGCAACTGTTTTTCTTTCTTGTGTGTGTGCTAATGTATGTTCAGGAAAAGGGGGGTCAGATAAGTGGTTAAAGGCGTGCACAATGCAGACATGTGCTTCCCATGTTTTCCCTGCCTTGCTCCCGCTCCTGTAGCACAATTCCAGTCTGCAGCACACGCCAGGCTCTGGCCCTCAGCAGAGACTGAGCTGTTTTCATTCATGTGGTGGAAGCCTCAATCAAACCAGGGCCTGGGAAATCATAGTGTGTTTGTTCATTTCTGTCCTTAGGTTTTGGCTCCTTAACTTGGAGCAGATGGGGGCAGGGGGATGAAAAGATTTGCATCCATTTAACCAGCTGCTGAGCCCTAGGTATTGTTTTGCCTTTCCTGTTTAGCATTCCTTCTGTGTTTGTGTTCATTTCCACTGCCCACGGCGGGCCTGGACACTGGTATTAATAGTGCTGGTATTAATAGTGCCTGCTGGCATCACTGAATCCTGCTTCTGAAAACCACTTCCTCTGGTGGTTTGTACATTTTCCTTGTAGTTGGAGCACTACAGGTCTCTGTGTAGGTTTATCTAAACAGTCCCATGTTGAGCTCATAGGCCACACATACCATGGTTTTTGTGTGACTGGTTTTTTAGGAGCCTTGCCTTTCTCTCCAGGCTCTGCCTTTTCAAGGTCTGCTTCCTAAACATGGTGGTATTGTTTACAAGGTAAAGAAGGGTTGATGCTGTTGGTGCAATCAGGTTGAATTCTTCTGATAGTTTCAAAGGAGAGATGCACGACAGCGTGGTTAATAAATCTTACCAATGTTTTCTTCCCCTACTGCCCCCTTATTTGTTTTGTTGCAAAGATGTAGGGGAATCCCTCCCCTTCAAGGAGAAGTTTGGATTTTGTGTTTTCTTGTGCAGAAGCCAGGAGACACAGCAAACCCCATCCATCCATCTGCTGGGCAAACCATTGCTTTAAACCAGGGAGGTCAGTTGTGCAGCTGGGTCAGAGGCTTTGCTGAGAAGCATTCCAGCCTGAGGAGTTGCTGCTTTTCCTGTGGCAGTGCTTGAAACCATTCTGTTGGCAGCTTGTGTTTCCAGCCATTCATTGCAGGAGCATTTCCTTCCTCATTAGCAAAAGTACCTGGAAGCCCAGCATTGTGTCATGAGATAGGAAGTCTTTTCCAATAGTTGTCTGTGCAATTATATTCTAAGGGTGTAACGACTTTGTGCAACACCCAGTATTTTGTGAACATAGTTCTGTACTGTTAGAATTTGGGCATCCAGTTCTGGCACATTGCCATGTCATTCTCTTAATAGCATTAGCAGAGGAGATCTAAAAGATTGATCTTTTCCTCTGATAGCTTCATGTTTTGGAAGTCTGAAGCTCTACCTGATCTGGGAGTGTCTGGCAGGATGGCAGATTAATTTGGCAGAAATCCACAGGGTAACTGAGAAGGCTGTGCTTAAATGGTAAAGACTGTGTCTGCTGATACTGCAGATGCTCTGTCAGCCATATAATTGAATTCAGCTTTGGATTTAGGATGGAGAGTGTTGTAACTTGCAGCCAGTGACTCCCTGCATATATATCCCTGTCTCCCTGTTAGCTGTGGTCAGCCATGCCTAGTGAGCATGGAGAAGCATCACTCTAGAAATAAGTTTCCTATTAGAGTGCTTATCTCCTGCCATCTAATCCAAATAAACAGCCAGAATGTCGTTGACCTTTGGGACATCCTGTAACACGGCTGCTAATGATGGAAAGCTGTTCTAAAATATTCACTGTTGCAAAAAAAAAATCAAAGGCAGCAAATTGAAAAGATTGAAAGAGGCCGTCTCTGGGAGACCTCTGTGTGTCACGGTGTGTGGTAAATGTTCAGGGCAGGGCATGTTTGCTTCCTGCTGTTCCCAGGAGACAAGACTGCTCCCAGCTCAAAGCACGCTTTGTGGAAGTACTTCCCAAGTGGCAGACAGGTCTTTTTAAAAACCACTTTACTGGTGAGAGCAGAGGGATCTCTCTCTCTTCTCCCTGTCTTGGCTGTTCGCTGTCGTAGGTTGGGATCAGTTGTGCTCAGAGAACATCTTCTGGTCCTGTGGTGGGAGCTGGAAGTTTGGATAGAGGAAAGCATCCTTTCCCAAAGATTCCTGTTGCACCCTTTTTTCTAGCTTTCCCAGAGATTATTTTGAAATACTTCACTTAAAGCAAAGCCATGGAGTAGGAGGTTGTGTCCGTACAGCCAGAACCGAGGCCTGACTGACCCTGCAGGAAGGAAACCTCTAAGAAGCAGATTAAAAGAAGCACTGATTTGTTTCCAAGATAAACTGTTGCCTCTTATGGGGAGGACTAGAAGATTACTTGTTTCCTTGTGACAGTTGTGCTGAATGAACTGTCCCATCTCTCAGAGGATGGCAGGGCTTCCAAGAGATGTACAACACCCAAATCCCATGGAAGCCATTGCTGCAATTCCTGCTGCAGCTGCTGGCTGGGCTGGGTCAGACTTGGGAGCAGAGGAATGGGTGCCATATGGACATCATCTTCACTGCACGGTGGTTTTTTTCCCCCCCCTTTAAAAGTATGCTTCAGTCTTGGCTCTTGTCCCAGCACGGCTGCATAACTGGAATTCCAGAGCTTCTTGCAGGCTCCGGAGGAAGGAGGGGGCTCCCTGGCTCCCTCTCTACAAGATGCAACTTTACAACAAGATTGGAGGTCGAGAGCAGTCTGACTAATTAATGCCAGTGTTCCAAAGGCTTCTCTGCACTGTTCCCTTTGTTAACAGCATGCTGAGAGCCTGTCTGCATCCTTAAATGATTGTTCACGGATCACATAATGAAGATTAATGCATTTTCCTGGGTACCTGAGCCTTAAACTGGGATTTTCAAACATATCTCATACCAATATATTGTTCTGAAGGGTGTATTGATGAGGCTGAGGAGAGGTGAATTATATAGTCATTGCCAATACTAACATATCTGCATTTAAACTTGTAAAATTTATGCAATGTTATGTTATGTTTAGGTCTCAATTGCCTTTGAATTGGGATTAATGTCTCTGAAACATCTCAAGGCAGAAGCTGTGCAAATATTAAGCAGTAACTCACCTCCCTGAGCTGCTGGCCCAGCCTGCAGGGCACCAGAGTCTGCCCTGAGCTAACCCTGCCAGCACCTCACGCAGGGCTCTGCCTGTCCCAGAGTGACTTGGCTGAGGACACTCATTTCCTTTCACTCTTGCCCTGCGTGAGCTCCACTGCTGCTTTGAAAAAGCCTGGCTTTTCCTTTGGGTTCAGCAGGTCAGGGACAAAACCCCTTGGAACTCCTCTGTGGTAGATGTCCATCAACTACAAAGCGAGGGGCAGCGTGTGCCGCCTGCCCCGTGTGGGTGCAGGAAGCCCAGCTCTAGGGGAGCTGGCACACAGCTTCTGTTGGAGCTAATTATTTCCCTTACAGCAGCAGAGGGGCCTGTTATCAGGACAGCAGTTTTTTGAGCGCCTTCCTGAGCCATTGCAGCGGTGGTTTGGGGGTCTAGGCTGGGACTTGGGGTGATAGTTGGCCTATCAGCGCCGGTGAGATCATGGAACGCCAGGCAGGCATAATGAATCTGCTGAGCCGAGGTGATGTCATGAGCCTGGCGTCTTACGAGGGATTTAGTGGTTTGTGCCATGCAAGTGAAAATGAATAAATGTAGAGCATTTATCCAGGCAGAAAGTAAATACAGAGATTAGACTTGTCATTGTTACTGAGGCAGCTCCAAAAGCTGACAGTGTCCCCGGAGCCAGCGCCGCTCATCCGGAAAGAAATGGGCAGGAAGAGAGAGGAGCCTGTCCTAGAGCCAGTCTCCTTTTAGCCACAGGCATGTGGTGGGGATTTGCATTTTAATTATTTTTCAGTAGTCTTTTAAGCTCTCTTTCCAGAGCATCCCCCTCCCCTCCTCTGTTATTATGGCCTGCATTTGTTTTGGGCCCTGAGAATACACCCAGAGCACTGCTGGACTCCAGGCACCACAGAGGGCAGCCACTCAAGGATTAAGGTGGTTGAAGGTAAAGTCTTAACTATTGACCTTTACATTTCCTTTCCTTTGTAGTGGAAAAGCTTTGGTCTGGCCCGAGGCTGTTCTCAGTTTAGATTTTTGAGCTCAAGTCTTTCCTAGGTAGAAACAAAAATGCCACTGCTGAGCTGGATGCTGCTGCAGCTCAGTGATGGACTGAGCTTTGCTTAACCAGCTCAGCTCTCCTGGGAAAATGTAGCCTGAATTCTCTGATTCCTGCCTTGTTTCCTCTTCTTTTTACATCACAGTGGTGTCACTTTTCAGCCTGGTTGGAGCAAGCTGTGTTTGTGCTTCTTGAGAGCTCTGTACTGCACCATCCTCCTGCAGCAGATCACTCAACCAAGCAGCGCCACAGCTTAGTTTCAGTGTGGGTTTTTTTGGATGATGTGGCTCTTCCTTCAGTCCACTTGACTTTGACACGGATCTCACTACTGGTTGAGCTCTGCAGGTTTTAAAATAAACTCCTCTCCAGCAGATTTAGCATTATTGTCTGTCCTTTTTTTTTTTTTAATGGTTGTCAGCTTTGTTTTGGACTTACCCTGATGGCAAATCTTACTAGCACCAGATGTTAAAAGACAGAGGTTGCTCTTGTTTTTCTTGGCACAATATATTCCCACTGCACCCTGTTTAATATTATCTGAACAGTAATCTGATGATTAGGAGAGATAGTGGAATAAAGCTTTACGCAGATGATCTCTTTTCATCTCTTCAGCTGAGTCTTCGAGGCACTGCATTAAAGGATCGGTTTGATAAGGAATTCATCGCTCCTGAGGGCAATTATCATTTTTGCTCCCTGTTTTTCTCAGATGGGAAGGAGTAGCAGCATAATCTCCTGTATCCTTCAGTGTAACTTTGAAGGCAATATCCAGCCACTCCTCCCTGGGAGCTGTGTGTTCTGGAACAGACTTGACACAGTAGCTGCTAAATTACAGGGCTGGAGCAAAACAGCATCTTAAATTTGGATCCTGTGGAAAATCCCAGAAAAGCAATAAGCACTTGGAGTACTTTTCTCTATCTAGATACTTCCAGCATGCTCAGAGTCCTGGTTTCTGTATGCCTTTGCATCCTTTCCTCCACTGGGGTGATTTTCAGGGTCGCTGCATTAGTACTGAGATATCCCGGCTTTTCCCTGCTTAGCAAAGGCTGGATACCTGCAGGTCACACCTCGCTGCCCCCTTTCCCTCTGCGAGTTGAGCAGCTGAGCTGCTGTTTGTGCCAGAACATGCCTCTCCTGAAAAAACTGGCTGATGTATCCCAGGTAGCAATTCCTGCTGTAGTGTGTGGATGGTAAAATAGTGCTGTCTGTGTTAGAAATGCCCGGTGCTGTCACTGCTACGCTGCTGCCGATCTAATTACTTTTTCTCTTGTCTGTCTCTTTCCTTTCCCCTTCTTCCTTGTTTTTGTCCTGTACGTCTCTGCATCCTGCAGTACAAATCTGTGTTTAGGTCCTACTCCCAGGACTTTGTGCCTCACAACCAAGTCTCCATACCTCCTTTCCTGTCTTCTACCTCCTCCTCCTGCTCCACCCCGCCTTTTCCGCCCGTCCATCCATCTCCGAGCCCCGACCTGGCGGTGCCCGCCGCAGCCAGCCAGTCACCCAGCACTGTGGATGTGCCAAACTCCTCTTCTCAGGAGAGCAGCTTTAACGGGAATGCTCCTGTCTGCCTTCCTTCTGAAACCTCTTTCACTGATTCTCTCCAGACGCCTTCGGTGAGACCATCCAAAGAGATAATAATGCACCTTAACACAAGGCTGCCTTTATTTGTTTGTTGTTTTGTGGGTTTTTTTTAAGAAAATGCCTCTTGTGTTAATACATGCTAGTCTGGTTTCCAAATGCATGTGTGAATTGCAGAGTAGAAATTTCATATAAAAATGGTAGCTAGAAGAAATGAACAACCTCAGCAGGTTTGAGAAAGCATTAACACTGAGTAGGAAACGCAAAATGTCAAATGCTGGTGAAGGGGAGAGGAGAAGTTGCAGTAGCTTCCTGCAATTGTAATACAAAGCTGAGGGAGGTAAAGGAGTGTTTTGTGAGGTTGATAGTTTCTAAACACGGACTCCTTACAACAGTTTCCATCCTGCAGTTGCTGCCCTGCTCCCTCCTAAGTCTCTGGAGAGCCGCAGGAGCAGTGGGTGCAGGCCAGCTCTGTCTCTCCTGTGCATAAACCTGTTGTTCTCTCCAAGTTCCTGCTTTTCCCAGTTCCCAGCAGCTCCAGCTGTGCCCTTGGTGGCAGGTATCACATGTTGGTGAAGTTAGGCTAATGCTGTTCCCACACTGCTAGTTTGAGGTCCCAGGTCAGTTTGCAGATCACTGAGCAGGTTTGTCCATTACAGCTACTTTTTTAAATACCTCATTTTCAAGACAGTTCCTCTTTCCTCTCCTGTGAAGCAGAGAGTTGATGGGATTAGAGCTGTCAGCACAGGGCCTGCTAGTGCTGCCTCTTCACCAGGTTCAGAAGGGGGTCAGTGATTACAGAGTAAATGTGCAGGTTTTCACGCTTCAGACGTGGCCTTGCTTTGCATCTTCCTCGTGCTGGGTCCTTGTTATCCCCCAGAAGTGCTCGGGTTTGGTTTATTCTGGCCTGATGGGTCTCATAGGGTAGTTTGGGGGATGCCTTTGATGCCCTCAGGGCTGCAGGGCTGTTCTGCATTCAGTGACAGGACTGAAGTGCGGGTAGGACAGGCACTCGTGTGTCCAGCTCTGAACGCTCCGCTTCCGGCACCCTGCAATCCGCTCGTGCCCGCTGCACCTTGGCAGTCTCACACGGAGTCCACAGCTCTTCCAAAGCAGTGCCTGCTGCTGTCCTCCTGCAGCCCAGGGCCCTTGGGATGGTCCTCAAGAACCAGAAAATAATGACCCCTGGGATGGTACAGATTCAGTGGCCAATACTGGAGACAGAGAACGGCTCCCAGTTATGTGACAGCAGCTGCCAAGGGCAGTTCTGCTCCCGGCCCATGGGCACGTTCTCTCACTAACATTCGGTGCTGGTGGGGGACACCATCACGTATTTCCTTTCATCCTGTCTCCCTCAGAGTGAAAACGCCAGTGAGGAGGCTGGTGAGGGTGAATACGTCAATCTGTATTCCTCTGGCCAGAGCAACGGGGAACTCCCTCACTCTGAAGGAGTAAGTAACCCTGAGAGGGCCGGACACCGGGAAGGGGCTGCCTGGTGCATGCTGAGCTCACACCGGGGCTGACGCGCTTGGCACCGGCCTCTTCTGCACACCCTGGAGCCCCTGTGTCTGTCCTGCTGCCCTGGCTCCCTTGCTGGTCCATCCCTCTGCTTGCCCACTCCTGGCTGCAGGCTTGGGTGGAGAGCAGGCGATGCTTCCAGCGAGCCCTGGCAGGAGGCAGGGACGGCTCTTCCTGCCGCGCTCTTTCCTTTGCGCTTCGCTGTCTGTTTGGAGCTGCTTGCCTGAGGTTCCCTTCCAGAAAGCTGCACTCTCACCAGTGCCATCCTGGGGCCATGTCTCTTCTTGTAACTGCTTTGCCTTCCCTGTTTTAATACAGAAAGCCTCGTGCTCTAAAAATTTTTCTTCTCTTCACTGTTTGGATACAAAAGTAAGTGGTTGATTTAGCATTGTACTCACATGCTTTTTCTTCCCTTCCTCAAGCCTCGTATCTTAGATATTTCCTAGAGGAACCAGGGCGTTTTCCATTCCAGGGAGGTCCCATCTTCCTGTTGGGTCACAGGAAACAGCAGCAGAGATCCATGGTGATCCTTTTGCCTGCCCTCATCTTGGAAGGCACAGCTCCTCTACAGGATGTCTCCGAGACATTTATCCGTGCTGGTGTCAAATATGCCAAGAGATAGCGCTCCCATCACTTCCCTTCAGGAGACACATCTGGGCAGGCCCATCCTCTTGGGCAGCTGCGAGCGGGTTCTCGACTTTGAAGCAAAGGGCTTTACAGATATAGTCTGGAAAAATCCTTCAGACACCACGAAACCTAAGCTCACCAGAGGGTTTTCCATGCTGAGTGAATTGTGTGTAGGTGGTTTCAGTCCTGTCTGTTCAGCGGGTTGAATTTCCAAGTTTCACTCTGCATGATGTTAAATAATTCTGAATTCCCATTAATATTCCCATTTGCCGTTCATGGCTATTTGTCTCCTTAATAAACGGCCCATTTAAATTGCTCCATCTTTGCTCTGAGCTCTCTACCTGCTGTTCCAAGCCGCGAGTTCAGCTGGTTCTGCTTTCTTGCATTAGCCTCATTTCCACAGCCCTGGGTTGTGGAGTGGAAATGTTGCATCACTGCGAAACCTCTTCCGATGGGAGAGAAGGGAGGTAGGAAGCAGTGAGCATCCACCCCCTAAGGCAGGGGGGCTGTGATCAGCAGGGGAACTGAAACTGGAGAGCTTAGAGCTGGCTCTGTCCATTTGGATTAAAGCAGGAGGCAAGTGTACTTCAACAGTAAGGGCTGGAGGAAAAATAAAAGGTCACGAGAGGGTTAAAATCCAAGACAACAGATGACTTGTGTTGTAACTTTCAGCATCATTTCACAATGTTAAAAGCAAACAGTACTAATTACACTAGTCTCCAGAGATGGTCCCAAATTTCCTGTCTGATTAACTTCTGTGTTTTCCTGGCATTTGGCATTAACTTGCATCAGTCTTTAACCGCTCTGTAGGAATTTACAGTAAAGGGCCATTTAGAGGCAGGCAGACTGTAAGTGCAGGGCTTGCTGGACTCAAGGACCCCGTGTAATAATGAAAAACTTCTTTCTCTTGGCAGGAATCTCCCTCTGTCAAAGACTCCAAAGACTCCTCTGTGAACAGCAGTGCCATGGGGAAAGAGGGCAATGATGGTGCTGACAGGTGAGCCTGCCTCCCTTGGTGCTTCTGCTTCCATCCTCGAAGGGTACAGAGCCCCCCCAACATCCCCTCTGCCAAGCCACCCTTGGGGCTGCCTGTTCTGCCCTCAACCTCCTCCGTGTTCTCTAAACTTTTAAGCCCACATTTTTGGACAGGCAGTGAGCGGTGGGATCCTGCTGGACAAGCAGGAGGATCCTGGCAAGATTGCCCTGCTGAACTCAGGGAGCCCCTGGGGGTTAATGCAGCCCATGTTAGCCATCCTCAGTCCATCTCTTTGGCAGTGCTGTCATTGACACTGGCTGCTCCCTCCTGCTTCCAGGAAAATGTGTGAAAAGAGTCTGTATGGCTGTTTGGAATAGTCTTCCAGAGGGGAATTTCTTCCTAACCCTGCTAGTTAAGAGGCTGGCTGAGGCCCCAAAGCTTTATATCCCTTCTAATGCTCTTAGCTATCATTTGCCTATGTAAATGAAGAGGTGCAAGCTGTAACAGATGGGCTTCAGGAGGAGTGGAGCAAGTGCTTCCCTGCTGCTCGAGATTGCTCTGCAATTGCATTTCTAAAGCAAAAATAGAGAACAGCGATGATTTGTGTGTGACAGTCAACTTCCCTCCCCCATTTCCCTGCAGTTGGTTTGAGGGTTTTAATCCCTGCAGTGAAGGAGACGACACAAGAATGCTCTGCAAAGCTCACTATCAGCTCAAAGTACTGACTGGTGCATGGGATTTTGACCTGTGCCTAGGGAAAGCTAGGAAGAACATAAGTATATTATTATTTTTTAGGAATATAGGCACAAGAAGGTAGGAACAGAGTTGGGGATGTACACCAGAAAAATGGTCAGAGCTTTCTGCTCTGCTTTCCTGCGAAATGAGAGCCTGTCATCTCCCCTTGTCTCAGCACAGTGGGTCATGAACTGACTAAGATATGTATGTGTAGAGTAGGCTCAGTCTCTATACATTTGAGGAAGGGCTTAGATTTGTGTGCACTAAAAATTTGGTGGATTAAGGAGACATGGAAGTGTGTACTTATGCATGGCATAGTAAAATCCTGCCAGAAATGCAGACAGACAAGTGTTCAGGTCCTAAAGGTTCATCTTCCTCTCTTTCAAGAGATGCACAAAGCAACACAATTAGAGCCAGACATTTGGGCTTGTTTGCAGAAGGTTTACCTCCAGAGTGTCTGTGTACTTACTGTCATTTAATGAAGGTTATTTCCCTTTTTTTTTTTTCACAGGCAGCCACAGTCACCAGATACTTTGGAATCATCACAGCTGGAGGAAGAGGTAGATGAGCTGTCCCTTATTGACCACAGTGAAATCATGGCTAGATTAACACTGAAGCAAGAGGTAGGTGCATTAGGGGTTTGCTTTTGTACTCTTTGGTTTACACTGTGTTGAAATCTGATTCTCTGTGTGCACAAGCAAGGCATCACCTCTTATTTGATGTTAGAAACTAGGTTGCAGCAGAATTGGGATGCAGGTGCAGGCTATTGTTGAAGTAGGAGATGCTGGTACAGGCAGGGAGCATCAGCAATGAATGAGGTTTTAACAGAAGGTGAGATGTCTCCCTAAAAACCAGCACATCTTGTGCCCTTTTCCCAGTCTGCCCCTTCCCACCTCTCCATCCTGCAATAGTCTGGGATGAATCACATGAGAACCTGAGCACAGGAAATCCAGGTGGGGCTTGATGGTGTTGGCCTTTCGGTCTGACAGCAGGTTCAGCAGGTGAACGAGCAGGACATTTTATGTTACTGATGTGGAAAAGCGGCCAAAAAAGGAACTGTTTTGTGTTTGAGAAATAGCTTTGTGTCTGGCCTGGGGTGGACTCCCAGCCAGCTTTGCTCTCTGTGCTCTTGAGCCATGTTGTCTTTGACATGCAGCTTGAGGGAACATGCAGGCTTTTGAAGCTTTCAGACTATCAGGGGGCTGGTCTGAAAAACAGAGAGAATGTATCATTTACTGGCACTTAAGGAGTGTTCTTTGGTCAGCTGAGATGTGCAGCAGAGAGTGAAAAGCTATTACTCATTCTTTAAGTAGTGTTTCATATGAGTCTTGCCAGAGGGTCACCTGAAAAATTCACATCTTAGACATAGCTGCTCCATGGCTGTAATCCGTGGTTTTTTCACTGGTTTGCATATTGAAACGACAATCCTCCTCCTCTTCTGGATTCTTCCCTTTAAAAAAACATATAAAAATCAGTGATTTCTGAGCATTTGGGACTAGCAGATCAGTGTCTTAATGTCTTCTTTCTTTCTTCTCTTTATGATCTGCATGTTTGAAACAGTACAAAACTGTCACCGCGAGCTGCTTCCTGCAGTGTGGGAACCGCTGGCTGAGTGATGGATCAGTTTTGCACATTTTGAGTTGAGAAATGCAGTAGCTAGAAGAGTGTTTTAGAGAGTGGTAAGGCAGGGGTCAAGCAATTAGCAGGGCTGTTTTCTGCTCCTGGTTATTGGATCGCTTCAGGTGACCTCCGGCCAAATAGTTCCAGATTAGGGAATTAACTTACTAGGTTTTGATGTTCCAGCAACATGCGAGTTAAATGCGTGACCTCCCACCCCACAGCCACTGTGGTACGTGGCTGTGTGAACTTTGAGACGGTTCACACAGTGTGGCTGCTCTGCTAATGGTCTTCTGGGAGCATTTGGGGCATTTGTGTTCATTCTTCTGTGGACAGAAGGTTCAGCTTTCACTGAGCTTCACAGCCCAGCCTTAAGGAGTCAGAGATTCCAGGTAAGGATCAGCCCAGCTCCTCATCTGGGACACCAAATGCTTTATTCAGATTCCAGGATTAGCCCAGCGCTGAAGACCATGTCCCAGCTTGTGCTGTGAGCGGTGCCAGGAACACTGTGTGCGCTGCCAGCTGTTGCTGAGCTTGAACCCCAGCGCTGTTAAACCAGGCTGAAGGGAACCTTGGGCCGTGCCTAACGTGGTTTGTGTTCCCCTTGCAGGGGGACGATGGGCCGGATGTCCGTGGTGGATCCGGAGACATCCTGTTAGTGCATGCGACGGAGACTGACAGGAAAGGTAGGTGGATGCAGCAGGGCAGAGCTGAGGGGCACAGCCTGGCACGGCCTTTGGCCGCTGATCTTTTGGTCTTCTGCCTCTGCCTTCTGCTGTGGAGGCAGCTGGGCCGGGGGGAGGGTCTGCAGGGATCCCCTGCACAACCTGGGGGGGTTGTGCTGATCTGTGGTGAAAGGAGGTAAGCTGGATAAGCGCCTGGTGGTTCCATTTAGCAGCAGGGATGGTATTAACTCCTCACAGCCCTTGCCCAGATCTGGAAGGCGAGGCACACCAGTGACAGTGCTCTGTTGGTGTCCCTGTCTGTACCTGCTGAGCCTTCTGGGAATGCAGGAGTGACCAGCCTGTTGTGCATGGATCCTGTGTTCAGTGGTGCTCCTTGACCTTTGAATGTCAGGGCAGTGGGGATGTAGGAGCTGATGAAGTGAGTGTGGCATCGAAGCAGAAAAAAGGGGTGTTGGTTTGGGTCTGGTGCAGGACCTGTGGGCTCTGGGCAAGCTGTTCAGGTGCTGATCTGCTGACACCTCATTTTCAATGTACCATGTCACTTCCTAGTCCCACTCTGTACCAAGTGCATCCTGGTAGCCACCCAGGCCAGTTCAGAGAGAGAATCCACAGTACAAGAAAGGAGATGCAGAGGAGGAAAAGGGACATTAGCAACCCTTGGCTCTAGATTTGCTAAAACCCCATTTTATCTCTCCAAACCCAGTCACCACCCACATGAAGCTCTCCTATTCAAGACCTGTGGCAAAGACAGCCTTTGCAGTGTTTCTAGAGAGTGATTTGAACCTGCCAAACCCATTTGTGCTGATGGCCTTAACCAGGATTGATCTCCTTACCTCCTGGGATGCAAAGCAAAACACTAACCCACTGAATCACTCAGCACTTGTATTTTAGAGGTTTGATAGTCGAAGGGGAAATATCTTTCATGTACATTTTTAAATGACAGAGGTTTTGCTGTAGCATAAGATGTTTGCAATTACTTACCAGCACCATTCAGCTAGCAAGAAAATCCTTCCCCTGACAGCTGTTTCCCAGTTTGCATTGGGCACCGAATCCAGGAAGAAAGGACCAAAGGTAGGAACACACTAGAGAGGAGGAGGAGGCAATTGGTTGTGCCAAGGGTAGATATGTATATTAAGGAAAATAGTCTAAATGAGATGGTGGAAATATCCCTTATAAAAATGTTGAAAGTGGAATAGAGAAACTCTGATTTACTCCTGCTGTTCTCTGGAACGTCACATTGCAAGAACTTCCCTACTGCTCCTGCTGAAAGACAGCTATTTGGTAAGGGGATGTGTGCTCAGACCTCCAGTTCATGAACAGGGGGCTCTGAGGGTGCTGCAAGCAGTGGGGTGAAAGCTGTGGAGAACCTTTCAGGACTGGGGAAAACTAGAGCAGGATTTTTACTGCCCAGTGGTGCAGCTGGAGATTGCTGGGTGGAGGGAGCTCAGGTTCTCAGTCCCTGAGCTTGGCCTCACAGGCGCTGCCAAGCCACGGAGCTGAATGGAGCACAGAGGAATTTGTGCTATGCTAACTCACTGTTTGGGTGACTGAGAGGGTTAATGAATTAAGCTTACAATGAGAAGAATTCAGGGCTTGTAAATCAATCAGCCAAACGGCACAGAGGGGTAGAGTTAAGAGGCTTTCCTTTAAAGATGAATTTCTTGGCAGCTTCAAGTGCCAGAGCAGACCAGCTGTATTACCTCACGTTGCCTTTTGGGCAGATGGGAACCCAGAATAAATGTAACTCCACGCCCTGTTGCATGATGCTTCTTGTCCATCTGAGTTTTCCAAAAGAGCTAAATGGAGTAAGGGATAAAGAGAGACTTGTGGTCTTTAGGAATAAAATCCGTGGTCAGTTAAGTGCTCACAGGCACACACACACACTTGCTGTGAGTGCAGGATTACAGCTGGACAGGGCCTGGGGCTCACCCCTGACATGACCACCCAGCTTCTGGCTTTAGAGCTTTTGTCTGATTGTCTGTAACCAAAAGGCAGCAGCAGTCTCTGATTTAAGAGCAGGAGGGAGCAGCATTGCCACGAGGTTCCTGCCAAGAAAAACACTGCAGGTAGAGAGGCACTGCTACCCCACTGTGCCCTGCCCCTTCCCTCTCTCCACGGCAGTGGATGGATGTTGCAGCACGTGGGTGTGGGGTGATCCCTGTCCTGGCTGGAACAAGCTCTGCATGTACAGCCGAGCCTGGGCAGGCCCAGCAGGAGCTTTTTCTGCCCACGGTGCTCCTGGCAGAGGCAGAGTGCCATCCCACTGCACATCCTGCTGCTGATCTATGCTGGGGCTGATGCTCCCACTGGACAGAGCTGCCCACAGTGACCAGGCATTGCCCAGGAGAGTTCTACAGTCCTGACCTGAAATCTGCTTTCCCATTTGCAGCTCCTGCTTTTTCAAATTCCATCCTCTGTGTCCATGGCAAAGCCCACAGCCTTTGTGAGCCTGGGCCCTGCAGCACCCCCGTCCTGCAGATGAATTAACACAAGCTGACTTGCCCCCACATCAGCATCTGTGTTGTGGCAGGGTCATGGCCATGGTAGTGTCAGTTTTTTCAGTGCAATTTACTCTTCCTTTGGCTGAAAATAATCTTGTATTTGCACTGTCCTGGGACGGATTTCCTGGAATGCAGTAAGGACAGGGGATCTGCAGCACCAGAACATGTGTGTTCCTCATCAGGAGGGCAGAGTGACCGTGTCTCTGCAGGGCCCTGTGCTGCCTGAGAGAGGCTGAGGCACAACAGGCAGCCACCTCTCACCGTCAGATCTTCCCTTTAAAGTATCCCCGAGGTCTAAACCATGATTTTTCTTGACCCATTACTGATAGTTCCTGTCCAACAAGGAGGTGTTTTCCACTGACCCCTTTGGTGGTGGAATAAACAAAGACCTCAGCTCAAATGCTGCAAATGGGAGCCAGGGCCAGGGAAGTGGGGACAGGGCAGTGTCAGTGCTGCTCTTGTGTTACAGGGTCCATCTGCTGGTAAGGACCAAAAGCACAGTTCTGGAAAGTCCATTCATGCCAAAATGCATCCATGTCCTCCTCTGCACAATTGGATTCAGTCTCACAAGAAACTTGACTTGACTGAGCCTTTCATGTCTCTCTCCCTAGATCTGGTGCTGTACTGTGAAGCCTTTCTGACTACATACAGGACATTTATTACCCCTGAAGAGCTCATCAAGAAGCTGCAGTACAGATATCCTTGGCATGAGTGGCAGTTCACTCCCATCAGGAATCAGAGCGGGGCAGTCATTGTGGAGGGAGCTGATGGCAAGTTGTTTGTTCAGAAGCCTGCTGACAGTCTGGTCAGTGATGTGCTGGCCCTGGAGGTGTCCCAGGCAGGAGTTGCTTCACCTCCACATTCTGCAATGGGAATTGCAGCAGGGCAGGTCCAGGCAAGGTGGATAACGGACCGGAGAGTTGTCTCCTGAGGGTCCTCTCAGGGAAGAGGAGCAGTTGAGGTTTTCTGTACATCACTGGGTAATTATCATTTGTTTTGGACATCTTGTTTTCTAGACTGTGGATCAGGGCACCTTCTGCCTTCCAGAGGGGCTGTGGGGATTATGGGCAGGTGTAGTTTAATACTGGAGATGACTACACCATCAAGGCCTTTTCTCTATCTTACTACAATAAAACTCAGCATTGAAAGGCTGGGCTCTTGGCCCCCCCAGTTCTGAACTGAGCTTGTAACTGGTAACAAAGCAGGGCCCTGATGTGCAGGGTGAGCATTAGCATTTCTGACAGAGGATTCAGAAGGCTTCTTGAGCACCCTGCCTGCCATTCCTTCCCTTTGGCTCCATTCCCTGCCAGCTGAGCGGGTCGGTGTCTGGATCTGGGTGGTGTGAACGCCTCGTGGGTCTTGGTGCTGTGCACCCACGTCAGAGGGAGCCTGACGTCACTGTGTCCTGCTTTGTGGCTCATCACTGCCATCTGCAGCAGAGCCACTGCTCCCTGAGCTCCAGCTGGGATCAGCTCACCAAGGACACAGCACAGCTCCCAGTCGGTGACAGCACTGTCTGGGGCAGTCCTGCAGGCCCTTGACTTACTGATAACCTTGTTCCCTTCCCCTTTCTCCACCTGGCAGAAGGTTTTTCAGCCTGTGCTGTCTCCCCTGTCACCGTTCTCCTTGCAGTAAATTGGGCAATGAGGAAGGTAGAGGTGACATCTGAGATCTGTTGAGACCAGATGTCACAGACCAGTGGGGGAGATCCCTGCAGAGGAGTGCTGCTCATTAAATTCCACCTTAGAGAGAACAATTTCAAGGTACACCTGCTCTTCTAGCATCAGTTCCATGAGGTGTAAGAGGCTCCTCGTGCCCCTGCAGCTGGTGTCAGCTTAATGCCATCTTAATTAGAGCCATATCAGTGTCCCTCATCTCCTGGAAATGGAACACGAGTTTCCATCAGGGCAGAATAGTGTGCTGCTCTGATGTAGATGCCTCATCCCTGGAAGTGTTGAAGGCCAAGCTGGGTGGAGCTCTGAGCAACCTGGTCAAGTGGAAGGTGTTCCTGCCCTTGGCAGGGGGATGGATCTGAGTGATCTTCAGGGTCCCTTCCATCCCAAACCATTCAGTGATACTGTGATTGCTTGGGGCAGCTGGTGACTGCACTGATGCTGGTCTGACCACACCGAGTTGATTCTTTAATTTGAGACCAACATATGAGAAGTTTTGCCACTTCCCGGACACGTTTAAGAAGCGAGTCAGTAAGAACACCTTCTTCGTGCTGGTGCGAGTGGTGGATGAGCTGTGGTGAGTTGCTTTCTTTGTTTTGGATGGGAGATGTGGGGTCAGTAACATAACAGAGGTCTGGTAGTTGGAAAGTTGTGGGTTTTAGGAAGATGTGGTTTTATGGAAGGGGTGGTTTTTAAACCCTATTTAGGATGACAGCTGAAACCCCTGACCCTGACCAATCAGATACTTGCACTGCTGAACCTACTGGAAGAGCAGGTTCTTGGTGTGTCCTAACTGGGTCAGTGACTTTAAAATAACCAGTACAAGGGGAATCTGGGAAAGGAAGAGCTGGGAAGAGGAGGAATTTCAGTCACCCAATTCTGCTTGTACAAAAGAGTGACGGGATTCGGTACAGGTACAAACTGTAGCTCAGTCTCGTAGCTCTGATGCCTGCCCTGGGTTTTCCATCTTTCTCTCAGCTTAGTGGAGTTGACAGAGGAAATTCTCAAGCTGCTGATGGACCTGGTCTTCCGGCTGGTCTGCAATGGGGAGCTGAGCCTTGCCAGGGTGTTACGCAAGAACATCCTTGATAAAGTGGATCAGAAGAAAATGCTGAGCTACGCCAACTCCATCAAACCTCTTGCAGCCCGAGGGGTGGCAGCCAGGTGAGGGAAGATGCATGGAACCATATCTTGGTCCTTTGAGAGCCAGGGAATCCCTTTCCTGCAGACACAAAAGTTTTCTCAGCCCAAAAGATAAGAAAGAGGAGAAAAGAGGTCACATTTTCTGAGCCTTTGTACTTCATCCTTGTTTTCCACAGGCCAGGGACACTGCATGATTTCCACAGTCATGAAATAGCCGAGCAGCTGACCCTCCTGGATGCTGAACTCTTCTATAAAATCGAGGTACAGAGATGAGGATGGGGAAAGGGTGGTGGGAGGGATTGGAATATGCACCCCCTACAATCTCTGGTGTTCCCTGCCAGCTCTCCAGGACACCTGTTGGGTTGTGGGACACAGCTGATCTCGTGTCAGCAAGTGGCTGCGAACACACACTGGGAATGTTGAGGCAGGAATCCCGTTTTAATGTGTGGTATTTTCCCACTCCTCTCCTCTTCTTCCTTGGCAGATCCCAGAAGTTTTGCTTTGGGCAAAGGAACAAAATGAAGAGAAGAGCCCCAACCTGACACAGTTCACAGAGCACTTTAATAACATGTCCTACTGGTAAGGAGCTTAAAACAACCATACCACTGAACTGTGCTTAACATCCAGTGCCTTTCACATATTCCAAATATTCCTTGCTGACTTGGGTTCCTTTGTTACAAGTGGAATAACATATATTTTTGGCCAGGAAGTAGACGCAGAACACTCATCAAAAACCCCAGAGTACATGAGAAAGAAAATCAGGAATGTTGTGGAGGTTTCCTCTTGTAAATAAAGGCACTCTGTAAAATTATCCTGTCTCTGTTGTGGATGAGAGTGCTCCATTAAAGTTGAAGGTATCATGAGCTTTTTAGTACTGTTGGCCCATCCTTATCAGTGATCAGGTTTTTTTAATGAAAAAAAGAAGAAGTCTGAGATCTGCTTAAGTGGGTTTATCATTTTTTTTTTCTGTCTGTTCTTCCAGGGTCCGTTCAATAATTATGCTACAAGAGAAAGCCCAGGACCGAGAGAGGCTGCTCCTTAAATTTATAAAGATTATGAAGGTACCAGCTTGGACTTCCCTGTGAATCACAAACACTGCTCCTTAAAGGAGCAGGGTAGTGTGACCTGGTTGTTAGGGCTGTTTCAGATCTCTTGAGTAACTGGAATTTTCTCCCTCTTCGCAGCACTTACGAAAGCTGAATAATTTTAATTCCTATCTGGCCATTCTTTCTGCACTGGATTCTGCCCCCATCAGAAGGCTGGAGTGGCAGAAGCAAACCTCAGAGGTGAGGAGCAGTCGGGGCTGTCATCTTTGGGGGATATGTATGAAACAGCCGGGTGGTCTCAATAGCTCAGCAACTCCCAGGGTGGAGGGATGGTGGATAACTGCTCTCCAGTGGGTGTGATGCCACAGTGCTGGAAGCCTGCAGCATGGCTGGGCATTCTGACAGCTGCAGGAGTGCCAGCACAGTCACAGGGCAGAACAGCCACCTCCTCTCTGCAAACCAGGGCTTGCTGAGGCTGAAGGCAGTGAGGCTCTGCGTATGCGCAGTCGGGGTCAGGCTGAATAAATCACTTGGAGGTGTTTCCAGGACAGCATTAACTCCCTGGCCTGCATAGCTCTCTGGGGAGAGATGACAGAGAAAATGGGTTTGCAGCAGCAGTTCACCATGGGATTTGTGTCCTGGCAGGGCCTGGCTGAGTACTGCACCCTGATCGACAGCTCCTCGTCCTTCCGCGCCTACCGAGCGGCTCTGGCCGATGTGGAGCCCCCCTGCATCCCGTACCTGTGAGTGGGCAGTTTCTTTCCTCTGCACATTAAAGTGGTTCCTTCAAGGCTTTCTCAGCAGCTTCTGCTGAGCTCAGCACTTGCCTTTTGCCAGACATGTGGGATAAGACAGCACTGTGCCACGTCAGCCCGTGGGCCCTCTCTGGAGGGATTTGTCTGGGAGCACAGGAAGGCAGGGTGGCAAATACCATTTTGTAAAGAAGCTTCTTCCAGCCTGGTCCTTCTCTCCATGAAGGGTGAAAGAGCAACCTCATCACCCGTAGTGTGCCATGAGTGCCTCCCCTCAGAGGCCCCTCAGCTGTGCATGGTGGGTGCTTGCACCTGAACACCACTGGATCTGCTGCTGGGGGAACGTTTCCCTCTGGATAAGGTTGCCATGATGGTGGCAGTGGGAGGCTGTTGGATTGCACTGGGCTGCCTTTTGGGCTGGCCACCCTGCCCCTGTGTGACTAACCTCTGTACCTGTTTACCAACTCCCTGGCCTGCTGCCCCTTTCTCTCTTTCAGAGGCTTGATTCTGCAGGATCTGACCTTTGTTCATCTGGGAAACCCCGATTACATTGACAGCAAAGTGAACTTTTCCAAGCGTTGGCAGCAGTTCAACATCCTGGACAGCATGAGGTGCTTCCAGCAAGTGTAAGTGCAGCAACAGGGGGGTCAGAGCTGTCTGTGGGGCAGCAGGTGGGGATTGGGGTGTGTGGGGATGATGGCTGGGAACCCCTATGCAAGGGGAAGGGAGTCTAAAGTCAAAGCATCGTGATGGAGATGTAAAGAGAGCTGGGAATGACAGGGCTCTGGTTGCAGTTCTCCTTCCCTCTCTAGGTTAGACAAAAGTTGTGAAGACATTTTTGTGATGTTAGTTTTGAGATCCAGTGCAAAGTTTTCCCACTCCTCTCTTTAGGATAAGTTTTTCCTCCAGGTTTTGCCCTTGCTGGTTCCTGTGTTCTCTAGGATATGGAGAGTTTTCTTCAATGCTGTCTTGCAGCAGAGGCAGCACACCTAACTGCAGATTTCTGTGTGACAGGGTCCTTTTTTCCCTCCCAGTTCAGCAACAGGCATGATGGGTTTTCCTCTTTCTGGTGTCACACCTTGTCATGAGTACTGAACACAGACCACAGTGCTGGATGTGTTAGAGCAGGGCAGGGGCGGCCAAAATTGGGAGAGGTCCCCAGGTAGCCCCTCATTTAACCCTCCTCTGTGGTTTTCCAGACATTACGACATCAAAAGAAACGACGACATAGTGTCATTCTTCAACGACTTCAGCGACCACCTGGCTGAGGAGGCCTTGTGGGAACTGTCCCTCAAAATCAAACCTCGCAACATTACGAGGCGGAAAACAGATCGAGAAGAGAAGACCTAGGAGGAGGGGTGGTGCGAGCGAGGAGAATTGCTCCGCAGAGGCGCCGAGGGCAGCTATGAGACTGGAGTTCAATGTTTGTACCTGTCACTGGATGACACACCCTCCCTCCCAGCTGGCAGCCATCCCTGGGGGTGGGAATGCCGGGCGCTCGCAGCCGGCCAGAGGTGACCGCGCGCGGCCGCCGCCGAGGGCAGAGATCGACCGGTGCTCGCTGCACCCGCCCTCCTTCTCCTCCCGTCCCTCTGTGCCATGAACCAGCTTTAAACCCGGGGAGAGAGCTGTGTGGAAGGAGAGTCCTGCGCCAGCGTGTTGGTTTGCTGGCCCATTCCATCCGGGAATAGCCCGGCTTCTGTTTCCATCCACGAAGGAAGGTCAGCGAGAGCTCAGCGCCGACACTGTCTCTGGAGCGGCGTCGGGCAGGAGCAGCCGTGGAAGCCAAGGGTTTGAGACTCCCCTGCAATGCCACCTCCAAACATGTTCATCCATAGGAGATGAGGATGGAAGCGTTCCTGCTGCCTGCCAGAGGAGCTCTGCTTTCAGAGAGCTGCTTGTGTTTACAGGGGTCTTGGTTCGCCCCAGATCTCTGGCGCCTTCTCCGTGGGAGGAAGGCACCGGTCGTAGATACGGAAGAGGCACTGAAAACATGGGCAGGGACCCGCCATCTGCAGTCATCACATCCCCCTCCTCCTCTCAGATCTCGTTATTTAAGCAACGGTAAATCCCTCTGGACCTGGAAACACGGACTACCCAGGTACTGCGGGTCACTGTCTGTGGCCCCGTGTCTCTTAGCGATGGTACTTAGCTTTTGCACAGGAAATGCTGTAGTATATGGACTGTACATACTAGTGTTTAGAATCCGTTGGGGATTTTTGATGCATGTCTGAATACCGATGAATTTATAGGAAAAAAAAAAAAAAGAAAAAGTGCAAACCGATATGTATAAAATTCACAACCAGTGACAATGTTGTTCCAAGTGCTGGAAGAAAGGAGGCTCAAGGCTGTGGAGCAGGTGAAGGAGCCGGGCCAAGGAGCCAGCAGGTCCATTTCTGGGTTGGAAATGGGAGCCAGGAAGGAGCCCTGTTCCCAGCCGAGCCACCCCATCCTCCCACCCCACTCCTCTCTCCTCTCACTGTTGCCAAATGTTTGTTCCTGGGGGTCCCCGTCGGGCTGGCCCTCGGTGCTGTGCTTTGTGACCCGTGCTTTGGCAGGAGCCCCAGCAGGTCCCCGTCCCCAGTCCTGCCGTGCCAGAGCCAGCAGGGCAGGGGCAGCCTGGCATGGAAGAGCAAAGGGCAGTCTCATTTCCCACACATGCAGTGTTAACCCCAATCTGTTCAGTGTGCCTTATTCAGCCCCTCTGTCCCCTCTCTGTGTCCCACCCAGGGTGTCCCCCCCAGCACAGCCCCAGCCAGGCCATTTCACATCCCTCCTCTCTATCCTCTTCCAATAGTTTACAGTCGGATCGTGGGTTTGAGTGTGCCCTGCAGGTTTCAGCAGCCTTGCGAGACCCTTCTCAGCTCTCTGTGGTTTTTACAGGGTTCTAACAAAATCCTGCAGGTTTAGGGCAGCAGCTCCTGGAATACAGATGTGGAGTTTCACAGAGCATCCTTAACTTATTTCTCAATAGCAGCTCTGTGCCTGCTCAAGCCTCTGTTTATTCTGGGTGAATCAGAGCTGCACTTACTTCCCTCTCCAAACAGATTGCAAAGACTTGGCCAGCTCTGCCTGACTCCCAGGAGGGAGTGACAGCCACACTGCCCCGCTCGCAGGGTTTTACCCAGCTTGGTTATTTTCCTGAAGATTCAGGCCCAGGACTCATACAGTGACCAATTGCTGAAGCACCCCTGTCCACGAGGACATCTTCTGGGAGAGGAGAGTGTGGGGTCCAACACAGTTTGTGCTGTGCAGCCCCAGAGAAGGAGGAGCAGGAATCTTCTGTGCTGAAACACGTTATCTGAACAGGAACACTTCAAAAGGGGGTTATTTTCATGGCACTGAGGGCGTTGGAGCGGTGTGTTGAGTCCAGCCAGGGCTTTGCAATCTCCAAAGGCTTCCCAGCCTTCCACAGAGGAAGTCATGCCTGTGTTTTCCTTTGTAAATAAGGTTTTTAAAAGCCCAACAGGTTGAGGTGGTGAGAAGGCTGATGGTGTGGGCTTTGCCCCAGCATCTCTGAGCACCCCTTGGGTGGGGGCTGTGTCTGGGCTGTTCTGGGGGTGTTGTGTGTGCTGGTAACACTGGAACCACCCCATCTGTGGGTGCAGAGGTCATGGCTGGGGCTTGATGCCACAGAGGAACAGGAGGGTGCAGCTTGTCTCCATCCAGCTGAATAACCTTGTTACATGATGGGGGAGCAATTGGCTCACTGGTTGGGCACAGAGTTACAGTGGCTGGGCTGACATCAGGCTGGCAGGTGTCACCAGTGGGGTTCTGCAGGGCTCCATCCTCAGCCCAGTTCTCCTCAACATCTTCATTAATGACCTGGACACAGGACTGGAAGGAATCCTTACAAACTTACACCAGGAGCTGTCGACTCCCTCGAGGGCAGAAAGGCCCTGCAGAGAGACCTCGACAAATTAGAGAGATGGGCAACCACCAACCACAGGAAGTTTAAGAAGGGCCAGTGTCCCATTCTGCACCTGGGATGGGGCAACCCTGGCTGTGTGTATAGACTGGGGAATGAGATGCTGGAAAGCAGCTGTGGGAAGGGACCTGGGGGTCCTGGTCGATGGCAAGTTGAATATGAGTCAGCAGTGCCCTGGCAGCCAGGAGGGCCAACCATGTCCTGGGGGGCATCAGGCAAAGCATCGCCAGCCAGGCGAGGGAGGGGATTGTCCCTCTCTGCTCTGACCTGGGGTGGCCTCATCTTGGATATTGTGTGCAGGTTTGGGCACCACAATGTAAAAAAAAGACATTAAGCTATTAGAGAGCACCCAAGGAGGCTGTGAGGATGGTGAAGGGTCTGGAGGGGAAGTGTTGTGAGGAGCAGCTGAGGGCACTTGGTCTGTTCAGCCTGGAGAAGGGGAGACTGAGGGGAGGCCTCACTGAGGTCTTCAACATCCTCATGTGGGGCAGTGGAGGGGCAGACATTTGATCTCTTCACTCTTGTGACCAGTGACATGAGTGGGGATGGGAGGTCTGAGTGGCCACAGCACCTCATCCAGTGTGATGGGGCTGAGCCCTCCAGCTTTCCTCCCCCCTGCTTTCCTTCCCCAGCTTTCCTCCCTTCTTCTCCCCTTTGCTCTGCCGTCATCCCCAACCCCAGTGTCCCAACCCCAGTCTCACAGGGCTGGAGGGACCCTAAACGAGGGTCCCCTTTGCCTGGAGCAGCTTGAGGTTTGCTGGCCAGAAACCCCCACTCTCCAGGGGCAGCCCCTGGGGAGCAGCCCAGAACATCCCTGTGCAAGACTGGCCAGGAGTGAGTTCCCGTGTCTCTCAGGCAGTGTTCTCGAGGCCATCACCTCTTTTTGGGCAGAGGGAAGAGTCTGAGTCCCCTCTCCACATGGGGCAGGGAGCGGGGAGAAGCGATGCCCCCAGTCACCAGCCCCCTGCCCCACTCCCAGGCATCTCCCCCCCCTAAGCAGTTCCGTTGTATTATAGATTTACCACAAACTCCATCCCCGTGGTGGCATCTTCCTCCGAACATTTCAGACCTGTAACTTTTATATTAAAGACAAATAAAACACCAATAACAAGCCCGCCTGATGATCCTGTTTACAGTGCATGCACAGTCTGTGGATTAAAGTGACAATCGAATCCACCTCTGGCGCTGGTGTGGCCTCATGTTTTCTCAAGTGCCCCTCTTGATTTTCCTCTGCCCATGGCTCTTTTTCCCTTTATTTTTTCCACTGTAAACCTCTTCCTTCCCTCTGCTGAGATGGCCTTGCCCCAGTACAAGCCCTACGCTTGGGAGGGGACATCTGCTACTGTCACCTTCCTCCGGGCACTGGTGCTCCCTGTGTTGGGGGGTTTTGGCCCCACAAACCCCGTGCCCAGCCCGTGCTGGCGGCTGAGGGCTATAAATAACCCCTAAAGAACCCCTGCAGCAGCCGGGGCGGCCAAGCTGCTCCTGCACTATTTTCAGTCCTGAACGGCATTCAAAATTCCTCTGGAAATAATTGTCACGGGCCAGCTGAGGAGGAGAATGCCCAGACACTGACTGAGCACGTGCCCCCTGCGCGACCGCGGAGCATCAGCAGCTCATCCTCCCCGCAGCAGCTCAGAGTGGCACCCCCAGGCCCGGGGCCATGTGGGCTCCCTGAGGGTCTGGAACCCTGGACCCACCTGCTTTTGGGAAAACCCTGATTTCACTGATTACTGGAGACCTTACCCTGAATTTTGTGGTGGACAAAGGCCATGGACAAAGGCCAGGAGATGGAGGAGGAGGAAGGTCCTTGATGTGCAGAGAAAGCAGAAGCTTTGGCTACAGCTGGATTTTATTTCAGCCTGGAAGCTGCAAGGAGGTGGCGGTACAGTGTCTGTGTCTGTGTGTGCAAAATTACTGGAGAAGTTGCATATGTGAATTTTGTGTCTTCCCACATTATTAATGGCTGGTGAGGGCTTCCCGTACACCTGGGCCTCTCTGCAACACCTCAGCCATTAGCTCTATCTCTAGTCCCAGTTCTACAGATGCTCCCTCTGCTCCAGAGTCACATTTGGCAGCTCCAAGTGACAGCCCATGGTAATGGGATTCAGCATCCCACAGCAGAGCCTGATCCCATACATGGTGCCACTGCTCCAACATGAGTCCTTGCCCAGAGCTGGCTCTGGCATTGCTTCAGTCTGGGTTCCTCAGCAGGGCTGAGGGGGTGGGTGAAGGCACACGTGGCTCTGGAGCAACTCCTCACCCCACCAGGAAGGACAGAGCTGCCGGTCTGCCCAGATGACACTTTGTGGTCACCCGTTTCCCAGGACAGCTGGGAAAAGTGGCTGTGGCCACTTCACCTGTCCGTGCCCCCCCAGGGCCAGTGGTGAGCTGCAAGGAACCCTTGGCACACACACCATGTCCCTGGGGCTCAGGGTCCCCGTTGGGCGTACAGGGTTGCCAGGACACAGATGACCCAAATGATGGAGACGAACAATCCGAAGAGGAGGCTGAAGAGGATGAGGAAATAAGCCTTTCTGGATGCTGAGAACGCCTGGTCTATGTCCCCACGCCTGATCGCAGCCCGGGTCTGGTGCAAGGGAGGGAAGGGGAGGGGTTAGAAGAGATCGGCAGCACCCAGAAAGGAAGGGGGGATGTTTGAGATTGCCAGGTGGGTCCTTACCTCATGGGAGTAGATGAGGGCCATGGCCCCGGTCAGCATGCAGCAGAAGACGGTCACCAGCACTGCCTCCACCATGTGGTCCCTGGGTAGTTCCTGCCTGTAGCTGGCAGGCAATGGCCCCATTCTCGGCTGCCCGGTGTACTGCGGCACGGCAGGGGAGCAGCTAAAGCTCCAAACCCCGAGTGCGTTCCCCGCCCCTCCGGCAGTGCTGCTCAAGCATCACTTGGGCACCGAATGTAACCCCACGAACCCAGGAGAGGAGGTAAGGGCTGAACCCACCGCAGAGCGGGGCAGAGCACATCAGGGAGGGGGATACGTACGATGTTGTAGGGCAGGGTCCCAGGCGGGATGCCCTGGGGATGGAAAGGCCGCGCTCTCTGTCCGAGCTGCGGCTGGTAGAAGACGGGCTCCTCCTGGGAGCAGCCGGGCGGGCAATCGAAGCGAACTCTCTTGCGGGGTGGGGGCGCGTGGGGCGGCGGGTCCCCCTTCACAGCCTCGTTGGTGGCTGCCCCCACGGGCGTGTCCTCACGGCCCGCGGGGGGGTCCTGGGGGGTGTCAGAGCTGGGCGGCTCCTCGGGGGCCCGTTGTTCCCCCTGCTCCGCTCCCTGGGCCGTGGGAGCGGGATCGGGGGATCGGGGGTCGGGGCCCGGGCCCGTACCCTGCGGCCCGGCTGGCGGGTCACCTTCCATCCCGCGGAGACGCCTGCGGGGACGGGGAGGTTGCGATAGGAAGGAACAGCCCCAGTCCACTCACCCCGGTGGTCCCCCCAAGTGCGGGGCTGGGGCTGCCCGTGAGACCCCTTTGTGCCACCCCCGGGCCCCGAGCCCCCATCGCCCGTCCCCTGCACCGCCCCGATGTCCCAGCCCCGTCCCCACTCACGGCGGTGCCCGGGGGGGTCCCCACCTGCCGCCGCTCGGGGCCCGGACCCCGCAACGGCCCCCGGACCCCGCAACGGCCCCGCCGCGGCCCGCGGGTCCCGCGTGGCCCCAACGGGCGGCGGGAGCGCAGCCCCGGGGCCGGGCCGGTTAATCATTGACCGCCTGTTTGCCCGGGGCCCCGCGCGGGTGGGGCCGCCCCCGGACCAACCCTGAGCCCCGGCCCACGGACCCCCGGATGGAGACCCCCGGACTGCGACCCCGGCGAGGCAGACGGCGGCGTCCGTCCCGCCCCGGGGAGGGGGTCTGGGGTCCATCGCGGTGCCGCGGCCGATGGAGCCGGCGCTGGGCGCAGGGAACAGTCACGGAGCTACACAGCGATTTTTTTCATGTATAAACATACGATTTGGTTTTGGTTTAAAACGTAAACGTGCTGTCCGCGTGTTCCGGCTGTGTCTATTTATCTACAAAACATATGTAAAAACGTGTATATTTTATCTGTAGCTATTAACATTGGCCACGTGTATGTGTGTACACCTGTATCACGCCCCCGTGCTCACAGTACGTGTGCGCGCACACATCGTACACGGCTTATCCCCACGTTACACACCCTCGTGTCTCTGTGCTGTGCATTCAGGTGCCTTGTCTGTCTGTCTGTCCGTCCGTGCCGATGGACCCGCGGCTGAGAACGGACGCGCTCAGCGCACATGGCCACGCCCCCAGCGGCCACGCCCCCTGTAACCACGCCCAAAAGGAAGCCACGCCCCCGTCCCGCCCCTCACGGCTCCCGTCCCGCCATGGCCTCCGCCGGCGGCCCCGACCCGGAGCGGCCGCACCCCAAGCCCTTCCTCATCGGCGTCAGCGGCGGCACCGCCAGCGGAAAGGTGAGACCCGCCGCGTTCGGGGTCTGTCGGGGCTGAGCTCCTCTCCCCGGGCGCCCCGCGGACCGCCGGGGCATCGCCGGTGCCGCTTCCCTTCCTCCCCGCGGGAGGGGCCGGGCCCGGTTTGGCCCCGGCTGAGCCCCCGTCCCGCTCAGTCCACAGTGTGCGAGAAGATCATGGAGCTGCTGGGGCAGAACGAGGTGGAGCAGCGGCAGCGGAAGGTGCTGATCCTGAGCCAGGACAGCTTCTACAAGGTGCTGACGGCCGAGCAGCAGGCCAAGGCGCTCAAGGGGCAGTACAACTTCGACCACCCGGGTGAGCAGGGTGTGCTTGGAGCATGGCGAGGGCCCGTGGGAAATGGGACGTGCTGGAGAGCAGAAATGCTCTCTCTCCCTCCACCTTCCCCCCTTTCCCCCCCAAACATCCGTTCGCCCTTCCCTCGTGCCCGCTGTTACTGACGGCTGGCACTGCCCTCCTGCAGCCGTGGAGAGCTGCGGAGCATCCCGGCCTGCCCCCGGCTCCGGAGAGGCTCTGTAATGCTCCACATCATTCCCCAAATCCTTTCCTGATACTTCTTGTCCGCACAAACAGCTGCTCCCCTGGCCTGGGGGAGGATTGCAGGCGGGACAGGGATCTGCCCTTGGCTGCAGTCTGGTGCTGCTGTGGGCACACAGGGGCGGGTGCTGGAAACCATTAAAGAGTGCCTGAGGTTTTCCAATTGACTCTTGACTAACAGAGTTGCAAAAACACTATGCAATTGCCAAGTGGTTTGGTGCAACCAACTTCACCTTTGGGTTCTTAATTTTATTGTTTTGTAGTTGTTTATAAACAGCAAATTACCTCTTCCCTATCTCTGTAACCAAGCACAGCAGTTGTCACTCAGGCAGAGAATGTTGGCTGCTGGTAGGAAAGAATAAGCCATAAGTTCTTTTTTTCCTGGTGAAACACTGGGCAGAGAGTTTTTCTTTTGGCTCTAGAAAAATCTGGGCAGAACATTTGATACAGCAGCATCTGACACTCCTCTTCTTTGAACCTTCCTCTCACAGATGCTTTCGATAACGATTTGATGCATTCAACCCTGAAAAGTATTGTTGAGGGCAAAACAGTTGAGGTACCAACGTATGACTTCGTGACACATTCTCGGTAGGTTCTGGTTTTGTGTGGTGGTGTCTGTGGGGTGTCCCAGCCTGGGGATGGGTCTCTTGGTGCTGATGTGAGACCCGTTTAACAGCGTGCTGTGGGTGTTTTCTCCTGCCAGGCTGGCAGAGACGACGGTGGTCTATCCTGCTGACGTCGTGCTCTTTGAGGGGATCCTGGTTTTCTACAACCAGGACATCCGGGACATGTTCCACCTCCGTCTCTTTGTGGACACGGACTCGGACGTGCGGCTGTCCCGCCGAGGTAACGGCTGCGCCGGCGCGGGCAGCGCCAGCTCCTGCTCCTTATCCACCCTCGGCCATGTGGCAACACTCAGGGGTTTTATCTCCCCACCCCAGTTCTGCGAGACATGAAACGCGGGAGGGACCTCGAGCAGATCCTCACCCAGTACACCACCTTTGTTAAGCCTGCCTTTGAGGAGTTCTGCTTGCCGGTAGGGAATGTTTCACTAATTGGATTTATGGGGCTTTTTTTGGGGGGGAAGGGGGAGAGGAGCAGGGTCATCTGGGGATTAACTGCACTGTAGACGCAGCAGTGGGGACTTTTGGTATTTTGGTATTTGTATGTCACAAATCCCACGCTCTCCCCTCTGCCTCATGTCTTCAACCATTCCCAGCTGGTTGTTAAGGAACTGAAATGGTCCCTTCTGCTGGCAAAGCACCATGGAAATGCCTCCAGCACTTTTCCTCACTGCTGGCTGCCGGGGCTATTTTAGCATGGGCCCTCTGACTGAAGCACTCCCACTCTCCATTTATTCTTAAGACTTGTAGGAAGAAAAAACAGCTTGGTTTCCAGCAGCCTTCCTCCAAGGGAACACTGGGGAAAACCTGGGGCAGACCATGCTAGCACTGTTTGCTCTACCATGCAGTGCAGGGACAATGTAGGTGCTCACGTAACCAAATTAATTTGTAAAAAAACCCTTTGAGAACAAAATCCTGTATGTGGATTAAATAAGCTGGAAAAGGCTAACTCAGGCTCCTCCTGCTCTAGATCAAAGGAATTCTGGGGTTGGAAAAGTACTCGTTAGAAATGCTGAATTTTGCCAGCTTTTTTCCAAGTAGTGGGGGAAGAAAAAGCAGGAGTGCTGTACTGGTAAAGATCAATAAAATGTTATCAGAGCTAGGCAGGAATTTCACATGCACATTGAGTTCCTTGGCTCTCGGCAGAGATTTAGCAATGGCTTATGAAATGCTGATTAGAACCAGCTCTTGGCAAACAGACCTCTCCTGAAGTGGTCAATATTTGAAGGCAGCTCAGAACTGTAAAAACAAGGACTCTACACCTCACCTGCTGCTTCTACCTGGTGATTCTTTGCAAAGGGACAGTAAGACCAATCCATGGCCTTAAATCCAGTGCATGTTAGCCACAGTGACGTCTTAATTAATTTAGGTGTAACCATGACTGAGAGCTTTAACTTACAACCCTGGAAGAAACAGAACCCCTCCCTCTTTGCCCCAGTTTTCTGGCCTTTGGTCACTCCTGCCTAGAATGAAGCTGACTTTTCCATTAACGGCCTCCACCACTGTTCCTGTTTTTCAGACAAAGAAGTATGCAGATGTGATCATCCCCCGAGGAGTTGACAACATGGGTAAAAGGGAGTTGGGTTCTCTGATTTCCCTGGGGAGACACCCTTGGGTTGGGAAGAGAGCAGGGGGCATGTGCTTCTAAGGAAAGGCGTTTTGCTGGAGGGCTGGAGGGGAGGGAGCTGCTCAGCCTGTGGAGGGCTGGAAAAGTGACCCGTGGAGGTCTGACCTCGCTGCAGACAGCAGGCAGAGTTTCATTTAAGGGCTTGTTAAAACTTGAGCAGAGCAGGGCTGGATGCTCCACATTTTCTAGATAACTCAGCCAGGAAAGCCTTCACATCCCACGTTTCCCATTCCTCTCTGCAGTTGCCATAAACCTCATAGTGCAGCACATTCAAGACATCCTGAACGGAGACATCTGCAAGTGGCAGCGAGGGGCGATGAACGGGCACGGCCGGACCTACAAGCGCCCGTTCCCGGAGCCCGCGGAGAGCAGCAGTGTCCTGGCGGCAGGAAAACGCTCCCACCTGGAGTCCAGCAGCCGTCCACACTAACCTGGGCTTGCCTCTGGTCCAGACCAACAGTGAAGACAACTTTGGGAAAGGACTTCGACAGAATGGTTGGTGAAGTGCCCTTTAAATCGTCCTGGCAGCGGAGGGGATCCTGGTGTGAACCTTCTCACAGGGGAGAGAGGAAGGAGTTGGCCATCGGCTCCTCTCCCCTCCAGACCCCTCCCTTTTCTCCCTGAGATGTCTGGAGTCACGTTACTTGATGAACTGGTTAAAGGCAGTGCTACTTGCCTTTTTTTAATTTTGAAAATGAGATCTACTGCTGAAGACTTCCCTGAAAATTAAGCACTACCAGGTGATGAGCAAGATACCCCATTTCCCTGATGATGGGCTTCCTTAGCAGGAAAATTATCTGCCTCTTGGTTTGGTTTTTTTTTCTCTCTATCCCTGTTAATTTTCTCAAGCAGGTGCAGCCCTTACTCTTCTCCACCTCTTTGGCACCTTGAGTTCTGGCCTTGTTGTGCTGCTGGCCAGCCTGTAGGGGCAGGGGGTTTGACTTGTAGGGGCATCTCTGCCCTGAGATAGGGGTGAGACAGAGACTGTCTGGGACAAATGGGAACTTGCAGTTCACCAGGGACAGGCCCAAGAAGTTTATTGTCTCTTGATTCCTAATTTATTCCTTTCTAAGCTCCCAAATCTTGCTATACTGTATGATCATTTTTTTGTACCCAAAATAGTCCCCTTTCCCACAGTTACTGAATGTGTGAGCTCCAGCTGGATTGAGTTGCTCATGGAAACAGAAACCTGACCTTGTCAGTATTAGTGTCTTTTAGTGCATTTCTATACTGCTGGTTGCACATTCTGCTGGGCAGAATCCGTCCACTTCCAGAGAGGGCTGGTGAGACCAACAAGGGGGGAAGCTGGGAATGGCAGGACCCTCCTCCTGCTGGCACAGGCAGCTGCCTGGACGTGTTGTACCCTTAGACAGCGCTCCAGCAGCTTAAACTCAAGAATGTCTGGCTTTCTAAAACAAGCAGACAAGAAGTATAAACACTGACATCCCAGTTTCTGTAGTTTACCCCAGATAAGTGATAGTGAAGTGTCTGGAAAAAAAAAAAATCTGAAATGAAGTGCTGGTTGGGCCTTTGAAAGTGTCCTTTTGGTACCAATCTTGAGTCTGGACTTACGGTGTAATTTGAAGAATGAGGGTGGGAGGGAGATGTTATTAAGAGGAACTTTTTCATACTTGCTAGTTTTCTAAAAGCAGCATCGGGCTGTGTTGGTTGTGGGTGTGTTACTTTGGCTAATAAATGAACAAACAGTGATCAGAAATGACCATTTTATATAAAAGGTAATTGTGCTGCTTGCACTACATCAGCAAAAAAGGTACAGAAAGGCCACTGCCTGGAGGAGTTCTCGCACTCAACAGAATTGTTGAGTGTAAGAACCTTTAGTTCTGTCATGGCTTAGGAAAAAAAAAAAAAAAAACCTGACTTAAGAAATGCAGTCTGCACTTTCATCCCTGCACTTTTCAACACTGGAAATGGGTGAAGGTTTGGTATCTCAGTGATCTCCTCAGCTGAATGGTACTTCTGCAGTGCCCAGGAGAAGGCAGGTCATTTCCTGACTGCTGCTGGGTGCTGTTTAGTTCAGGGTGACAGACTTAGACTATGAGCTACTGCACTCAAGCATTAGCTCTCAGGGCTGATTACAGTAGGAGCAAAATAGTCACTAAAACCTACTTTGAATGACTGTGGTGTTGGATCATACCTTCCTCTGGAGGCCAGGGGGGAGCTCAAAGCATTTGTTAGAGCCTTGAATAGCATTTGTTAGAGCTGTGAGGAACTCCACAAAGAGCCCCTGGTCTGTGGAGCTGCTGCTGTGGGCAGCTTTGTGCTGTGTTAAAGGACCTGCTGCTGCAGCCACATGGAGATAAGAAATGGGACGTGGCCCAGGTACTGTAACCCTGGTTAAATAACTACAGAGCCATTACAAATTCCCCCACTGGGCAATCCCAGTGCTTCACCTCTGCCTTCTCCCTTCTCTGCGAATTCCTCTACTAGAACAGGCCAGGCCATGGTTTGGGTTGCAGTGTGTTTACCCTGAACCCACATGTGCACGAGTTAGAACAGGTTTCCTTCTCAGCAGGATCAGTCCTACCTTGCCCAGAGTTCCTCTTCCCGTGGGATTTGAGGTGTAACCCTGCAGCCCAGTAAATACAATAATACATCCATGGCTGGTAACAGGCCTAAGGCTTCTCATCAATGCCACAAGGCCAGGGGATTCTTCTGGCTCTGGTTGGCTTCCTGGCTTGCCTGAAGCCTTGTTTTAGCTTGTTTAGCTGTAACAGCAGTTTTCTAATGTCTTTTTATTTTTGCTTATCTTCTTAAAAGTGATGGTTATGCCAAATGATTACACATAGATAATAGTAACAAGTCATTATTTTATGCAGAATGAACTATTTATAAATGTGGCTTAATGCTGTATTTACATAAATAGGGATGATAGCACGGCACTGAAAGTGGGGGCAAATAATGTGTTGTTAAGGAATAGTCATGGGATGGTGCTAAAGGCTGCAGGGCCAGTTACTGATTGTTGAAGGATGAATAAGCTTCAGAGCAGGGAAAACCTTTTTTTTAAAAGTAACATGAGAAAAATATCTGATGTGTCGGAGAGTGTCCATTTTTTGTAACTTTTATCATGGAATTGTAGACCAAGGTGCTGGGAAACACATGAAAATAGCCCTCAGTGCAATGTAGTGCAAGAAGGAAGAAACCACCCCTGTCAGGAAAGAGGAAGAAGAAATTGTTGCAGCATGTTCTTCCCAGGAAAGGAGATGGGATGCTGCTGCCTGAAGTCAGCAGCCTTCAGGCCCCGAGGGGCAGTGGAAGGGTGAATGTAACAGGGGCAGAAACTGGGAATTGTGCTCATAACTGTATTCCTGTCGAGAGCTTTTCTGTAACAGTGCTCTTTTCTTTTCCTGTAATCGTTAGATCTGGACTACTATCAATTACTTGATCCAGCTGTTAAGATTTCAGTTATACTAACAATAAATCCTTGGCTTTGCACAAAAGGTGTTTCCTTTTGGCTGTAACACGGTTGTAGTGGTCACTGTTTTCGGATGAGGATGTTCCAGCTGTCTTTCCAGCGCAAGTCCTTGAGTTCCGTCGCGGACAGCGCGGGCTGCCCGTAGGTCACGGGGCTGAAGGTGCAGTAGACAAAGTACACTGAGGAGAACCAGGCTACAATCAGTGCACTGAACATGCTCTTGAGCAGCACAGACCTGGGATGAGAGCGGGAAAGAGCAGTCAAGTTACATCAAGGCTGGACAAACACTTCATCCAAAATGAAGACCCACACCTGGCCTGTTTCTCTAAAGACAAATGACAGAGTGTGGCCTCTGCTGGAAAAATCACTGCTCTCCCTGCAGCAGCTTGTCTGGGTGACAGCCCTGGAGAAAAGAACTGTGTCACTTCCCTTGTTAAAGAGAACTGTCTCTGTTAAAGCCAAGTACCTGCAGAGATGATCACCGAGGTGCTGCAACACGACGGGAATCAGGAGAATCTGGAATGTGAGGGCAGGCAGGTAGTGGTACAGGAAAAGTGTCTTCTCCATCAGGAAGAAGGGCAGGTAGTTCACAGCCCAGCCTCCACCACAGACACCCCCGGCTGACACCCAGAGCTGCCAGGAATCTGCAGGAGATGGGAGATGGCATCTCAGAGCAGAGCAAGCCACAACCCTCCCCTGGACACACACACCCAGTGGAATCAGACCTTCAGGGATGTCATAAATCCTCCTCCTCCGTCGTACCAAGTACCACAGGGACAGACACACGTAGACCAGAGCAGCAGCATTAGCTGAAGCCCAGGTGACAACATTCCCAAGGAGGTGGATCTGGGCCTGCAGGATAGATGATGGTCTAAGCCAGAAGCAGAGACATGCTGTGGTTCTTTTAGGTAAATTTAAATATTACATACACATAACTTGCTAAATTAAACCTCAGAGTGTGCCTGGCTAGTAACCTGGAACGAAGCTGGTGATAAACTTTGCTGCTTTAAGACTCTTTTGTAATGGAAGGCATTTGAAAAATGCTATTGGAGATGAACTCATCTTCTAACTGGAATCAATAATGGAAACTAATAAACTGCAGTTTACCTTTAAAAAAACGTGCAAGAAGACATGATTTAATTAAAAGCAACTACTGTCAAAGTTGTATCTCATGCTAAAATAAAACCCTCAACCCTCAGGGAAAACACATGAACATGGGAAGAGTCCTTGGCTGGAACTGCAGCCCTGCTCTGACTCCCACTCCTGGAGCTCCCACGTGAGCTGAACTCCCCTTTCTCACCCAGTTCACAGTTACTTCTGCCTCTTGCACTTACCCCAGAGGTGGGGTGGAGCCAGTAGGCAATATTTGTGTCCATCGTGATCCAGTCCAGAGCAGAGGAGCTGTACTTATGTTCTGTGTCTTCATTTTTTAATGTGAGTATTTTCCACTAGAAAAAAAAAAAAAAAAAGGAAACAAACAGAAAGCTTTCAGGATGGGAACAACAGGTGGTTGAACAGTTCCTGATATAAGATGCTAAGTTCCTAACCTAGGAGCAGAGAAAGATTTTGCCTATCTCACATGGATACTGATCAATACAAAGGTTTTATTTTGTTCTTATATAATGCACTTCCCATGTACCACACATTACAGTTCAGTTTCATGCAGCTTCTGGGTGCCCAACAGATCTTCCTCCCCTTTTTTGTTACACAATCCCTGGGGTATTCATTGCTGAACAGCACAGGTCTCCATTGCCCTTATAAGTGCATTCTGAAATATTTTTTTCAGTGAGGAAGCCAGGCTAACAGCAAGGAATAAACAAGGAATCTTTAGGCTCAGAGCCTGCAGATATGCTCAGGTTTCTGCTCTGCAGCAGGAGGAATGATGAAGGGAATAATAAGACACTCACCTGCAATTCTGTGAACTTTGCCATGAAGCTGAGGTTTTTACTGATGTCCATCTGTGTGGGAGAGTGGAGTTCCACTTCCCTCTCTTTTTGCTCTTGGCCTGGAAGAAAACAGCATAGCTCAGAAATAACCACAAAACAGGCACAAAGCTAGAAAGGGAAGCACAGAGGATATAGCCCTGGCACCTCACTCTCCCAGGAGCCCTTCTCCAATACATCATCCACCTGCAACAGCGCTCCAGGGGAATTTGTAAGCATTCTGACATCCTGACAGAGCCAACTGAACACACATACACACAGTACCACCTTCCCATCAACACTAAGTGTCCCCCAGTCACAGAAACCTGCTGAGACATACTTTTCCCATATCTGTGCTCTTCCACATTCCACAGCATGCTCTGGTGGTAGCCTTTGGACAGCTTCTCTCCAACCACCTCCAGCTGCCGGTATCCCCACTCGGGCAGAGACGCTCCGCTGAGCTGCAGGTGAAAGATGGTTGTGAACTTACAGTGCTGCCAAGCTGAACTTCAGCATGGAAGTTGCCAGCCCTGCCTGAGCGCTGGAGGACAGCGAGGGACTGCCAGAAAACGTATGTGAAGAGTCACCATGCAGTGCTGTCTCGACAAATGCTGCAGCCATAAAGTCACTGGCAAACTCTGAAGGAAAAGATCCTTAACTATTCCAGCTGCTGTCACAGACAGCTGATGCACAGACTCAGCATCAAATTCTGAGCCCCAGCAGTGTACAGTGTCACAACCTCCTGAGAAGCAGGACAGCTCTGATGCTGAGAAGGGATGAAGTATGACTGCCTAAAACACATGCTGCTCTTTTGTCACACTGAGCAAGTTTACTCTTTCCTTTTATTTGCTTATTTGGTTATTTTTGTAGTCGTTTAGTTATTTGGGAGCAGAGAGATGAGTAGTTTGTGAGGATACAAGAACTGCATGAAACAAAAGCTGTAGCACATAAACATAAGCCCACTTGCCTTTAGCACTGCAGAGGTGTTGACGTGAACAAACCTCACTTCTGACAGAATTGTCTTCCACACATCTGTGTCAGACTCCCGATTTACAATCTCCTGCAACAGAAAGATGTTTTTGGATTGTCATGTTGTCCCAGCTGTTTCTGCTGGAACATGATCAGCTGCTCCCCTCCCTTTGACCACTCACCACTCTCCAGAGGTTCTGTGCTGGCATGGAGATGTTATAATCAATATAGCAGGAAACCTCCTGGGAGTGGGGGCTCAGAGGGGCAGCCACATCATGCCTAGAAGACAAGTAAAGTAAGATCCTCCACCGCCGTTTCCCAAATTTATATAAAAAGCAAAACCATATGGGATTGGTTTAGACTGGATTCAATAATAAAGTGAAAAGTAACTCTCTTATACAGATTGCACTGTTTACTCTGAGAGAGAGCACTCCCCAAAACCCTGAGCTGCCAGGAACAGGCTCAGGGGAAGCCAGTGCAGATGCCTGCGATGCCAGGCTGAAGAACAAGCACCGATTGTGACAAACAGAAACACTGTTCACTGGGCTTTCCAATAATGAACAAATTAGGTTTGGAAGGGACACAGCAAAACCCAACATCAGAGCAGCCCCCTTCCTAATCTGAGTGATAGTCAAGCACATGCCCTTTGGGAAGCAGTCAGGAGGCAATTTCATACTGCAGGCTTTCACCGCAGGCAAGAATCTGTGGCAATGAGCCACAGCACACTGGATTCTCCAGTACATCTTCCTGACTTCCAGAGCACATCCTTCATGCAGGAGTATGCCAATAAAATCAGTAGAGTTGCCTCTGGGTTGTTACACAAAATCCTAAGTACCTGCAGCTGCCTGGAAGGGGGCAGTGAAGGATGAAGGTTCACAGAGGGGACTCTATTTAGGAATCTGCAGAACTACCATGAAATGTGAGCACGGGAAAAGCCATCACTGGTCTCTCGTAGAGAGGACCAGAAACAGTGAGCAGCCACTGAGCAATTTGTGATTAAAATCAAATGCCACTGCCAAGTCAGCTGCAAAAAATAAATAAGCACACAGCATCCTCCCTCTGGGCCACAGGGAGGGCTTATGGAACTAACCACACGAGGTCCCTCCTCGGCCCACTGTCGATCTGTGAGTAACAGGCAGTTTATGGCACATCTGAGTGCAAGGTCACTGTGCTTCAACCCCTGAGGGGTTATTCTGAGAGCCAGCACAGCAGAGTGAGGCAGGGCTGGCAGAGCAGGGGATGAGGAAGGGACTTACGTGTTGAGGTAGCGGGTTGTGATGCCGTGGACCAGCTGCACGATGTGTCCGTGCCTGACGGGCCGGGGGGGGTTACTCACCACCAGCTGCTGCCTGGGGAAGTGATACCCAAGAGGAAATGGTTAAATTTGAGGTTATCTTCATATATAACACAACCTTGCCGTGACCAAACCGTCAGGTCAAGAAGCTGCAGGCAGGGACAGACATTGAAGCAGGAAGATGAGAAATTAAAGCAATATATAGATTGTACCAGAATGGTAACAAAACTCATGGAGGGAAAGGTGAGCTAAGGGCACAGTGAGTCAGAGGATCAGTAATGGGATACTGACACCGCAGGCATTAGGTCAGTGGTCTGAATCCAGGTCAGTCAGGAGCGAATTAAGGTTATTCCCATCCCACAGCTGTTTGGTGGCTTCTGTGGAACACGTGAGTGCTTCAGTGAGTCTGACAAGTGCTGTACTACAGCTGATGTCACTTTGGCAGAATTATAAGAGAGATCAGTGGCTTCCTCCACCATGCAGACCAAACTCTCATCTTCCTTCTGGACAGGGCCATGGCAAGGGGGAACACTGAAGTTCACCTGTATTTTGCTGCTCTATAGAAGGACTTTGTACCTCCCAGTGTTTGTAGGAGTCCTGAGTTTGAAGAATTTTAAGAATATATTACTTTTGGTAGAGTCCCTACTTGAAAGGTTTGTTTGCACCATGGACAAACTTTCCCAACATAGATATGATTTATAATGACACACAGCCCTTCTAGGAGGACTCTATACACAGTTCCCAGAGCAACATAAGAAACCTACAAAAGCGACTTTTTGATCAATATGAAATTATATCACTCAAGGGCTTTTACTGGCAAAACAAGAACAAAGAGTCCTTCTCTGCACTGACAGTGACAGTGGCAAAACACTTCAGCACAAACCAGGCCTCTCAGGTACAGGCACCACTTGGAATCCCTCCCATGTAGCAGATTCCAAGCTCATCCCACACTTTATTACAAAGAACTACTCATTTTGCAAAAGTGATTTCTACTCTCTTCTGAGACTCATTCAAGTTTGATAAAACTCACCAAGACTGTAATGCCATGGCTCACACACTTCAAAAAGCAGAACTCCCCTTTCATGCAAAGCACCTGAAGAATTTACACTGGTCCTGTGAGTCTTTCAAGTTTCCCTTGTGCACAGCCAGCCCACATCCTGGCAGGAACAGTTCTGACAGGATTTCAGAGTCCTCAATGCGTTTACCACGTTGAGGAGGATCCTGCAAGGAGCTGCCTTTACCACCTCTGCAGCTGCAATCACTTGCTCAGACCACATATGGCCTCTGCACCCATAAGCAGAGTTATGTCCAAACCAAGCTATGCCCTGGTTAGGTTTTGGAAGCATGCAGCTTGCATTGAAATCTTTTACATACTCACATTCCAGGATCTTTGACAATCCACCAGTTGTTCACATCCTTAAAGGGATAGCAGGTCACCTGCTGTTGATGGGAACTCCCTCGGCCGTTCTCATACCTGCACAGAGAGTTAAAAACCCCACAGAAGTGTAAGGATACATTCCTGTGCTCCCCAGCGCTACAAACCAGCAGCAGATCGCTGGCTCATTCCTGCAGAGCACAGGGAATATTGAAGGATTCATGAAGACACTGCCAGGACACAAACCACGATACTTGGACTGGCAGGTGAAGCACCAGAGCATCCTCTCCCCCAGACTCCTCACCTGATGGGGTAAGTGTTGGTGTGGGAGTGGAGCCAACACTGCATGGGCTTGCCCAGCACGTTCCGCAGGGTGATCTGAGAGCCGTAGGCCACCTCTAAGGGCTGGCCCTGAGTGATCCGAGCCAGCCCACCCTGAGAAGGGTAAGGACAGGATGAGCAGAAAGAAGAAGAAACAACCCAGAGGCTGTTGAAATTCTATTAGGAGTCACCTGTCACTTTAACAGAGCAGATTTTAGCACCAGTGCCTTCTCATTTGGGTTTTATCTACACAAATCAAGTCTTACAACACCATACTCAGCAGAGAGTAAATACACCAATGCCTAAAAGACTACAGGGTCTCAGGAAATATCCCTAAAGCCATGCTGTTCTAAAGGACAGACTAAGCACTCTTCTACAGAAAATCACACTGTTATCCTGTCACCACTCAGGAGTTCAGTACTGTATCTACTTCTGTGGAGTTTCCTGTAGGAAGGGACAAACCTGCTGCAGAAGAGTGAAAATATGGGTTCACTGGGGGAAGCTTTTCATCTGTTATTAGGATTTCAGTCATTATTGCTTCATCTTAAAGCAGTACTACAGCAGCAAAGTGGTTAAATGACATAAAAAGAGCAAATATGCAGGATTAAGGGAACAGGATTGCACACCTTTCTTCTAACAGTGAACATAAGACATAAGCTTTCCCCTTTTTCTCCCTAATAAATCAGTTCTGTGGCCACATTACCTCTAAGCTGGCTTGGAAAGCACTTGTCATGATCTGGTCGTGAGGCCCAGAGCGATACAGCAGAGCCAAGTGGACATAGAAGAAGGACAGGTACAGCACCACGGGGATGAGGATGAGGGCCAGTGCCCGGGCTACAAAATGGCACAGCAAGGAAACCTGGGGGAACAGGGAAAACTCACTGGTTTCATCCTCCAGATACAAAAAATATTAAAAATACCAGCACACTTGGCTTGTTTTGTTTGTCTTTTCGAGGTCTCCCCCACCCCCCTCATTCAGCTGTAACTTTGTGGACAACTGGGTAACTTCCACTGAGGATCTGACCTGGAGCTTGCAAAAGGTATGGGAGGCAGTGTAGGTTGTGAGTCACAAATCACCAAGATGTGGGAAAGAGCAGAAAAGTCAGTCACACACACATGTTTTTCTTAAACTCAACTCCATCTTCCCCAGAGAGAGAACTTCCCCAGCTGAGAACTGCTCTGTGACGGGAGGGTTTCCACACAAGGAATTTTAGCAGAAACCCCAGCTACAGACAGCACTGTGATCTGTGGGCTCCTGGCTGGTTCCTGCCCTGAGAAGTTACACATAACATATTCTGCATGTTGCAGTACCTACATTTGACAAGGTCTGGTCTCCTATCATGTGCCAGAAGTGCAGCCCTGCAATGGCCAGGAGCAGCATATAGGTAAACAGGCCCATGTATTTCACTCTGAGAAGAAAGTGCATAAAAAATGAACAAGGTTAAAAACTACATAACTACCTAATATAAGATATAAATATTCAAACTTTCCCTTGAACAGTCCAAGTAAGACACTATCACTTACCCAACTGCACATGAACAGGCTACTCCAGTCAGCAGGAGCCAAAACCACCAGCTTCCAGAAAAGGGTCTTAAAGATAAATGTATTAAATCATTTGCTAAGCATGGTTTAAAGATAATTTTACTACACTAAATGTTACTTTATCCTCTGCAAGGATCAGAGAACAAAAAAGACAAGTATCTCTAAATTCAATGCATGTAAACAGTAACAAGGAGCATTAAGTGACCTGTTATCATTACTGTTTATGTGCACAGAAGGAAACCTTCCAATAAAAAATGTGGGTGGGTAAAGAAGTGCTCCCAAGGGATTTTATTTCTATTGTAAAATAATTAAAAAAAAAAGACAACCTTGCTAACAGTTAAAACAGTCTTAAATGCTGCTGAGAAAACTTCTGGAGCAGCAAAGCATTGGGTTTTACAGACAGATAAAGTCAACTACACAATGGTAAAATGACTTATAGAAAAAAACCCACAGTCTGTGACTACAAAAATGAGTCACCACAAGAATATCCAAAAGGATGGGAGACAATCCAGCTTTACCTGTGCCTCTGCAAATTGTAGAACTTCAGGTAGGACAAAACTGCAAGTAGGATAAAAAAAATCAATATTGATTCCAGGAGCATGAACCTTGACTGAGTGATCAGAGAGTTCTCTGTTGGAAAAGAGAGACAGACACAAAATTAGAGAAATTTATCTACAGGCAAGTGCTACCTCAGACGATTCACTGTTATCCAACAGAAGGACCTGCCCTTTAGGGACAGCCAATTCCTACTGGCTGTAGTGGGGAGGTGCTGGGTTTATAAGGGACTAAAACCTTCCAGCAGGAGCAAAGTGCACGGTCATAACTGTCTCCAAGACAAAGTGGTAAGCAAGCAGTAAAGTCTGGCAGGAGGCAGATAAAGCTGCTGTGCTTCCTACAAAGGCAAAGAAAATCAATGCTGGTAAGTCCAGAGAGGAGCTTCTCAAGGCAGAGTCAGGGCAGTGAGCCCAGCAGGCAACGAGCACAACAACAGATCTGCAAGACAGGGAGCTGAAAGGAGCCAGAATCAGAGCAGTCAGTAGCTCGGAAAGGTTTCTCTTATCAGGCTGCTAAAGGGCTGCTGAGAGGCTCTTGCCCTTTCAGGCAGCTGCCAGCAGCCCCTCAGAGAAGAAAAATGAACTGAGCTGAACACACCAGAACAGAGTCAAACCACAGTGCTAAGGACACAGGCTGGTTTGCTGCAGTTTGGAGATGAAGAAATTAGATGAGCTCTGAGAGCAGGGTTGTCCAGCTGTTAAAAACCAGTATGTTGTAACTCATCCTGTAAACCTCTGAGGGAGGGAGGACAGGCCTCCTTGGATACAAGAAATGTGGGTTTCTGTGAGGTTGTTAAGGCTGCCCACTTTGGCCTAGTATTGAAATGAAGTTGTATGAAGCCCAGAAGGAAAAACTTCCTGAGGGGAAAAGGGATTCATTCCCAGGTAGGAAGAAAGGGTCTCAGTGGAATAATCTTACCTAAGAGGACCAGAAGAGCAGCTCCAAGTGCAGCACGGTGGGAGAAGTGCAGTTCCACCAGGATCTGGTAGGCTAAAGGCACACAGAGAGCACCAGCCAGGGCTGGCAGGAGCCGCAGGGACCACACAGGAACGTTCATGGTGTATTCTGGAACAGGAGACAACAGAAACTTAATTGCAGAGAGCACAGACCACTACAGAACTCCTTAGCTGTTGAATCTAACTCTGACTTGTGCTAATTTATTGTCCACCTTGTACTGCTTAAGCTGTTTTAGCTGAATTAAAAAAAATCTGGGATCACAGTGTCTTGTACTTCTGCCTGAGACCTGCAGAAGACTTATTGAAAAGGAGAAGGGAAGGTGTCAGGCAAAGTGTTGTTTCCACTAGTCAGGCAAAAGAATCTGTCAGCCCCTGAAATTCTGCTTATTTTCTCAAAAGAGTGAGTCAGTTAAAATCAGCTCTTACCAGCTCCAATCCTGTTCCATAAGAAGTTTCCATCAAATCCTCCTAAGTAACCTACAACACAAGCAACAATTCAGAACTTCCAGTCTCAAAACAAGTACAGAAACTGCTGCTAAATTGGGAACCATTTCCCAAACACACAGCTTTTCCAGGCACGAGGGCTCCCTTTCCCAAAAGGGTCCTCTTTGATAGTGCTCTGCCTGCAGCAGTGCTTGAGAAACTGCAGAGGCACAAAGAACATAAATTGGGAAGGACAGATTCTCAGTGACAAAGTCAGATGCATATTTAATCTCTCCATCCCATACAGACACTTTCATGCTGTGCAGATCTCAGCTACAGAAAGGAACTCAGGCCTGAGAGTCTGTTTGTTGTCTGTGTCTTGTCACCAGCAGTTCTCATCTCACCCTTCTCTTTATCCAGAGGACTGGATAACAGTGAGGTAATGGATGCATGGCTCCATCACCTCCACTCTACTCATACAATACAAAATAAAGGAAAACCCACTTCTCTCTACATCAAAATCTCTCATCTGCCTTGTGCTTTTCCCCAGTAACTGGATCTGACAACTCATTTTCTGGGGTTGGATCAAGGGTTGGACTTGATGATCTCAGAGGTCTCTTCCAACCCAGTTAATTCTATGATTCTATGATTTTTAACCAGCACTTCTGCCTCCCACAGCAACAGGCACTTCCCAGTTCCAGGAGGCCCTACCTCCCAAGGCCAGCAGCATGTGGCCAAAAGGTGGGCCACTGTCATCCACAAAGAAGATCCTCTTCATGTAGAGCGACACGAACTGGCCGTAATAAACTTCATCAAAACTGAAACACAGGAGGCAGAAATACATCAAACCTAACTGGAATTATCCTGCAGGGATAGCAGGAAAGCAAACACTGATTTGCTGGCAAAAAGCTAAGAATGCAACTTGCACCTTTACCTTCCCCTCAGGAAGTTTTTTTAGGGATTGTTCAGCCTGGAGAAGAGAAGGGCCAGGGGTGACCCAATTGTGGCCTCCCCGTACCCAAAGGGAGCCTACAGGAAAGATGGAGAGAGACTGCAAGGGCCTGGAGTGACAGGACAAGGGGGAAGGACTTCACACTGATAGGAAGTAGGTTTAGATTAGATATCAGGAAGAAATTGTTCCCTGTGAGGGTGGGGAGGCCCTGGCACAGGTTGCCCAGAGAAGCTGTGGCTGCCCCATCCCTGGAAGTGTCCAAGGCCAGGTTGGATGGGGCTTGGAGCAACCTGGGCTGGTGGAAGGTGTCCCTGCCCATGGCAGGGGGGTGGAATGAAATGAGCTTTAAGGTCCCTTCCAACCCAAACCATTCTGTGATTCTGTGATTTACAGAGGCTGACATCAGACAAGCCCTGCTCTTCTGCTCCTGCACTCTTACTCATAAAGGTTTAAAAAACAAGTCTGTGTCACTCAGGCAGAAAATAAACTCTTCTACTCACACCACAGCCCGTGGATAGCAGAGCCCCCAGAGGCGAGTTATTAATCCCATCACAGTCAGGGCCACGAGGTTCACATTGATCTCTGCAGTGACCACAACAGGCTCCTTCAGAAACCCCAACATCCTGTCGAAGGTGTTTCCAAACCTCGGGAGCAGAAGAGAAGAGCAGCATCACCCTTTGGCTCACAGTGAGCTGAACACCACCTAAAAGCAAGCATCACTCCAATTTCTGCTAAACTGACACATTTTTCATCTGCCCTGCTTCTGCCTGCAGTCCTAAGCTGGAAACCTTGCTTGTTCCTCCACTGGTTCTGCAGAAACACAACAGCTTAATTCCAGCCTATATTCTGCTCTGTGCAAAGCAAACCACGCAGCCCAAATTCTGATGTTAGTGATGGACAAACCACATGCTCAGGCACCAGGTGAGCTCAATACCTGAGCTTTTTAGAGCTCACGTAGCTTTTAAAAAAAATTTGTTATTTCCTTGCAACCAGAGGTTATTTCTTTGCAGGTGGGGAAGGGGATAGACAGAACCCACGAACACCCTCTGCTTTAAAAAGCTGCTTACTGGAGCACAGACGTAGGTGCTGCAGGAAGCAGAACTGCTGAAAGCTGGGTCAGAAAATAGCAGGGAATCAGTGCTGCGTCTCCTCACTCACCTCAACACAACGGAGAGTTACCAGAACAAATCCATCTGCGTGGCTTTGATCAGGGCAGAACAAAGCGAGGTGTGAGCACATCACCACCCTCCAGAGCGGTGCCACTGGCCTGGTTTGTCTCTGCCTATAAAACACAGAGAACAGGCTTTTTCAGGGGCCCCTGGCAGAGCTGTGCGCCCGCCTGTTCTCCGTCACCGCCTCGCAGGGTCCCTGAGGTTCAGGGTGACCCTGGCCCCGGGTCAGCAGTGCAGCACCACCCCCTGCTCCTCCTCAGGGCACCACCAGCCCCTCCACCAGGCTCTACACCCCCTTTTGAGGGGCGAGCAGCACCACTGAACCCCCAGCCCAGCCTTGTCCCCCCTCTGGAACCCCCTGCGGGGCACCAAGACTGACCCTCACCCTCAAAGGGTCACCAGGACGCACCACCCACACTGTGCCCAGCCCTGGCCATCCCTGTGGGCGTTTTTTGGGGGCAAAGGACCGGTCAGCAGGCTTCCCACCCTGGGGGGGCATCACCCATTCCCCGTCCCGAGTAGGGAGGGCAGAGGCGGCACGAAGCCCCCTGCCAGGCCCTGAGGTGAGGGGGGCGCGGGACCAGCGGCACCGCCGTGCGGGGACCGGGACCGGGACCGGGATCGGCATCACCCTCAGGGTCGGGACCAGGACCAGGACCAGCATCAGGACAGGGACCGGGACCAGCACGAGGACCAGGACCGGCACCAGGACGGGAAAGACGACAGGGACCGGGACTACGGCTGGATCGGGATCAGGATCGGGATCGGCACCAGGACAATCCCCCCCCCACTCAGGGTCCCCCTCACGCCGGGGGGCGGGGCCACCCCACGGGCCGCGCTCCTCCCTCCCCCTACCTGCCGATGCCGGACGTGATGTCAACCTCACGTGACACATACGGGGCGTGGACAAGACGAGACCCGGATGTGTTGCCATGGCAACCCCCACGTGTGGCGGCCTGGGCCTGCACTGGGACACCGGTGCTGTGGCCACCTCCAGTCATTCAAGCTAAAAACCCCCGAGTATCCCACAGAATCAGTGAGGTTGGAAAAGACCTCAGAAATCGAGTCCAACACCACTTTTCAACTAGAGCTGAGCACTCAGTGCCATGTCCAGCGGTTCCTTAGTGGCTCCCCGAGCAGCCCATCCCACTGTCCAATCACCCTTCCTGTGAAGAAATTCTAACGAAAAGAATGAGACAAGGGACTGGGGATTTTTTTTTTTTTTTGAGAAAAGCATAACCTGCTTTATTTTTTTTAATTTTTTTTTTATTTAAATAAGGAGAATTCTTTCATATGGAAAGAGCTAATACAATCACATATTTGAAAGGAGAAACAATAGGTACTGAAACGAGGAGAAGGGCAATAAAGAGTGTGCCGCAACTGGCCTGGTGATTCCGTGATTCGAATTCCGGTCCGAGTAAAAGTTTCCAAAAAATATAAACAGGTTGCACGTTACACAATTATCCATCGTCTGCCCTTTCAAATATCTGGTCTACATGAAAAGACAAAGAGAGGAAAGGCCAAAAAAAATTTACTATACAGGTCATGAGGTTAAAAGCTTTCAGGAGGACAATATCCCCTTGAGAAACAACAAATGCAATTTATACAGAACCAGAGGGAGGATTCCAGCTAAGGACAACGCCTCGAGACATGCTAAAGGGTGAGCGCCTCACTGCTGCAGCTGTGATTCCTGGGGGGACAGTCAAGGACATCTGGAGCAGCCAGGACAAGCCATTACACCCAAGGGAGTATCTGTGGCCACTGGGACAAAACTGGTGGTCTTTGGATTAAAATGAACAACAAAAACCAGCCCGACTCTGCTGCCTCTCCAGTTCCACCGCTTCAGCAAAACACACCCGCTGTGCCCGTGGGCCACAATTAAGCACCTCCTGTAAATTAATTCTTATTCACAAATGCGAGTTTCTTATGAGTAAACTGGGCTGCTGAGTCCAAAATAACTCGTGATACAAGGAATTAATCTGTGCTTAACCAGGGAGGGTTAACTAAAAGCAACAGAAGGAGATCCTGGCATGCAGGGGTCTGGCTGCAAAGTGAATGGAGGAGCCAGGTGAGACACAGCAAAACTGCTCAGCTCGTTTTTAAATCTATAAATACACAGGAACCACAGGGCAGCTCGAAGCTTTGCAGCATTCCTGCAAGGAAGGTCCTGATGGAGTGAGTGCCTCTGCGTGAGCGCAACACGCACAGGGAGGGCAACGGGCAGCAAACACATCCAGAGGTGCTGACACTGCACAGCTGGCACAGCCAGGAGCAAGTGATGGGACATCAACAGCAAGACCGGTGTCACTGGTGACTGTGCTGCTTCCACTCGTCATTTAAAAACAAACTGGAGTGCCTTTTTTTTCCCCTGCCTACCCCCACAATTTCAATATTTATTTGTTATTGAATTAAGAGCCAACAGCAGCTGAGGTGGTGAGGAAAGCAGCACTGAATGCAGCTGCTGGTCACGAATCACTGAGTGAAAGAATTGATCACACACATGCTTCAGACTGTCTGCTGAACATGCAGCAGCAAAGTCAGCCTCTGAATATTTCTGCTTCACCCACTGTTGCTGAGAAGGTGGATTCCACCTCTCCCTCCCGCTGCACCCTGCACCTTCCCCAGCACAAGGAGCCTGCAATTTGGTAGCTGATTTCCAGTCAAAAAGCCACTCACAGAGGAATAAATCAGGGCCCAAACCCTTCAAGCAGAAGGACCCTCTGCAACTGCATCAACACATTCTGTGCATCTCCACTCTCCTCCTCCCTGAGCTGGATTTGTATCAGCATACCAGCACCCTTGGCATTTCTGCTCCTTGAGGATCAGAGGCTTTTCCTTTTGACTCCAGAGCACCACAAACTGCACTAACCTTGGACTAGCTTTAAACAAACAAACAAAAATATATATATGCCAGAGAAGGATATTGCACCATAGAAATTTGGGCTCTAAAACTGCTTTCCATCACACAAAACTCCACTAAAGTGAGAGAGAGTCTTGCCAACTGCAGCTGACAGTCACGCAAAGGTGAGGAATGGAATGAAGCTCACATGCATTTCTTGGCCTTTCCTGCACAGAATAATTCAGACATAATATATAAATAGAGCAGTGAAACAATTACTTTTTCACCTAGACCTACAACATCAAATACGTATAAATAAATTCTAGTGTTTTATTCTGTTGGGGGGGGGGGAAGGAATGGAGGGGGTTAAAAGAGAAAGAAGGGTGACCTTTTCCAACAGGAAGTATTGTAGTTCTGATGGCATTTACACCAGAGGGACTGCAGTAACTTGGATCTAGCAGTAACCCAGTTTCTCCCAGTGTGTCTGACCACTCCAAAGTCACACAGGTGGGAGGAAAGAGGTTAGTGTCTTTGTAAAGCTAAAGTAGTGTGTCTAGGGGAGGGAAGAGATGAGAAGAGGGGGGCTCAGGTAAGTCTCTTTAGTCATTACAGTTAGATTCTGGGCTGATATTAGCTAGGGCCAGCTGGGCAGAAGGATAATAAAAAAAAAACCCACACACAATTCTGTTGTTCATGATATTTCCAGGGAGAAAATAGAAAGGAGGGTGGGCTGATTACTGGTGGTGCAATCTTTGGAAAACGTTGGGAGCAGGACTAGCAGATGAGGATGCAGGTCTGGGAGATGTCTGAAGGTCAGGGGAATATTTGTCACTAAATCTCAAACCCTGTACTTTAAGGAGGATGCTAGAGAGATGCTGGCACACTCTGCTCTGAAATTAAAAAAAAACATAAAACCTAAGAAAAAAGAGCTTTAATTTTTTTCTTAAAGTACCATCCTATCCCTTTCCCTTCGGGTTCTCTGCCATGATCAATGGGGACACCTGTGGAGAGGGGACATTACTATGTCTAAGTTAGTTTAGGCTCCTAAGCTCTTTAAAGCTACTGTATAAAAATCATATTTATGCCTAGCTTAAAACTTCAAATGCATCCTTAGAAAGTTACAAAGGATCTTTTCCGGAAGGGGGAGATGGGATGGGAGGGAGAAGCAAATGAAGAAACAAGAACAACCTTTCAGATCCCTTCCCAAATACATTCTTTGTTCAAAAAATCTTCTTTGGAACCACCACCAAATGACTTTCTGCCACCCAGCAGAGGCCGATGCACAGCCCATGAGCAAGCGATCACCTCCAAAAATGGTTCTGTCCCTCACTTCAGAGTGACCAGCCTACTTTACATTTAGAAAAAGCTAAAACAACACAAACCAAGTTAGCTGAAAGTAGTTTTTTTACTTAAGACTACCGTCAGGTGAAGGACTCCAAGCCCTTTCAGGAACTTGTCAAGTCCATCCTAAAAAATCTACGTACACACGCGCCACACACACACACACGCACACACACACACACAAACCAAAACCAAACAGCCAGAGAAATAAAACCCAACCTCTCCCACTGGGATCTTCCTTTTGCAGATCATCCAGTACTGGAGAGGAGTGGTGAGGTGACAATGCTGTACACACACTATATGCATCAGGAGTAAAGAACCCTTTGCTGCTCACCCGGGGAAGGAGTAGAAGGAGGATTCCAAACTGCCTCTGTAACCACGTTACTTCCAACACAAAAAAAGGAGGTTCCAAATGTGCTAAAACGGCTGCCTTGCAGAGGGGCTCTCTTACCAACGTGCTTCTATGCAAATTTTACAGAAAGCCATGAGTTAGAGGAACGGAAAGCAAGACTCGGGAAAAAGGGAGAAGAGCAAAGCTTAGGAGAGCAGCCCCGAGGGATGAACACAATACAGAACAAGTCGCAGGAGACACGAAGAATTAGAGCATCACAACTACAAAAAGTAGTCCATAAAGACCCGTTGGCTTTAGCCAACTCTTCTGACCTATGTGCTGTGAGGAGAATTTTTTTTTTTTTCCTTAACAAATTTTACGTTTTGTAAATCTATGACTTTACATTTTGGTGTGTGTGTTTGGCAGTCACTAAAAAAAAAATCCCAAACCCACAAAAATGGAAACCCAAACACCTAGATCCAGATGAACTTGAAACAGAAATTTGGTGGTTTGTTTGGTTTTTTCCTTAAAATGAAAATGCCACATTTTGTTGTGCACAAGACACCCCAAAACTACATTGAAGTGGTGCAAATTTCAGGATTGATCTACTGTATGCCTTTAGTACACATTTACTCCTAATGCAAGCACTGCTTCTAGCTTAAAACAAAAATACTGAAAAATTAACAAATGCCATAACTGTCCTGTTTTTTTAATCAAATAGTCAAAGGCTAATTCATCTGGGGAAATACACCCAAACAAACTCAAATTCTCAACATAGCACAGAACCATGTACAAAACTAAGCAGAGTTTTGTCAGAACATCATTTTAGCTGAAGGGAATTCTTTTCTGAAAGGAATGAGGAAAAGCAGAAAGAAGGAGGTTGGGGGGGGGAATGAGAGAACATATAAAAGTTCTGCTATAAACAAAGATACAGCTTTTTTTGTAAAAACCTCAGCTGCCTTTAAAATGAAAAACCTCAAACTAACCCCTCTCCCCCAGTTGCCACTCTGCTGAGACAGAAGTAGGGAAGGAGAAGGACGGGCTTTGCCAAGTGAGCGATCACAGCTACCTGTGGATGGGGCATGGGGAGGGGGAAATTAAAAAAAAAAAAATGGCTAAAGCCACTTAAAAGTCACATGATTGGTTTGTTTTAAAGCAAGCAGGTCAATGTCATATCCACTGTTTCAAACTGCTTTGTTGGGGAGAGGGGCTTGAATGATGTCGCTGTAGTCAGTCAGTGTGGGGGAGGGGATAGATCTGGTGAGATTTTCAGGAGATCCAGTGGGGTCCAGTCTAAGCTGCAGGGCCTCTCAGGCAGCAGGACCAGCTGGGCATCAGAGGTGCTCCTAGGCCTTGCTCTCCTCCACTTTGACTGCCTGAGGTTTGATCGCTCCTGTGCGCACCGGCTTCATCTGACTCGTGGAGGGTGTTTCTTGCAGCTTCACTGCTCCCAGACTGGCTTTATTATCATCCACCCGCTGCTTTGCCTTTTGACACACAAAACCAAAGCATTAGCCAGGACAGACATGTCTAGGCAGGCAGAACAAGCAAAGTGTGACCACCATTCATGCAAGACATCGAATCTGCTCCTGAAACACCTCACATTTAAGAGCTTTAAAGTATCTCACATGTTTAGCAATGCAAATAACCCACAAAAACTCCACAGTAGAGCAGGTAATCCTCTAATCTCTCCTGACTTTCAAACCACACAGCATTACTCCTGGATTCCACTCACCTACCCCACTCTCCCTGCGGGTAAAATAACAGCTCCCACATCGAGCTTCAGCACACAGGCCTTGCTGCCTCTCCTCTGCAGCTCAAGGCAGTGTAGGAGAGCAGATACTTTTTGTTGCACAGAGAACTCAAGCACCCTACCTGCTGTACGTAGTGTCCTTGCACAGAGCCCATGCTCACTGCTGGTCCCGACGGCTTCCCGCTTGGGCTGGCAGAGCTAGGCCTGGAAATCGAAGAGTCGACAACATTCATGGAGTAAATTCTACAATGGAATGAGAACCTTATTCATGTGTGAAAAGAAAAAAAAGACAGCAGAAAGCAGCAGTAGACAGGACACAGGTCTGTGCTGTGCAGATCACTGAGCGCTACATTCTAAAAGCCAACAGAAGGCCTGGCTGGGAGAAAAAAAATGAAGTAACTGCATGTCCCAAAAGCCTCCATGACCTGAAGGTCTGGTATGTCTAGACATGAGCACTCCTATCTTGAGAACCATGCTAGAAAACCAAAGAATTTGTTCAGTGACCCTCAAAACTTTCCATCTTCACAAGAATACTCAAAAGCACCGATTCCAATCTGTCTTTGAGACTGCAGTGAACAAGTAACTTTGAGCACTTCCCACTAAGGGCCAAGCCAGCTACACACTGACCCAAACCCAAAGTGAAAGCCATGATCATTCATTTTGCTACAAGGATTTGGACTGCAGTAAGCACACTCCACATACAAAAACCCAAGTGGATATTGTACAGGGATGATACATAAACCACGGCCCTGCAAAGAACCCAAGTGGTGTAAATATCTCACCTGTAGGTATGTGGTGATGGTACAGACCCTCCAGAGGACATACTCTGTTTACCATCGGAGAAATGAAACCCTTTCATTTCCATCTGGGAGGACTACAGAGGAAAATGAGTGAGAGTATCATCTTTGCATTCATAACTCACTTGTTACCTCATATAAACACTTAAGCCAAATCTTTGCCCTTCTCCCCATTGTGCCCATTAATAGAAGAAATATTTTTCAGGTGAAGAAAGTGAGGCTTGTAAGTGAAATAATCTGTTTGTATTAAACCACCAAGCCAGCAGCACAAGCAAATATAGAACCGGGACATTAATTGCTGTGCTCTCTCTCCCTTATAATAGACAAACTTATGATACGAATCCATCAAACCAGACATGACATTAATATACCTACTCAAATGGACAAGCTTCACAACAGAGTGAAATATCTGGGCAGTATTCCAGCTGTGTCTGGAGCTCACCACCCCTCAAGCACTCTGGGGAAACCTGTGTAAACATGTAATAAAACTGGAGACTCCAAACCGGATCAAGGCAGGATGTGGCTCCCTGGAAACAGAACGGTGACCAGCAGCAAAACCTGAAACCTGCTGGCCTGCACACTCGAGATGTGGGGTCAAGGGTTCCTTCACTTTAACACCAATCCTTGGCTTGGATGTCTAAGGATCCCAAACAAGCCATTCTCCCCTTTGACAAGGAGCAAAACTTCAACACAGAAGGGGTTACTGAATGCCCCAATGAGCACCAGGAGTGAATCCTTACCTCCCTGCTGGCAGCAAGGACAGAAGGCTGGGATCCGGGAGGCAGGATTCTTCGGGGAGCTCCCACAGGCAGGTTCTGCCCCTGAGGAAGCTGGATGGACTGTGGCAGAAGCAGGGGCTGCTGGCCAGAGCCGTAGCGGGGCAGAGGGAGCTGGGAGCCAGGCACAGGCATTGTCAGCTGTGTGACAAGGACACGCAGTTACCTCAGTGGCAGCAACAGCCTCGTGTCTGACGCGCTGCCTCCCAACACCCGGAAAGCACAGCACTGATAAAAGGAAGCTCCCAAGCAGTGCAGTCTGGCATGGAATAAATGCAAATCACTAAAAGAGGGACTTGCACACTGAAATGGATGTTCTGGCAGTGCTGCCAACACCCTTATCAGCTGGGCTTTTAACATGCCATTAAGTTAACATAACTGCACTTGGACACAGGGCTTTCCTCCTTGCCTAGAGCCTTCCCCCAGTCTCCCAGTCCTCCTCAAGGTCACTGCACGGGTGTATCTTCCCTTGATATGATGGCAGTGTCAGACAGCTCAGGTCATGCATTTTGCTTGCACCTCTGCTGCCCAAACTAGAAAGTCTCCTATACTTTCACACCAAAACACTTTGGGCATTGAACCCCTAGAGAAAGCGGTGAGGAGCTCAGCTCTATTGTTCTGCAGTGAGCTTCACACCAATGATGGTAGTAATTAAGAGTAATTAAAAAAAAATAATGTAGCTCAGGACTGTCTCCCGTTCCCTCTGATTTTCTCACAATTGCTGGATTTGGGAGGTTCTAAGACAACATTCTGGAATAAATAAATATATCAATCTAAGGCTGGCAAAAGAGATCAAGTTACTCGCTTGTGATTGATAGACAATTTCTTGAAATATTTAGTTCGCCAGTATTCTCTGTATTTTTCCTCACCTAAGTTACTTTCAGGATTAACTCTTTACGTCAGTCACAACATAAAAATCCCTCTGAAACAAAAAATAAACCTTAACATGTTGTACAAAATAAACGTTGAGTTTAATAAAAGTATCAAACTTCTCCAGAAATCACAGCACATGTCCACAAACACAGTTAAGCTCACAGTAGGATTCAGTGTCTTGATGTGAACCATGCTTTAGAAAAACTTTTTCACACATTGAGATTCTTGTTAAGATTCTGCCAAACGGATCAGCAGAAGTTGTAAATAAGACTTGGATAAGAAACGAACTGAGAAGACGGATGAGCCTTTAAAACAAGTTCCTAGTTACTCTGGAAGCTGAGTTAAACGTGGAGATGACTGGGATTTGGCTCTCAGAAGAGGTACTTTTAGGACAACTAGTGCATCATGGCCTGCAAGGTTTGACTCCCAACTTACAAAATCACATCTCAGCAGGGACAGACAAGGTGTTACCAGGAATCTCATTAAATAAGGTGCTGCACGTCTGAAACAATGGTTCCCAGAGCAGAGTGTCTCAGGGAAATCTTCTGCCTCTTTGCAAAGAGTTCAGTTCTTACAGACACATGAATCAGGAAAAATATAATTTCAACCCATTCTCAGAGACAAGGGGCTGTGAAAAAGCCTGGACAAGAGAGTGGCTGGCCAGCCCTGCTCCTAACCTGGGTGAGCTGAGAGTCCATCATCTGGGAGGCTCCCATACCAGCCTGGTTTATCTGCCCTTCATAAACCAGTGTCTGGCTTCCGTTCATGGGCTGATAGGGGGACCCAGACTGGGTTTTCACCACCTCCAAGGGCTGCATGCCTGGGAAGGCAGAGTATGGAGGCTTCAGAGCAGTGCCTCCTGTCAGGACCATGGTGCTGGGCTGGGACAGACTGGGGTGCATATACACCTGAGACCTGCAGAAGAGAAACACGCTCAAGTCATTATGCAGAACTTTTGGAGACTATACAAACACACCCTGCCAAAACAAATCTGGCCTGCAATCAGTTCTCAGACTACTCAACTGACAGCTTAGAAATAAGCTGTGATACCACTTTCCATTTTAGTTACCAGGGTTTTTTATTTCCACTTTTAAGCCTTTACAACCACGTCCTTGTGCTGCAGGAATATTCAACAGAACAACATTGTGTAGTATCCAAAATTTATGTTTCAATATCCTGCACAAAAACCTCTGGAGCAGCAGTTAAAGGAGGATTCAGGTTACCAGAAGTTTGCAGCAGTTTTGCAAAGTAGGAAAAAAAAAATCAGAAATTAAAGATTTCAAAATTCTTAGTAGAAAAAACAGTCTGGTTTTTTGGGGTTTTTTGTGGTTTTTTTTTAAACCTCAGTGTTTAGGTTTTTGAGGCACTGAAGGACTAATTCTGATACTTCACTTTCATGCTCTCCCCTATTAACACTGCCCAGGTGAAAGGAAACATCACTCCAGCTAACGGGAAAGCAAAGGTGAGTGCGGAATATCTGACTGATGCACACAGACATCAGGAACACAAGAGAGCAAGCCACAAGGAAATGAAAACTGGAAGCAGTTACCTGAAGGGCTGTATGGAGCTGTACATCTCCTGGGACTGGGAAACAGGCAGACCACCCCTCAGCCCAAGCTGAGCTTGGGCCTGTAAGGATGTGTGGAGGGAAATGGGAATCTGTTGAGCAGCAGCAGCCTGCAAAGGAAATTAGTATGACTGAGAGGTACAAGAGGAGCCAGAAACTCTCCTAGGCTGTTAAAAATCCACCGTTTTTCTCCATGAGTCAATCTGCCTGACAATTACCTACCCTGTGCCTTTAGCCAGCCCCGGCATCATTCCACACAACAGCAGCACTCTGCAAGGGAAGGCACTGCAAAGGCACCAAGAGGTTGATGCCTGAGGGAGGCATTTGATGGACACACGAGGGAACCAACATGCTCCACACACAGGATGGGCACTGACAATCCCAGCTCTCACCTGCCTGCACTCTGACCTTGAAGGGGGCTCTCCCAACACTATCAACACCCTATTGACTAGTGAAATTTCTCAGCAGTATTGGCTGTCTGTGGAATCTACTGAAAATCACTTTACCTCACACAGATGCCTCAGTTAAACCCAATCCAAGGGCACTGGTACAAAAGGGGGAAAACTCCTCATCTCCCTCCCTTCATTTTCCCTAACTCTTGATACCTGTTGGGAAGCAGCATTCAAGGAACCTAAAGGGAGCCACATCTAAGCTCCTCTGGGCTATGAGACAGATAAATGACTCCTAATTTCTTCAATGCCACCCTGAAGACTCCTCGAGAAGCCATCTGCAAGCTGTGTTGCTCCCTCACCTGTTGGTAGCTTTGCTGCTGAGGTATCGTCTGAGGGACCAGGCGGGGCTGACTCGCAAACACGTGGCCATCCAGATACAGGGGTGGAATATGGTTACCTGAACATCAGAGAAGGCAGGCTGTAAATTCAGGGCACAGAGGAGATACAGTGCACACATAAGAAGCCCTTTGGGACCCAGGAGTCAGAAATTCCAAGTACATTTTCTCTTCCCAGATGCTATCCCTAATTATACACACTATCTAACATGACTGAGCTTAACCTTTTCCTCTAACTCAAGAACAGCAACACCCTCTCCCCTCCTAGAGTTCTTGTTCCTCGTTCTGTCTTGACTGAATTGTTAAGAACCTATTTAACACCAGCCAGCCAGTTACTTTACATGGAAGCTCTTCTCACTGTGTTCTCATCTACTAGAATCAGAGGATGATTCCCAGATGCCACCCCAACCATGCAGACACTGCTGCTGCAGTTTGCAGGTACCTGGAATAGATGCAGAAGGTGCTACAGATGCCACAGGCATGGGAGGCATAGAAACTCCACCGAAAGAGCTGTAGCTGACACCGTTGGAAGCTCCAACACTGGAAGGAGGCTGGATGCCTGAGCCTGCACCTCCTGGGGAGTTCTGTTCTGGTAAACTAGGAGAGTTTTCCCAAGCTTTACGAGCAGACTCCATCTATGGAAATGAAGGACAATAACTACAGACAGTTCGAATGGGTAGGACAATACCGAGGTCTAGAGTTGCTCCTATGACTTATGAGCTCAAATTCATTGTTGTCTAGTCATAGTGGAAAGCTGGCAGGTCTCAGGTCAAGGGTACCATATCAATTTCTAATGGACAAGCATCCTTCACAAACACTCAACCCCCTTGGTATTTGCTGAGCTTGCTGGGTTTGGGATGGTAGTGTTTTGTGTTCTGGTTTGGTTTTTTGTTGTTGCCATTGTTTGTACATTTGGGTGGGGTTTGTCTGGTTTTTTGTTTCCCCCTCTTTAAACCATCAGGCATCCAGGATCACTGACCAGCCATCCTAATAGTAGGAAAGCTCTGTTACACTTGTTCTACAATTGGCAAGGACTTCAGCATCCAGGACTTGAAAGAGAGGGCCTTGCACTCATGTCTAACAGCAGACATGCAGAACTTTTACAGGAGCTAATTAAAGGTTTATCAGTACTTCACAGAACACTCTGGGAAAGACCTCTCCACCTTCCCTGCTCTGCCCACAGAGATCCACCCCTAGGCCAAGCACACATGCCAGCTTGCTCACCTTAAGAGTAAGGTCTGCAGTGGGGAAGGACATGGGGTTCAGGCCGATGCAGCGCTGGAGGTGATGATCCCTTCTCAGGATGGGAATGGACTGCGTTAACCCTGCCTGGGGGGAGAGTTGTGCAGGGTGAGTATCTGTAAACTCTTAGGACAATGTCACGAGCCACCAAGGCTCACAGAGCCTCAGCTGGCAGCTCCTGTAACAACTTCTCAAAGGATTCAATCCCCAGTGCTACTGTTGGAGTCAAGTACCACATTCAACTGTGATCCATTTTGCTCCTGGAATAAATGAAGGTTTGGTTCTGTGCAAGGACACCCCTCTATGCTGAATTATAGCAGCTTCCACTTAAACATCAGTTTGATCCACTAACTTTCATTTGCAGAAATACATCTGCTCACTTTGAAAGCATCTGAGGCTTAAATAAAGAGTATGTCCAATGAATCAATGCCAAAAAAGAAGAAATACTTACACTACTGGCCAAGGCATCCTGCAATTTGGTGACAGGGTTAGCTGCAGTGCCAGAGGCAGAACCAGGTGGCAAGCTGAAGTCAGAGTCCTGAAAAAGCAAAATACACAAAATTCAAATCTAGGTCCATGGGCCCACCCATCCACTTCTCCTGGTTAACAACTCTGTCTTGAATCGTGACATTACAAACTAAAGATTGTCTTCCAGCAAAGCCTTGCTGGAAGAGAACAGAAGACACTTCTCAGCACTCAGCAGCAGGCAACCCCCAGAGGCACATGAAGCCTTAGATGGCCATAATTTTCTCCCTTAGCTCTGTTACCACCCCAGCTGGTCCTTGGGACAGTATTTCCAAGTGGAGACTACATGCTTCCCAAGAGACCTTGAGTACCTGGTTTGTGTCAGCAATGAAATTCTAAGGCAAATCTACAGCTGGATGCTTCCTCTAAATAATCCTTCTGCCTCAAACCACCTTTCATGTCTCAACAAGCTCAAATCACCAAGAAGATAAAATTAAATTCAATCCTCACTTTAGGATTTACTCCAAATTCAATGGGTGGCACAGGAAGCACAGAATCCACGTGAATTTCCACCCCATTAACAGGGGGGATATTCCCTTCCAGCCGTTCCGTTCCCTCCGAACCCTTTCTGTTTTTCAGGGAGCGTTCGTTGCCGATTGGTCCAGGCTTGTGTTCCTTGTTCTGTCCTGAGCCTTGATCTGAATCCTTAACAGGAAAGCAGAGAGGCTGAGACACAAAGACTGAATAACCCAATCTCAAGCCTTAAAAAATGCTATCAAGAACAACACAACCACTTGACAAGGTCTCTCACTCTGCGCTCTGGCTTGGCTGCGAATCCAGATTACCTTTTTATCAGATTGCTTCTGAACTTGCTCCTTCTGGCAGTCAGGCTTTGGGTCCACCAGGCCAGCCCCATTCATCTCCTCTGGTTTGAGGGTGCCATATGGAGAGCTGCGCTGAGAGGAGGTCGCGGAGGATTCCCGAGACTCCGCGCTCAAGTCAATGCCACTATCCCCCTGGCTGCCTTTAAATCCCTGCTATGCAAAGCACGAGATGTGTTAAAGCCCCGGACTCCGACCCAGCTCCACAAAGGAGGAAAAAACATCCCAGAAAACAGCAAGACCATGTCCCCTTTTCAAATCACGCTCCTGGTGAACTGCAAAGGAGCTGGGCCTGACCTGCAGCAGCCCTGGGCCGCTGCTTCAGCTCTACAGAGCCCTGAGACAGTGAAACCAATGCAACAAACAGACCACGGCCTCAGAGTAAGGGAAAAGTGTCACACACAGTGACTAGGCTGAGACTGCCAAACTCACACATTCCATGTGTGACCCAAAGCAAATTTGAACTCTTGGCCTCCAGAGGTGAAGCATTCAGGAACCTCCTTCCTCTGCCCTCCCTGTGTTAAGGCTACAGCTACACACTGCTCACAGGCACGAGGCACAAACAGGACCTATGGGATTCCACCCTCCTCAACCACAGCCTGCATCCAGTGATGAGCATAACCCTGGAATAGCTCTACCACACAGTTACTCCAGATTTACACCCACACATAACACCAAGCAGTGCTCGGCCCTCGGGGTCAAGATTTGAGCAGCATCAAGCTCAAATTATAACTGCAAAGAGACAGTTTGAAATGGCACAAGCAGAGCTGAGAGTCACTAAGCACAGATGGAGCAATGAAACGCATAAAAGCCACCTGCATCAATACTTTATCTACACAATACCTGAGGGGCACATTAGGTGCTACTTACCTCAGTGGTGCCAGACTCAGTGCCATTAAAGGTATTTACAGGCTTGCTCCAGGAATCACTGCCAGGAGACTGAACGGAAAGAGCTGGAAGAGAATGGAGGGTAAGGCTCAGCTGCTTGGAACAACTGTGAGCACACCATGTACACTACACCATTAACCTTCCATTTCTAGACATGAGAAAGGGTATTTTAACCACCTCAGAAAGTTGGTGTTGCCCAGACATCTGAGACATGATGCAGCAGAGAATACAGAGTATGGGGAGTGAGGGTAGAGAACAGGGAGGTTACTTAGGGAACACGATGACAACAGGAGAAAGACAGGACAGACAGAAACAAGGAAAACACCAGCTATTCAGGGCTAGAGATGAGAAAATGCAGGAAGGCAAAATAAGGAAACAGCTAAAGGAGATCCAGCCCAACTGCCTAGAAAATGCTGTATAGTAGAATCTTGATGAGAAACAAAAAAGAAATAAATTAGGAAACTAAAATGGTCAACAAAGGAGGTTGAATAGTACAGCTTAGAACAGATGCTACTCCAGATGTCTGCTACCTCCCCTCCCACTTCCAGCATCAGACAGGAGAGGGTTGTCTCCTCTCAAGTATGTACCCCATCCTTTCTGTATACCCCAGAGGATTCCCCACCTCTGTGAAACCCTCTGGAACAAACAGACCCAAACTTACCTGGGCTGTTGCTCTCCCAGATCTCTGTGCCCAGGCTGTTTCCAGACACTGTTACATCACTTTGCTCCAAGCACAGGCTGTTCTGCTTCTTAGCAAACCGAGGAGGAATGCGGGACTGAAGGACACGGGCCTTAGCTGGTGCCTGTGACAGGAAAGGCCCAAGTGTCAGACTGGGAGGTTCCCCCAGTCTAACAAGGCCCTGAAAAAAGCTGCCTTGAGCAGCATGTGGTATTTTTCTAGCAATAACACAGCAAGAGTGCACAAGTCCCTCACTGCTCACGCTGCCCAATAACCCACCAACTACAGCGAGCGGCTGGCTTAGTGAGCCAAGGTGCTTTGAATGAAGAACACCCTAGAAAACCCTCCTTAACTCCCAATTAACAATTCTGCTAGAAGCCTGGAAGAGTCGGAAATCAAACTCTCCTTTTCAGACCAATGGCCCCTGCCATCAGAGCCTAAATATGCTTCTGGGGCCTAAGACAGGATCTGTGCTACTTTAGCCAACTGTGGTTTTTTGTTCATCTGAACACTTTTTGAGGTCCTGCTATCCAAACAATGTAACAGGCCCAACATTTTCCTGCCTCCCATTCCTCACCTGAGCAGCCTGTTCCTTCTTCCTGCGCTCCTCTTCCAGCAAACGTCGCTGCTTTTTAGTAAGAACCTCAATGAAGCCTTCACCTGCCATAGAACCTACTTCATTCTCTTCTGCTGTGCTTGACACCCGATTATCGATGATGGCACCTGAACAAAGCATACAGGGGGAAAAATAATGCACCTGTGTGTGCATGTAAAGCTTTTTAAAGCAATCATTTAAAGAGTGCATTCCAAAGAGGATCCATGCTACAAACAAACAAGTTCAGTTAACAACACTGCAGCTTCAAAAACTAAGCCACGACAGCGGTATTTCTCTTTTCAGAGATACTCATTTCTTGCCTCCCTGCCATGAGCTCAGACTCAAATTCCCCCACTCTGGATGCTCTCTCAACTTCCTTCACACTACATAAATTTCAAGCCCAAAATACACTTAACATCTTAGAGAGAAATATTCTCCCTAAAACCAAACTTTCTGTAGAAGAAACATTAGAAACACATTGTCAGATCTGGCTAAAGTTTGGCTTAAAATTTAACACCATCTTTACCTTTTATGTCTTCCCTACTTAGATACACTAGAATTTTCTTGTGCAAATCAATAGAAAAAAAATCTGATCTTTAAAATTACACTGGATTGAAGCAGTTGGCCTTGGTCAGCCACAATGCATTACCCCTTTAAAAAACCATATTCATGAAGACACTCACTTCCATAACTCAGTTCAAACTGTGACAAGGCCTCTCCTTTCTCAGTTGCTCTTTGTGCAGTGGATTTAGGCTCCTTCTCTGGCTTTTTCCCTGGCCCCTCAGCACTCTCTGAGTTAGCATGGGAGCCCCTATCCAAGCTGTAAATGGAGTGGCTGCTCCCACCACTGGTGTTACCAAGGCCTCCTCCTTCTTCTGGGGACCTACACATGAAAGAAGGGAAAGGATTTAGTTTTGTCATTAGAACACAAGTTGGCAAGAAGAAAACGTACAGGGTGTGCATGTCCACTCCTTCAATATCTGCATATGAGGTGACAGATCAGAAAGCAACTTTACCTTTTGCTCTTTATCAGGGTCCCATTCTGCTGGCTCTCATATCTGGAAGCTGCCCCTACGCCAGTCCTGACAGACTGCTCTGCAAACCCTGTTGGCTCAGCCTTGCGGCTCTGCCTGTCCACCAGCGGCCTTTGGCTCGAGAAGCTTCTCTTTGCTAGTTCCTCTTCTCTCCCAAGCTCCCGGTGCTGAGGCCACCTTCCAGCTGGCCTTCACTCTCTGGGACTCCATCCCGCCTCTCCCGCCGCTCGCTGAAGTCACTGCTTTCAGATGCCGTCTCCCACTCCTCATTGGCATGGTCTGAAGAGTTCTGGTAGGACAGCTCAGGAGAACGCCTGCCCGAGATGCTGCTCTTCTCTGCGCTCAGCTTGGGTCTGCCAGGCCACTGGCTGGGCAGCAGGTTGGGGCCTCCCTCCTCGGGGTTCCACTGCCCCACCGATTCCCTCTCTTGCCTGAGGCGCCTGAAGCGTGGGGGCTTGTCCTGCCGGGGGGGACGGCGCCTCCTGAACGGCCTGTTCTCTATGTTCTCCTGATCTGCTGAGTAATCCTCCTGGAAAAAGTGCCTTTTGTCATCCAGATGACTCTCATCAAAAACCCGGCTGGAGAAGGAATCCGTGTGTTTGTAAGAATCCTGAATGTAGTCCCTGTCAGACTGCTGCCTGCTCCCAAAAGTGTCCGATGGAGAGGTGTGGCTGTACTCCTGCCACCCTGCTCCCCCACTCCTGCCTTGCCACTGGGTGGGCTCCTTACCCATGAAACCCCTTCGCCCATAGCCAGAGTTGCTCAGTCTTGGTGGCAGCGACCTCCCAAACGCTCTCGGAGCCCTCATCTTAGGATCCAGGCTATTGTGATCATCCGAGTAGATTTTGTTGGACCTCCAAGACTCTTTGAAGTCTCCCTTTTTCAAATCACTGTCCTCCCTGTCCAGCACAGAGCCTTCATTGCTGTTTTCCGAGCCCCTCTGCCGGCGACGCTTGGGGAGCTCCTCGTACTCTGACCCTTCACTGTGCGTCTCGCTCGCGATCCGGCGCCTCGGCTTCCCTCTGGGGAAGTCCTCTGGCTGGTTGAACTCCCGGAGCCCTCGCCCTCGGCTGCTCCGCTGGTTGTTGTAGACTCCTCGGCTGCTCACAACAGTGCCTCGGCCTCTAAAAGTGAACTCCCTGAAGCCTCTCCCTCGCCCACGCCCTTGGCCTCTCCCACCGAAGGCTTGTTCCTCGTCAATAAAGATCCAGTTGTTTCTTTTTGTGGGCGGGAGATCACCGGTCTCTCTGGATAGTTTGTTCTCCCAGGTTCTTTCCGGCTTCTCTTCCTCCTCCTCCTCTTCTTCTTCTTCTTGAGACTTCTCAGCCTCTCGTGCCAGGCTGGTTTGGGAAGAACCTTTGTCATCCAGCAGATAACGCGTGGAGGTCAGCAAGGCTGCAGAGTCATCTGACTCATTCTCTACTTTCTGAACAGCTGCCTTTTCCTTCAGTTGGCGTGAGGTGTCCTCTCCCTCCAGTTTAACCTTCTCCATCTCCTTCTCCTTCTCTTCAACCTTGAGGGCTTTCAGGACCGGTTTTTTAATGGGGCCGGATCGCCGTGTCCTCCCCATTTGCTCCTGGTGCTGACCACTGGTGGTGCGGTTCTCGGGAGCCCACTCTGATGTCTCCTCAGCGGTCTGTTTGGTATTGGTTCCTTCTTTCTTCCAGGGGTCAGCACTGAATGTCTGCTCATCCCTGGGCACCTCCTCAGCAACTTCCGCTGCGGTCTCCGCAGGTTTCTGGTGGTGGCTGATATCCCAGCCGTTATATTCAGGCTTCTTCTCTGCCTGGATAAAGTCGGGCTCCAGGGGCGAACACCTCAAGTTTCCATGGCGGCTGCCAGCGGGACAGGTTTCCTGCACAGCCTCCTGATGCTGAAACAGAAGATCCTGGCCTATCCTCTGAGAAGACAGGCAGCTGTCAAAGTCTGCTTGGGCCTTCTTGTCGAAAGCATTCAAATACTCCTCCCCTCTCTCCTCAAAGAGATCTCGCTGGGTGCTCAGACTCTCTGGCCTTCCAGCAGCAGAGTAACTGTCATTCCTGAGAAACAAAGCAACAAACAAATGGATGTCAGGTAATGCAGAGCACAGCACATCTCCAAGGGCCCAGGCTGGGCACAAGAGATGGAAACAAATAAATAAAGTGGGGTTTATTTTAAATGAGCCTATAAATCCCAGAATGCTGGGCAGATCTGTTGTGGCCCCAGGCTGTACTGCCTGGTTTGTCCACCCAATGCATGATAAAGCAAGCAATTCTTTATCTTTTAAAGACGAGCAGCAAACTTAAGAAACGAAGGAAGATTCAGCCTCCAACATATGTGGATATCTGAGAACATGGAATTTGTTTTAGAATGCCAAATTAATTAAGAGACCAACTAAAAACAATCAGAATTTTTGACTTGTTTTCTGTGCCCTCCCATGTAGGTGACAAGTGCCTCTCTCCTACTGGACGGGCTCCAAGCTGGTCAGCCTTGGCTGTATCGGACAGAAAACCTTTGAATAGCTCAGTCTTTAAGCACACTCAACAATGTAAGAGTGCCACCAGATCACTACCTGGGCCTGTTCAGAGATATCTTTTGGGTCAACTCTACACCTGCTTTTTAGATGACTTATGGCAGCACCTCCCACCACAGCATGCATGAGGACAGGAGATGAGGACACTCACCTGGCATGCAGCCCCTCCATGCTCATGCTGTCAGCCTGTTTTTGATGTGACAGGGAGTATCCTTTGCTCTGCAGAGATGTGTAGCTGTCCTGGCCCCACACTGGCACAGGATCCAAGGGAGCAGTTTTCCTCTCTGCCTGCCCTGCTTGACAGTTCTGATCTTCAGACCGGCAGCTGCTCCCACCAATGGAGTCCTGCTGAATCATGGGCTTCATAATTCCTGCTCACGACAAGAGTTCATGCCATTAGCACTAGGATCTCACAGACAAGAAGAATTAAAACAACCCACTAGCTTTCCCCTTCCTTCTAGGGCAGCAGGTGACTGCAGCCATGGAAACTTCTCCAGTAGAGGGGAAATGTTTGGAAAATGCACAGCTGGGGAACGCACCTGGAGTGATACAAAAGGTGACACAGTTCTCAGAACCCAGCCTGCACAGACATTCCACAGCATTGCTGGCTTGGAATCAAACAGGTGTGTGAAAACAAGCCACAAACTCAAGGGAGTGATTTGTACACCCTAATGTTTACATTCACACCTCTGGAGATCAGTAACAAGATAGGAAGGTGCTAAGAGCACACAGCTCAGGAACTACAGGGTTTCTCCTTCACATTTCCTGAAGGAGGTCTATTAAGATTTCATATGATCACAGGAACTCCAAAACTGATCCTCCTCCTCCAAGTGGCAAGATCAGTGGACCCTCTGCCCCTTTCTTCAAGGGGTAAGACCAATCACACCCGCCAAGTTCACAAAGCAGATAGGGCAGATCTCCCACTGCAGCACAGGGGATGGACAGGCACGTGAACTCCCTCTCAACCTCCTCTGTTTCCTCACCACCTCCCACTGCAAGCAGCTTTCTCATCCCTAGAGAAGGGATGCCAGCCAGGATGCAAAGTCTGAGCAGAGGTAAGATGAGTGACACACAGCCATTTCCAGATATGGACCAACTCAACAGCCAAGACAAACACTGGAAACACCTCACCTGAAGGGTGAAGGGCTGAGGGGTAGAAATCCACAGGGGTGCGACTCTGGGCCATGCGAGGGTCCATGTAGGAGGGCATCATCATCCAGCGAGGATCAAAGCCAAGCATCTGGGGGTGCGGCGGGTAGAACGTCCTCTGAGGGTGGGAATGGGATGGGGGAGGATACACTTGCTGCTGCCAGTGCTGCATCTTGTACAGCTGCTCCTGCAGGGAAAAGGATGGGCCGTTGGGCACGAACGGCTGTGGTGCCAGGAATCACACTTACATACTTGTCAGCCAAGGGAAAACACGTGCCATCTATTAGAGGCTCAATCCCAGATCAGATGGGAGGGTGGAGCAGAGAAGGCCAATTCACTACCAACTGGGAGTGTGGCAGTTGTTATTCTGTAAATACCAGAGCAGCCAGAATGTCACACCACTATAGGCCATGCTACGTGGCCAAACACAAAGGATCAGCTCTAACACCAGAGTCTGCAAGTTCTCAATGCTTTATACAGGACAGGCTCCTGTCAAACACCACTTCCTAACTGGAACCAAATACCTTAGAAGATGTTGCACTTTTCAGTAAATGCAGCTCTAATTTATTTAGTGTGCATAAATATTAGTTCCACTCCTGTTAGCTGAACAGATCAGATAAAAACAACTTAAACTCAATTAAGAGAGCTATTAATATTTTACAGCATTTCCTGTGCATCCTCCAGAGATGGGCTGACACTTGCAGGTTGTTTCCCATCTCCCACATAGCCAGTCCACCTTCCTTTAGCTGAGAACTGTCATGATGTTAATTCGATTTGACATTTAACTCTTGTTAAAGGACCAGAAAGAACCTATATTTGAAGGGAGTTTTGTGCACTGAAGAAGGCTTTCAAACAGTAAACAGCTCCAATTAACATGAAATGCATCTACTTACCTGTCAAACTTTCCACCATCTTTTCTTGCTAATCACAAAACAGTGTCAGATATTGCACCTGTTTATTAAAAAAGCCAATTCCCCGCTGCAGAGAGAGGCACCCTTAAATCTGAACCTGACACATCATTACAGCAAGAAAGACTCTGATAAATGCAAAGATTATAACTGCATTATCTAGCCCTCAAGTACCTTGGAGAAAATATTTCCTTCATGATACCAACACTCTCTTTTATTTTGCTCTTTTCATGGAGCCACTGCTACCAAAGCAGCAATACAAGGCAGCCAAAACACGCAGCGCCTCACACACACCAACATCACAGAGGATAAGAGACAATAAAATAAAACTCCAGGTTCTTCCAGGAGCAATGACCTGTGGTATTATTAGCATGACAGCAAAGACATCCAACTCTTTTTAGTTTAAGACCATCTCTTTTCAGGAGTAACATTAAGCAGCGTTTGCTGCCGTACCATCTGAATCATGAAAATGTCAACTGCCGAGCAACGAGCACAGGGGAACGTTCCATAAAAGAGCAATTACTGAGCTTCCAAGCAAAAGCCAATTGTGAGCTCCTCACTAAGGTTTGCAGCAGCGTTGATTGTATCACGTTTCAAGTGGTTATTCTGTGAAGAATGGCAATTAACTTTGCATTATCTCAAGCCTGAGCATTCTGTCCCTTGGTTTGGCTCTGCTGCCCTACAGAGACTCCCTGCATCTGGAAGCAGAGCTGAACAGCACTTAGGGCACATACAGCACTGAAAGGTCAGGCAAAGATGCCAGATGCACAAAGCAGTTCAGGCTGAGGACTGTCATGACTGTCTCAGAGCCCCAGAAGAGAGTCTTCAATGCAACAAAAATGAAACAGTGAAGATCAGACATACTTATGGAGCAAAGAAAATAATGATTTGAAAGAGCCTCACAGAAAAAATGCTGGGTAGGCAGAAGATGAGAGCAGAGTAAAGGACCAGCCCTCTGCAAAGGCAGGAGGTGGAATGAGAAGCTGCTCCACAACTCCCTCCCAATCCAGAAGCAGTCCAATAACTTGCCACCCTATGCACAATTTGCCCCTGGCAGGCAAATGGCTGCCTGTATCTAACAGGATCAGGGCACACATCTCTTCCCAGCCATGGAAAGCCCTACCCACAACCGTTCCAGCATCACAGGGTGCGCGGAAAATTCATGTAAGCCACATAGAGCTCTTCTACCCTGTCAGACAGGATACAACCATGATCAGAAATATTGAAAAAGGCCAGGGTAAAACCCCATTTATCACCCCCACTAAGACTGACAGTGTTGAGAACTGAGCAAAGGCAACGGTTTGGTGGGGGTCCACAGGAAGAGGGGTGTGAGTGTCACACCTATTACCTGCTGCTGTTGCTGCTGCTGCCTCTGGAATCGCGGGGGAAGAGACTTCTGGTATTTGTTGAATTCTTGTGCTGGGGAGGGAGCTTCTCTGAGCTCCTCCTCACTGCTGCTTTGGGCTGCTGCTGCTGGGGCAGGAGTCTCCTCTTCCAGGTAGCCAACAGACACATCCTGTGTGTGAAACTCAGGGGTTGCTGCAGAGAAGAAAATAAACCATGAAGAGGCCTGCTCATGACAGGGTCTGTGAGAGCACACCACAGCACTACATACACAGGTGTGGGCATGTCCTGACTGCATTACATGGCTGAGTTTTATTCCAATCACACAAGGCACGTCATTTGCCTTGACAGCTCTAGAGGGCTTTGTCCATCTTGTTTTAGTGATGAATTCTGAGATCCTCCTCTGCTATCAGCCTTCTACTTAAGCACTGGGGAAAAAGTCCATTTCCCCTGTTAGTCCTTAAACCCACTAGCACTTACTGCTGACTGATTTTCTGATCCGTGTCCATGAGCACTTTAATATTATCATCAAATCTTGAGAAGCTCAAGAGGCCCCTTCCAGCAAGGCCTCTGCTAGCACAGCTGACTGAGCACAGATAAAGAAGTTTGCATTTGTTGTAATAGCTTTTTCTATTTAATGAACCTCTGTCACCAACGCAAAACACTCTGCAGAACACATGAAGCAGCTGACCTCTTGAGGGCAGCTGAAGGGCCCTCTGAATGCTCCCTCCCAGGAACTCCCCCACTCCAGGTAAGAGGATCAGCACAACAGCAAAAAAGCAGTTCTTACAAGGTGAGTCAAGCACCCTTTCTGTACCTTTACGGAAAGCATGGCCATTCTCTTGCACGGTGTTTTTCTCTGTGTTTGGGGGTCGCACATCTTCGTTCTCTGTGTGTTTCTGGGTCTCCCCGTTCTTCTGAGCCAGTTTGCATTTCTGATCAAGTTGTTTCAGCTTTGCAGCGCAGGCTGCCAGCCGCTCCTCCCTGGCTCGCCGCTCCTCCTCCTCCCGCCGCCTCCTGGCTCTCTCCACAGCCTCAGAGATCTCAGAGTGCACAAACTTCTGTCTCAGGGGCACCTTTTCTTCTTTATCCTCGACAGACTGTTGTCTGAGAACACTTCCCAGAGCAGGCTTCTGCCAAAGAAAAAATATTCCTCAATAAGCAAAACCAAACCTATCTTGAGCTTTGAATCCCATGCTGAGGAAATCCCTTCTTGCCTCCCCCCTCTCTATCCTCAGGTACAAATCCCCATTTTACTGGGGGGAGTTATTGGTCTGGTTCAATAGCTTCATTCTCTCACTGACAACACCACTGCCCTGGACCAGCTTCAGGTTTTTTTCCCTAGCGCAAGTGCTATGTAGATGGGTTTCTCTCAGCTGGATATAAACCAAGAACTGAGAAATTCATCAGCATCCCATCTCCAATAAAATGTCAAACTGGCCTCTTCAGGACAGTGACGTGTCCCATCCAGCAGCACAAGCCCACCCTCACGAGTTCAGCCTACCTGGTATTCCGATGCAGAACTCCAGCCGTTCAGCTTCCTTGGAGGCTGCTGCGATTCCTGCACCTTCCGGACTGGCCGGGACAAGCCAACCGATTCGCTCCAATTCTTTCCTTCCTCCAAGGTGTGCTTGGCATCTGCACTGTCTGCTGAGCTCAGGGACAACTGTCGCTGCCTTCTGGGATCCCAGCTGTTCCTGCCACAGAAACAGCTCTGCTATCGCATTTGCTGCTTGCCTCAGAAAGCACTCGCAGCCTTATCAAGTGGCAAAAGGCAACTGAACGCAACAGAAAGATTGAAAAAACCACCAGAACAAGAGATGTGCCTCTCCTAAGGTGCCTAAGGATCAACTCTGCTATTATACAGCAGGATAAAGGTGAGACATGGGCAGGGGATGAGGAAAACGCCTGGAAAACTGGAATTCAACTTAAAGATCTACACATATCTTTGAAGCCCACTCAAACAATGGCCAGTGGAATCAGCAGAGTCACAGCAACAAATCAGAGGGTTCAAGACTCCACACTTAGAACAAGTTTTTAAAGATCCTGGAATTGTTCACTTTTACTGAAACAACTGTAGATGCAAATACAGCCACTTCTTACCACTTCTGTCGTCCATCTTTAAGAGTTTCTTCCTCTTCTTCATCTTCACTAAACTTTAGTTTCTCAGAGTAATCCACTTCATCATGAATGCCTACGAAGGCAGGTATGGAGAAGGGAAATGTGAGAGGAAAGAAACAGGTCCCTTTTCCTCATAAAGCTTATGCCCTCTTTGGCACTAAACTCCAGAACACACAGGCTTGTCATAAACAACTCACAAAGCCAAATGTCCACCACCAGTACTGGGAATCATAGAATGGGTTGGAAGGGACCTTTAATGTCATCTAGCCCAACCCCCTGAATGATCAGGGACATCTTCAACCAGATCAGGCAAGAAATTATGTGAGCAGTGTGGACACACACTGCTGAACAGCTGAGCTGGTCCCAGAGGAGGAGCAGCAAACAGTCTGGGAATGGGGGCTGCAGAAGAGGAGACAAACATCAAGCCAAACTGTGTACAGTTGGATGCTGAATTCCATGACTGAAAAGGCAGGATTAATTCTTCCTCCCAGCAGCCATGATGGCAAACCTCCTGCTGTTTGGTGTTTTCAGATTTTTAGGAGTCTTCAGATCCGATTCCTTGAGCACATTGTGATGGAAGGATCAGAAGGATCCATTGTGTCATCATTTACACCAACAGCAATTTCACAGCTACACAGACAACTCTTTGCTTCCCCTTCCTTTCTTCCGTGGCAGCAAAACAGAGCCACAGGACTATCCTGTCTACTTGATGTTGCCTGAAGCTTGAGAATGGAGGCACTTTACCTGCCCATCCATCATCTGCGTCATTGTCCAGTTCATCCAGCCCCTTCAGGTTCTCTGCATTGATAATGGTGGGCCGGGGCACTCGCTCTATTTGCTGCCGAACCGGACGTGTTGGGCGGGACAGGCTGAGCCTGTTCTCTTTTCTACAGGAGAACACAGAGAAATGGTTAGAAACAGCAAACAGTAAAGCAAAGAATGTAGAGCTGACTTTATAACAATGAGTAAGTCCTTTTCTACCACACATATATAATACAACGCATCTAAGTTTCTCTCCCTGAGTAGCAAAGCTTCTTTGCCTTCTCTGGTTGGTACCCACTTTCTAAGGCTTACAGGTCAGAGCTGTAACCCCTCCAGTCCAGGATTACACACTTTTCTTCAGACACACAGTGGTTACCGCTTTGCAACATTTCAGCTGCTGCAGTAGCTGCAGCAAAGCACTGCTGCTTTGGTTTCCCCCGTGGTTGCCTGCAGCTTCACACACACAACTGCATCCTTGGCCTAAATTCTTGCCTAGTTTAAGGCTCATGTCACACCCTGAATCTGCCTCTCAAGTTGGACAGTGCTGGCAGTCTTACCCATCCTGGTCATTCATCTGGAATTGTCTGAAAGGTACCCGGGGCTCAAGCCGAAGCTGAGGAACGGGGAAAGACCCTCGGTCCAGCGGTGCAGGGGTCTCGGATGGCTGTTGTGGACACATCTGGAATGAGGCAAAGCACAACAGTCTGGGTTTATTCCATGTCATGGGAAGGTTCACCCAGATTAGGTTACAACAGGCACAAAGGGAAACCAAATATTTCATGTCTGGCTGCCCAACACACCACGTGCTAATGGTTCCCTCCCCAGCTCTAGAGGGAAAGGGGCAACTTCTCCTTGGGCAGAGCAGGGCTGTGCCGCACTGCTCTAGGATGAAAGGGCAAATGCACAACCAGGGAAACTAAAAACAGGTCAAGAGAAGGATCCGTGAGCAACCAAGAGTGCAGAAAACACATCTCAGCCGACTTCAACCCCCACAGACGTAAGAGTCAAGGCCATGAAGAACATGACACGGCTGTGGAGGAAGGGTAACTCACAAAAGCAGGCAGCATGTCATGGTATGTAGGTGGTTGGTAGACATTTCCCATGAACTGCGAGGCCCCTTTGCGGACGGGCTGAGCTGGGCGCAGAGACGGCTCCTTCGGGTCGCTGGCACTCGCCGAGGAGGGGGCCCCGTCCCCGCTGCTGGAGGTCTTGCTGCCCAGCTCAGCAGGGGAGGCGGTCAGAGATGTGGCAGAGGTTATGTTCCTCCCACCGCCCTCCCTCCAACTGGTGACATCTGGAAAGGAGGTAATAATTATGTTAATGATTGTAAGTGCAGACAGTGGCTCTGCCAGAACACCTTGAAACCTTCAAGTGCTCTGGTCAAGCCCTAATTACACTAAGGTTGTAGAAGAAATACCAGGGACCAAGGAAAATCTTCAGTTGTGTTTATTCTTTCAAGAAATAAGCAGCATCAGCTGTTACTAAGTAATTGCCGCACCAGTGGTGTCCTTATTTGTCAATAAGCCTAAATTCCTACTAACTCTTCTCCCCATCTCCACAGTCCTTACCCTGCAGAATCAAGGCCAATTAGATGCACAAACACTCAAAGAGAAGCCACATCACACCATGCACTCATTTCACTGTGGCTCCACCAGCCCAGGGGGAGAGCCCTGCTTTGCAACATCACACAGCAACTTTTATTAAACAATACAGCAGATGACAATCCATTCCTGGCTGTCTGGACCACAAAACAACAGCACCACATGCTGACCTGTGATCATCTGCTAAGCAGCCTGACACATGTAAGCTCATAAAAAGAAAAAAAGGAAACGTAAAGATAGAATATCTGATACTGCTGTGAACTGGCACCCCCTGCACAACACATGGTCTACGGGGTTATGAGCTGGGATAAGGCAGGAGGACACAATCCTTCACTCACTCTGGGGGCGGAGGCTTGGTCCTGGCCCATACGACGGATCTAAGGCGCCCTTTTCTTTGCCACCCTTGTCCTGCTCGCCGGCTGCTTTCAGCGTCGGAAATTCCTCGGGAGAGAAGGATAACAGTCGGCTTGAGGCCCTTGAACCTGTCAGACAAATAAGTGTGGGACTCAGAGAAAATCCTTCCACTCTTTCAACTCCCTTACAAGATCAGCCTGGAAATGTGTTTCCTGAGAATCTGGGCCTCTGGCATATTTAAACTCATATCACTATTGTACCGGCACCTCAGCTCACATCCCAAACACTCTCAGACGCTGTCACCAACACGACAACACATGTCCTCACCCAGCACTCCCACGCCCTTAACTTGGGATCTTCATTTGAATTCTCACATTCAACGAAGTCAGAGTCAACTTCCTCAGCTTCCAATTATTTTTGTAAAAGTACAGAATTCAGACAGAGATATAAATTCTGCAGGACCATTTATAGATCATACCCTGCTATCAAGCATTTGACATTTCTATTCAGACTGTTTCTGCTCAGATCTCACTCTGCCAGGGAAGTCTATTGTTAAGATTTCTGCCAATATATTAGTGAAAGACCACAGATAAGGGTGGATGTTACATGGCATCCCCACTCTCCTCCCTCTTGCAGTATTTTCAAGATGCAGATCAGTGGTCAGATCAGGTCAGGTTCATTTCTAATCACTGGCAAATTGTCTTGCTGAGTCATCAGTCACCCCAGAATGACAGTTTTCTGTCAATTCTAAAGATCTGCCAGTGACTGCAACACAAAACACAGCAGTTCTCCTAAAACTGTTGGCAAGATAATACTGAATAAAAGGAAATTGCAAGCATTATTGCACTATTAAACGTTAAAAGAATTGCTTTTTTTGAGAACTGCTTCTTAGTGTTACTTGGCTAATGCTCCCTTTAAAAAGGGCATTTCAGAATTATCACATTAGAAGTATCAGCAATGAGTACTGAAGACCTGACAAAAGAGTCTCATTTATCTTTCTCCTTCCTTGCCCTGAAGAGTCAAGAAGGATTGGTTTAAGCAATTTCCTCTTTCTGGAACTTGCACATTGCACAAGACCTTCCATGTGAGATTTCCAGGGAAACACTGCTGCATATAATACCTTTAACTATTTTGGAGACATGAGAAAACTCAAGAAGAACATTTCTGAAATACACCACAAAGTGGCTGAGAAATGCTGCAAGTTCTGATTCTGAATGTGTTATTCTACTGAACTTGAATGGCACAGGTAAGTTCTTTCAAGAAACTCCCTCTAAAAAAGGTTTTACAGCTGTAAGACTTGAAAAGAGCAAAAAGCAAGAGACTTTCCTCTTTCTCCATAATATTAGAAGGAATAAGCTGCATTAGCTTAGCAGGAAAAGCAACTATTCAATGCCACCAGAGAAGAGGTGTGAGCATGGGATGGCCTAAGAAGTCCTTTCAGCCAGATTTCTGATGCTTTGGTGATTCAATTACCTTCTAATTAAGCTGCTCTTAGCCACATATGCAACTGTTTTCTTGGGTTGAGAACTCTATATTGGTATGTGTGACCTAGAATGAGTTTTCAAAAAGTCTTTAATAACATTGTTAAGATGATCAGATTTCAAAATGACTGTACAGGAAAAGTGCCAATTAAGCAAAGACGACAGCCTTTGCACTGGCCACTAACCTCAGGCAAACACAAGTCTCTGCTTTAACATTTGGCCTTTGAGAAACACCTTCTCATTAAGGGCCTCATTTAATTAATGGTAAACTTGTCCCTTATGTTTCTGCAATCAGCAGCTGTCTCAGTTCTTTCAAATCTCTCTGCAATTTCATTCGACAACCAAACAGTTCCAGATCTGTTCACATTAAAACACTGGAACTGAGCTGTTATCCTCACTATGGTTTTAATGGGAGTACTCACTGCAGCTGGAAACCACCTCCTGTGTGGAAATGAATGCATCTGAAGACAACTAAACTCCCAGTTCATGTTAAAACTGCTTCAGGATTCTCAGTCAAGCAGAAGCCATTAGCAGTACAGTTACTCAGGGAGAATCTCCCTTCTTTCACTCAGCTTTCCTCACCTTTATTACACATTGCTCTGGAATGACAGAAGATGTTGATGAGGGGGAAAATGTTTCCCTTCTTCAAAACCTTCACCTCCCAGAACTCCCTGCTGCATCCCAAGAGCAAGAATCACTCTGGTTCACATGTGGCCCTGAGACACATTCTGCTCAAGCCCTGTCTTGCACTGGCAGACCTGAACAGATGCATCTGCATCCTTCCAGGCAGCACATCACACAGATTGAAAAGAAAACTCCTAAGGCCTCTCTGCACTGTAACCAAGACATCTGTGTCCCATTCTGCACCAGTCTGACAGGGAGGGCAGGAAGAAATGGGAGTCCACTCCATCTCCTGTCTATCTGGGAGGAGCAGGAACATACCCAGCTCCATTTGTGTTATCATACTCACCACCTTCTTGTCCTGCTGGCTTTCCATTCAGCTGTGCCCATGACTTTGGTCCACCTGGCACTGAATTTGTACTCTGAAAACAAAACAAAGCAAACAAAGAAAACCCAACACCCACAGATCAGCAAAGTCTCAAGACTGTTTCTCATTCCCTGGCTGGCACCTCCTGTTGTTCACACCTCCAGATCACTCTTCAAATCATAACCCTCATTGTGATTTCTCTGAGCCTCGAGGGCTGGGAAATTTTTTTAAACTCAAAGTGAGAAATCTACAGCACGAGGGGACAGGCCCCTGCACTCTCTGGGGCAGTTTCTCACTTGCCAGTAGATTTTTCAGGTCCTGACACTGGCTACTTCTCCCACATGACCAGATCTCCTTCTATCAAGTCTGGGAGCAAGCACTGAGTCTGTTGTCACCATCTGACACTTGAATTAGACACAAAGTAAAATAGTTTAGAAGTGCTAACCAGCCATCCCACATTTTAACTGTTTTTTTCTAGACTGCAACTAGACTTTTTGCACACATTTGAAAGACACAGAGATAACATACACAGAATTATACTCTTTTAAGTGCAACACAGCACAGTAACTTGGACTCAAGAGGGTCAATTCCATGAGAATTGATTATACAGGAGCTGTTCTTACTTGTGCAAGGCAACACAGGCAATTAAAGAAAACCCCCAGGTTGCCTGGGGACAGGGGAAGCAGGGTGGCAGTCAGAGACTAGCTGCACCTACCTCCTGACTGATTGACTGTGTCGGCTTCTGTAAATTGGAGACAGATTTCTGCAAACCCTGCTGCGGCAGCGACTCCTGCAGCTGTGCAGCCGTCGCACTGGAACTGAGCAGAGACAGCAGAGGTGAGACCACAGGGGAAGGAAAGCAGCAAAACAACTCTGGCAATATGGCAGTTGCTAAAAGATCAAGCTAAAACATTGGCTCTACACCGGCATGGACAACAAAGAACCGATCACTAGGGTCCAACACAAAGCACAGCAGTGCTGACAAAATTACCAGAGATTCACTCCACCTACCTCTTTTGGTCTGGCTGATCCTGCTTGTTTGCCCATCCTGTACCGTCCTTGGGTACTATAATGATGTTGGGGTCGTTTCCTTTGTTCTCAGACTTCAAGCTAGGCAAATTTGCAGGAGGTGGCATGCGCCGGGCAGCAGCAACTTTCCCAAGACTCTGTAAGCCATGTCTAGGAATAACTAGTGAGGAAGGAACAGCAGCAGGTCAGAGGGCTGTATCCTGCCAGATAAGTAATCTTAATTAGGATACTGTGGCTGGGTGCAGTCCCAGCAGAGCTGCTGCTGCTATGTCAACACACAGGTCGTTTCCCACAGGACCGTCTGTTGTAGCAGCTGGCAAACAGCTCCCACAGCGGGAGGGAGGGAGGGAGGGAGGGAGGGATGGAGAAATAATCCTCCCTAAAAAAGTGCTCACAGAGTCTTCTAGCTACCTGTGCAAATCCTCCTCTTTCATATCATCCACCCCTTCAAAGCTTGGGGAAACAGCCACCCAAGTCCACCTCTTAGTAGATCAACCAGTAACCTAACCAGGAGTCCACAGGTCTGGATCTGCCAGCTCTACCCACGAGAGACCACATTTAACAAGAAGGTATTTTGGTGTTTGTTTTCTATTCTCATACGAAATCTAGAGCCAGGCCAGGCAAGGTTCATTTTTTTGATTCCACTATCTACTTCTGGTCACATTTCCACTGCAAAACCAACTCAGGCTCTTCCCCAGTGGCCTTCAGTTCTTGACTCTCACCTCACACAAGGTCTGACCAGCTTAAGGCATTTCAGTCAGCTCAACTGCCCTATCCTGGCATAGCCTAAGGCCCTGGCAAGGTTTTCACCCAAGCCTGCCACCTGCCCACTCTGCAGCGAGGACACAGGCTAAACAAAAAGGCCAACGGTCCCCAGCTGTCCTGTGTCCCTTCCTCCATGTCTGTACACTAACAGCAACACAAAGTGCCACGGGCATTTCCCTTGAAGTTTTAATGAAACACAGGCTTGGACACCAGCCCAAACACTCTGCCCCTCAGCTGTGACCAGCTGGGCACCCTCCCCACAGGGCCAACAACCTGAACGAGCTCTGCAACACCACCATTGGAAGACATCAAAAGGAGCTTTCTGAGGGCGCTTCTTACCTGTAGTTCTGATAGCTTCTATTGACTTTCCTTTATACTTATCAAACAGGCTGAGAGTCGAGTACTTGCTTTTCCCATCCTTTCCCTTGGTTATTTGCCCCAAACGATCGGACATTGCGATGAAATGTCATCTAGTAAGGAAATTTCTCTGCGCCGCTCCCGATCTGCCTTTTAGTGAGAGAAGAACCAGGAGAACGCCATCAAAGAGATTATTCAGCCACAGAGAAGGAAAAAGTAAAGCACACACGACAGCTAGAACTGCAGATATTCAGTGAGCACACACACACCCCAAGTTACAGGGTTTTAACTCCCTCTTTAGTCACAAGAAGCTTGTGGGCTTTAAGATTCACAAACTGAATTAAAAGAACTGCAGGAGCACACTTCTCACAGCATCCTTTTTTCCTGCCACTCCAGCAGTGAAAGAGTTGAGCCTCTTAAGTAAGAGAACACAAGAGGGAGGGGTCAACACAGTCCTTCCTTTAAAGGAGTAAGTCTAACAGTAAGCAGCTAAACACAAGGATTCCTAAACATAAATGACAGAAAAGCACTGTATCTTATACCACAGAATTTATCACTGGGTTTCCCACTGAAGCACTGGCAGACGGGTCTTAATGTTTAGATTATGGTTCCACACCAGCCACAGCTAATGACTTATACCAGCAATTAATGCTTTGATACCATCACCTGAAGGCAACAGAATTCTTTCTTGAAATTCCTTTTTGCCATCAGTTGGCCTTGAGAGAGAGTTACATACTAGATTCAGACCCTTGAGCCTGTGGGTTCAGCCATTCTGCTATGATTCCTGAAAACACTTCACCAAAAAAATTCCATTTCTCTGTTGCTGGCACCTTGAACACCACTTTTAGCTTCAAGTATATTTTTCACAATGGATGTGATTTGTTAATTTTTTCACTCTGATCTTTGCTGGCACAACATGCTGTGATTAACACCCATCATGAGGGAGTCTCTTTACTTTCACATTTTGGCTCTTGGAGCCTGGGACAAAGCTGAAACATGGGCAATGCACACACTGCACATCAACTTCTATGTCAGAAAAGACACTTTGCTTACTTTCAATTGACCTTTCTTTCATTTTTTTTAAAGCATAATTCTGTTCTCTATTTTCTCAAATCTAAGAGCTTAATCTAACCTTTTCACACATAATTTAGATTTCCCGATTTCTTCTTGTAAAGCCTCCACTTCAAGCCTAGAACTGCTGGCAGTTTTATTATACCATCTGCTAGGTCCCATCTTAGGGTTTCAACTCGGGGTTGGAGTAACAAAATGTGATATATATCTGACCTTCCCACCCCTCACAATTTCTGAAATTCATCCAGCTGAAAGCATTTTTCCAACACAGACAGAAATCACTCTTTCTGAAAGAAACTGTGTCTGACTAGAGGCTACAACTCCCACCAGCAATGCCTTATCAAACATGATTTCCAGGTAAGAGGATTAGTGCATCACACGTTATGTACAAACCAAAGCACAGACTGCAAACATGCTGGATGCAGCCAGACTGGGAATGCAGTGCCAACTGCAACTGGCCAAGTAAAGCCCATCTAAAAGCTGCTACCAGGGGACAAGTGTCTGACCAATAAACCTGGCAACACACAGTGTTTGTTCTTGTATTGCAGGATTTAAAATCAGGCCTGCCAGGAGCAAGAATCCACGGACTCTGTGTGCTAAGGCAGCATGGTCAGGGACAGAGGAAGAAAAGTATCTTCTGTCACTGAGTAACAGCATCCATGGGATGCTCAGGAAAAACACCAGGCTCCACAAGATGCCCCTCAGAGCATCTCTGCTGGGCCACCACACGGGGCTGCAGCAATGAAGGCCCGTGGAGGCAACAGGGCTGGCTGGAGGTCTTGAGGCACCTTTTCCTGCGGAGCAGAAAACGATCTTTGGCTTCAGTCTGGTTCCATCTTTGCTCAGATAGTCACCATGTGCCAAAGAAAACAACAGCTCCTCCCTCACTTAGCCATTTCCACTCTATTTTATTAGTAGGACAGACATAAAAGAGAAAAGGAGAGAAAACACACTGATTAGCACAAACTTGGCAGGAAAGCAGAAGTTGGACTGAGAACAATGAGCTGTTTGAACAGGCAGAGTGTGGGGAGGCCCAGAGCAGAGGGAATAGCAGAGGGTGCTGTGCTGGCAAGAGCACAGCCACCTGCTTTTACAGGTACATTGAGCCTTGCAGAGGGAGCCTGGCTTGGGGTATATCCAGACCTTGTCAATCCTGTACCAACCTCACAATAAAAGCAATAAAATTCAGGTTGAGGTTTAGAAAACTTAAAGCAGATTACTATTAGTAGGTATTTAAAAAACTCCAACAACAACAAACCACCTACCACATCAGGTTTAGAAGTTATCTGGTTAACAGAAAATCCCTGAGTTCCTGAAAGTCAGTGTGCAAACAGCACACAGGGCCACGCTGCCAAAGAGAAACCCTGACAACAGTTATGTAACCGGGTCTCAGCTGCCTCTTGATTACATCTTATATCATTAAAAGGATGAGGGAGGAATAAACAACCACTCCAGAACAGAAGAGCTGGGGACACCTCGGGATAAAGCCCCTTGTCAAACTTTCTGGGACAGCCACAACTGCTGTCTGGATAGATGAGATTAACTTTGAACTCCTTCAGTGCTTTGAAGCTGAATGTGAAACACAGCTTTGTCTGTGGTGTGTGTGTGCTCCAAAGGGGAAAGCGAGCCCATGGAGACGTGAAGCAATTTCCACGCAGCACTAAGCTGGGTCAGAGCCCAGGCAGGACCCTGCTGCCCATCCCTCCTGCCAGCTGCAGACCCAGGGGTGTACTGGCCAGTGGAATCACTCAGCACCCAGGTCACCCCCAGCACTCCAGAGAGGCCACAGAGCCTCCCAAGGCTGGCACGATGCTCGACTGTTGACTACCTCCCCATCGCACAGTCATGCAGGGAATCCAGGCAGGGATCATAAAGGCCTTCCAGTCTTGCAGAGCACAGCCATTTCTGATAAAAATCGAGTTCATTTACAACTGACCTGCCCGCCTGCCTGCTCCTTATTAGGAGAGCATGGAACCACAAGGCACATGCCAATGCTGACAACTGAAAACTGACAGCCCCGGCAGAGCTGCTGACCTGTGCTCAGGGTTCCCTTGCCCGAGAGCTGACCCTGAAGAAAGCAATATCCCATTACAGAGAAATCAAAAATAAATCAATCCCCAGCATTTCTGCAAGGTTTCTCTCTGGGTTTATAGAGCTCTTCTGGGGAAAGTTTGCTATCAGCTTTAGTATACAGCTTAGCTCTTCTCGTTCTCAGGACTAGCAACATCTCCTGTTATACCAAGGTTATACCAGAATGCAAAATAGTGAATGTCTCAGAGGAATCACAAAATACTGCAGTATGACCAGTTCCCTTAGAGAGCCCAGGGTACAAATAACTGCACCAGAACCACTTCCTGGGCAGAGAGCTCCACTATTCCCAAGTCTTCATGTCCACTTCGTGCTGCCCTGGATCTGATGCTTGGGTATTGACCCTGTCTAACTGCCTTTTGAAGGGGTATGTTCCAATCCAGAGAGAAACAGTGGCATTTTAAGACATTTTAATGTCTTAAAGACATTAGATTAATAAGCATATAAGTCTTGGAGCTACAGCCAGGGATCTACCGAGCCTATCCTGCAAAAAAACCCCTGTGAAAACCTTGAGTTACTGGCACTGGTAACAACTGGAAACCCCCCGAGCTGAAAACACGGCCAAAGGGAGAGACTCCTGACAAACAGGATTGTCTGCAAAGCTCTTTGTAAATCTATGTATGCAGGAGGCTGGGCTGCTGGTGTTTTATTCACAAGACTTCAATGGAGCTGGAGTACCTGGAAGTCAGCCAGCCTTAGCTGAGCAGGGCAAACAGACTTCTGAAAGGTAACACACACACCAGAAGGAATCACTTCAGCTGCTCGCACACCACTGAGCTCTAGGCCGAGCACAATCACCGGGGCAAAGGATCCAAGGCTACTGCAGACCTTCACTCCTTGCTCACTTCACAGCAGCAGTCACCAACACAAAACAAAGCACCAGGACGGAGATTAACAGTGAAAAGGCTTTTCTCCGCAAGCAGGAAGATTTTTTGACCTGAAATTTTATACAAATTGTGCAGAAACTCAGAGGTTGGAAAAGCTGAACAGTACTTTCAGAAGAGAGAAGTGATTGGATCTGATGTTAAACTGAAATACATGTTCACCAGTAACGTGAAACCTTTTAAAAAACACAGTATAGTTTTACAGGAGATTAGTGGTGTTCATTCTTCTTTAAACATACACAGTCAATTTTGCTGATAGTTCCAGAGCTCAACATTTATCTGTCAACAGAGAGATACCACTACTTCTCCTGGAACCTGTCCCACCAAGAACCACCTATTTGTGAGACACTCACCACCTGCCTCAGCGATGAAAGACAACACTGGCTGCCCTTGGAAGGGCTCTGGAGAAATAGTGTGATCACCTGCCCAGGGGCTTGGTGTCAGATGCACTAATATCCTTTCAAAGCCCTGTCTGGGCCAGGCATGGATCATCAGGGAAGGGACCATGAGCACTCAGTTTCCCGGAGAGATTGCTTAATAAGGAGGGGAGCAACAGGAGAATATCAGCATCCAAGTACAAAGCCAACAAGATCAATCAGAAGAGCTGTGCAGCAGGCAGAGGCTGCAGCAGGAGTCTAAGCCACAAGAAACTGTTCACTGTCATTCTGTTGAATTATTTCCAGAGGGAGCTGCCAAGATTTGCTGGTACACCTGAGAAAGGACCTGCTGAGATCTGGATGTAGCACCAAATGTGGTGCCAGAAAATGGCACCAAATCCTGCCAGATAGGGAGAAGCAAGTCAGGAGCCTGCAGTGCAGAGAAGAGATAAAACATCCCATCACCAAGCTCCTGATTCACAAGCTCAATAGATGTATTTGATGGCACCAGTTCCTTTAATCCTGTACAATTCCAGCTTCTCTCTGCGTTTCCCATGAACCTTGTCTCCTCTAAAAACAGGGAGTGGGAGACCAGGATCACATCTCCCATGATTTACTGCAGAGATATGTTGTTAGCCAAGTATAGTACTGGAAGCTGGAGGTTGTCTGCCAGGCTTGCTGCTGTCCAGCCCCATCATCAGACCTCTCTCTATGCCAAGCCTCCTGGGAT